AATAAGCCGAAAGCATGCATGGTTGAGATGTGTCTTATCGTGTCAGCTCTCGCCTACACCATGTGATTCTACTTGAAACATGTTCTAAGAAAGATTTCAATAGTATGATCTTATTATTATTTTAATACAGTGTGTATAGACTGACATCGCGGGATGTACTCGAATCTTATGCTCTGGTCCCTCTCCTGAAGCACGTTTTTTGTGGCATGTCAGTGATATGTATTTTGTGCACATGTATTACTTCCCTCTTACAATCTCTTCACTGCTACCCTGTTATATTTGGATGTTGACTCGATCCCTATCATAATAATTTAGAAAATATTTCAATTTGATCGATTATAGTATAGCAATCAAGGGTACAATCGATGCAGACATGGCCACACAACATAACGACGTTGGAGAGTTTAATGATTATTATTGTACGAATAAACCGATCTTGCAATTTCAAATTTTGGACTTCACGGAGAATTTCAAAGTATTAGGACATTATCAAGTGTTGAGTTTCGGAGAGAAAAGAGCAGTACGTGGCATGTGGCCTCTAATTTCCTAAACCGATCTTGTGTAAACAAAAGAAGAACTATTTGTTCATCTTTTTTTTAAGTTGTTTGTAAACATAGATCAGTAGTTCTCAGTGTTGTATATTGCACCTCCTTGAAGTTGTTAACCTGAACCGCACTGCAGCACTTCACACTATTCCAAGGATCTGTCTGGCTCTGGGAAAGATATTTCAAAATACCTACTATGATAAGACTAAACTGTTTGTGACTGGTGGCGGCGAGGTTCTCTCCCAAGAAGGAAGTTGTCAGAGTGATCCCCTGGCCATGGCCTAGTATGCTGTAGCAACCGTACCGATAGTTCAGAGGTTGCAGGAGGCAAACCCCAATGTCGACCAGGAGTTTGCCAGCTACTGGAAAGATGTTATCGTACCTGAGAATGGATACAATCCCTATCCCACGAAGACCACTCTCCTGCCACAGTGAAGCCTCAGTACCTGGACCGGGCGGAAGTGTTCCAGGGGACGGGAGTCTGCGTCACGGCGGCGGGTCACCAATATCTCGGCGGGATCATTGGCTGTGAGGAATGTCGCCATCGTGCCGGAGACAGGTACGTTAACAACTGGCAACGGAAGCTGATGCCATCATGACTCTCGCTGCAATGGCCGAAATGCAACCCCAGACCGCCTACGCTGTGCTCACAAAGGGCTTGTCGTCCAAATGGTCCTACCGGTTGAGAGCATCATCCATAAACTCCGTCACCCTGCCCCTCTAGATGAGGCATTGGATTATCAGTTTCTCCTTGCCCTTTTGGGCCGGGGAATGGCAGCTGACAGCTCCCAGAGACAGCTTCTGTCCCTCCTGACACGATTCGGGGGCTTGGCAATCCTATAGTATAGTAGCAAAGTCTGCAGAGGCAGAGCATCAGGCATCACTTGCCATCACGGCGTCAATGGTGAACTTAATCGACGCCCACCGTAACGAGAGCGTCCGAGACTCTCCAGCCATCAGTCCGGACCAAAACACGCAGAGCATCTTGAGCATCGTGGAGGGCATGGCCAATCCTGTTCTAGAAGCCGTTGGCGAGGCACGAGGCATCGCCCGACAAAAGCGCCAGGAAAAAAATCGGTGGGTGCCGGCAGCTGCAGACAGAGCTTGCTGCGGGGCTTTCGCCGGTCCAGCGGCAGCTGCTCGCAGTTTTTTTTTATTTTTATTTTTTTGTTGGGAACACAGCCCTACAAAGAGACATGTGGAGACAAACACAAGACAAGACACAGGGGATGTAGGGACGACGTACCGATGTACAGGGAGCAACTCGACCGACCAGGGGTCTCGGCGTTAGCGGATGAGAAGGGCGTGTCAACATGGTTACCAGCACAACCTTCCTGGAAAAACCGCACCATGCTGAAAAAGTCGGACTTTAGAGATGGGCTATGCATACGATATGGTCTCCCGCTGGACGGTGCAAGTGATCATTGTATCTGTGGGAAGTCCATGACCACCCACCACGTCCTCACGTGCCCGACCGGCGGCTATCCGTCAGATTGCCGTAACGAGCTTCGAGACCTCCTGGCCGGCGTACTGCAGGAGGTACTGCCCGATGTGGAGGTTGAGCCGCGTTTGCTCCCACTACACGGTGAGGACATCTCTGCCGCCTCGGCTAATCGTCAGCCAGAGGCACACCTGGACATATGCGCTGGGGGTTGCTGGTCGCGGCAGCAGGACGCCTTTTCTGATGTAAGGGTCGCTGACCTTGGGCCGTCCTCAGTTGCTGTCTCGTCCGGAAATCCTTAGCTACCTGAGAACGCACAAGAGAATGAAGAAGGCGGCGTATGGTGCCAGAGTTAACCAGGTGGAGAGAGCATCATTCACCCCACTGGCACTGGTGTTTTCGACCTCGGGTGTGGCGGGCAAAGAAACGGTTAACCACTATATTTCTGAAGTCACTAGCTGCCCTGGTTGTAGACAAAAACAAAGACTTGGTAAAGTTGGTATATTCTGCCGGGTTTTTTTTTGTATTTATTTTGATTCGCAAGTTCAAACGGGCATAGAACCCAACAACATGAAAGCGAAAGCGTGATGGGCGATTTACGCACCCGGGTTTCGTTTTGCCTGCTGCGATGGGCAGTCACGTGCTTTAGGGGCTGCAGGGCCTCTTACATTCGCCGCAAGGTCAGGAGCCCCTTTGCAGCACATTGCCGCCGGCTGTTCTGATACGGGCAGAGGCGTGACTTCGCCTTTGCATGCCGGTGGGCAATCTTATTAGGTAGCGATTTCTTGTGAAGCTTTTGTGTTCATTTTATATTTCAATTGAGCGTTCCATTTATTTCCGAAATTGGGTTGTCTTTTTTGCTTTGACTCTCATGGTTTCACGCGATTGGCTGGGGGGGGGGGGGGAGGGGAGGGGGAGGGGAGGGGGAGGGGGTGTTGTGAATAAAACCGTTCTCAAGTACATGTACTGATGTATATGTAGTAATAATGACTATTGGACTGTAGTTGTAGTGCACAGCCCAGTACTAGTAGTACAGCAGCTAGCTGTTCGGACTGACAAGACTAGTGACTTGGCACATGATGGCATTCAGTGATTGTCATTATTTTTTGATGACTGTGTTCCCTTGAAGTCGATGACATCACGATGTGTCATGGTCGACCGGTCATGCATCTGGTAATGACTAATGCCAGTACTAATGGTATGGCCTGACAAGTCTATACGACTCCCTGCTTACAAGTAACTAAGTACAATGATGTGCGCGTGCGCCTGGCAGTCTTGCTCTAATCTCTGCCCAGTCTGGCTCTTGCGCTTGCAAAAATGCAAGCTTGGTTGCATCATGCTGTGAAAACGCAGAAAGACTACCGTAAATAGTTCCTTACATGACTTCACTTATGTTTTCGCTGCTGCGAGGTATTCGAGCGCGTGAGGTGATCATGGTTGACGCGGACCTACTGGGCACGGGAAGCGCAGGTAGCAGTGCTATAAAATTGCTACAGGCGCTGCTCTCTGCTGAGAAGTTGGAAAAGATGCGTTTGTGAAAATTTAATATTTTGGGTGGAGCTGCATGAAGGAGCGGGGATTCGTAGGTATCATGTGCTTGTGATAGCGTGCGAAAGAAGTCTATGGTGAAATAGGCACGAAGGTGAGCAAATAATTATGTGACTGGTATGTCTCTAGTCCTACAGTAGATCCTTGCTTGCAGAGTCAAGTCTCAAGATTGTGATCATGCAAAAGTCTATCACGCGTTGTTGAATATGTTAGTTTTTTTGTTTGTTTAACCACTAGCTTGACATGTCAGTAGCCCTATATAGGCCTAGCGCTCTTGTCAGCTAGTGCGGGGTGGATGCTAATAGTAACTGTTTCATTTTCATTTTGAATGCAGCTACATGATTGTAGAGTGCTGCTCAATGAAATCCAGTCGTATCGCTCAAGTTTGTTTGGGTTTTTGATCATTTCGCAGCCCAGTGTTCGCAGGTGTATGGCTGCGCAACGCCGGCGCGCGCTTGAGTGATGCGACTGGATTTCATTGATACCATGCACATCAACTAACACTTCTTAGTTCTTACACACATGCTTGCAACCATGTACTGTAGTGCTGGTGGGGTATTACTATTATTAGATTTCAAAGAGAACTGTGAAATCCGTGCAAAATGGCTGCACAAAAAAACTTGCAACTGTGAGAGTAGTTTTGATCAGCTGACCTGTACTGTCTCCCTATCTCATTGACCTGTTCTTCACTAACTTGCAGTGGTCTTTGGAATGTGCACATCCATGCAAACTCGGAGTTCGATTGCAGAAGTTTCAGAACATAGGACCAATGAGAGAAATTCACTTTTTCTTTCTTCCGAGTGCTCGGATCACTACAGGCCATTGAGCCCTGATCCCCGCCCCTCATCCCAGTCAGATGGAAGCCGGCTAAACTGAATATCAATCCCGACCAAGGAACTACAAGTTACACTATAATGTCCACTAACACCACCAGTTACTAAACAATCACTCTGAGCTCATGCGACAACATTGCACGACACTGACCGACGGTACTGACGTTCTACAACTAACGGTCAGTGTCGTGCAATGTTATCGCATGAGCTGATTGTTTAGTAACTGGTGGTGTTAGGGGACATTATTGTGTAACTTGTAGTTCCTTGGTCCTTTTTACTTTTTATAAATTAATCCTTGGCTCTGCATCCGAGCCCTTTCTTTCTGTTTCCCTCTTGTTGACATTTCGTTCATCTGCAGGTACATGTATGGGTGAATGATGGGCAACATACTTAGCAGCATGATAAATAGTGTCTGGGACATCGGTAACATGTTGGCCAAGAGAATGGACTTGCCGAACAACAGGTTGGTTGACGAGGCGATGGACAAGATGGCAGACAATATGGCTGATACGGGGGTGGCTGACGAAGCCACTGCGAGTGTGGCCAAGCAGAATGTGGCTAGCGACACTGTCGGTGAGGTTGAGAATACAGCTGGCGAAGCTGAGAGCTCCGCGAGTGAGGCTGAGAACTCCGCTAGCGAGGCTGAGAACTCCGCTAGCGAGGCTGAGAACTCTGCTAGCGAGGTTGACAATGGAGTTGGTGAGGCTGACAGTAAAGTTGGTGAGGTTGGCAACGCAGTTGTTGCACTGGTTGACAATGCCATGGGGGAGGTTGCCAATACAGTCGGTGAGATGGCCAATGAAGAAGTGAAGCAGGTGATGAACATGGCTGGAGACTCGATGGATGAGTCTAATGGCGAAATAGGTAATGTCTAAGATGCCACTGGCCCTTGATTAAAGGGGAAGTTAAGGCAAAAATTAAAATTTCACCAGTTGTAGTCTTCGGGGTGCTGAGTCGAATGGTCTTGGTCCGAGAAAGCTGAGACGCTCCCTTCCTACTTGAATCCCAATCGAACTCGCGCACTTCCACCGAAACTGGGTGACTGCGCCCTACTAGATGGGGATTTGTATGCAAAATGTCACTAAAAGCGCCATTTCGTTCTTATAAAAGCACGGATGACCGCGATTGGCCCATATGTTGTAGTCTTTTGGACGCTGAGTCGACTGGTTTTGGTCCGAAAAGGCTGCGATGCAGCGTTCCTCCTTTATTCCCAATCGAACATGGTTGAACAAGCGGTCACGTGCTCGTGGGTGCCCAAATCACCTGGTCACCACGCCAGCAGGCGACAAATTTCACACCAAGGTTCAACTCGAGTTCAACTCGAGTGACAGGAGTGCACCCAAAAAAGGTCAAACAGGCTAGTAAGTTGTACCCTGCAGGCACGGTGACCAGGTGACTGGTGTACGCAGGAGCACGTGACCGCTTGTTCAAGCATGTTCGATTGGGAATAAAGGAGGAACGCTGCATCGCAGCCTTTTCGGACCAAAACCAGTCGACTCAGCGTCCAAAGGACTACAACATATGGGCCAATCGCGGTCATCCGTGCTTTTATAAGAACGAAATGGCGCTTTTAGTGACATTTTGCATACAAATCTCCATCTAGTAGGGCGAGTCACCCAGTTTCGGTGGAAGTGCGCGAGTTCGATTGGGATTCAAGTAGGAAGGGAGCGTCTCAGCTTTCTCGGACCAAGACCATTCGACTCAGCACCCCGAAGACTACAACTGGTGAAATTTTAATTTTTGCCTTAACTTCCCCTTTAATATAGCATACTCGCCTCTCTTGGGATTGAGTACACTGGTCATGTATGTATACCATAATGATTTTAGGTGTGCAAAATGTTGGTGTCAGAGACCTGGCGGGTTTCAAGTGTAATGCATTCCCTTCACATAGGTGCATACTCTAGTGCCTTTTAGGTGTAGTGTTAAATCCGAATTAAATTATTTTAAACAATCGACGAGGAGACAATAGTCGTAAAATGGCAATAAATAAGATAAATTGTGCACTCATAACAACAGCAAAAAAATTGAAGAAAGTTAAGTTCCATAACGTTTTCTTGTGACTGTCATCAGTGGAACGCCGTCACATAAAAATGTAATAACTAAAACACACACTTATATACATGTAGCTAATATGGTTTCAGGTAGAAATACAGCAGCCAGCAAGTACAAAAAGCGAAGTTTGCACCTTTGCAATGTGTGAATATAGTGTTTGTGAGAAAGGTAGTGGCAGATGAATGGATACTGTGTGAATGAATGTAATGGTGCGTGTGTATTACATATATAAAATAGGTGCCAGGATTTCTCTACCGAAATTACCGAAATTGAAAGTTACGCCGAAATTATGATGTTATAGAGTACGGTTTGAGAACAGCATGGTTTGGATGCTGCTTACTTGCCCAATATATCGGTATGATAGCAAATTTTAGGCATGATGGTGACATGCACTTGAGCAAACACCTATTTGCATTCACAACGTCACTTGGCTAAAGAAGAACTGTGGAAGGAACGATCGCTTTCAGAAAGCAGCACTTTGCATGTCTAACTGTGTATAAATATTGCAGACAGCAGGAGTTGCCAAAAACTGCAACAGAAAGCATGTGCGCATTTCAGTGCACTTCCAAGAAACAGAACCGATTGCCATCTATTTTTTTAATCTTGTATCTGCAGACTTCAATACGATACATCCATGCGTCTTTTGTCAGAGTACAGAGAGCAGGTCTGCGTTTGCTGTTGGCAGCGTTTGCAGCAGTGCTGAGTGTGAGGTAAGACCTTGGGACTATGAAAACATTGACTTATTCTGACATACCGGCACCCCGCCATTGGTGTATGACGTATAGACCATATGAGTACATCACCCATGCGGGGATGTATTGTGTACTGTAACTGGCCTATGTGTGTGTGTGTGTGTGTGTGTGTGTGTGTGTGTGTGTGTGTGTGTGTGTGTGTGTGTGTGTGTGTGTGTGTGTGTGTGTGTGTGTGTGTGTGTGTGTGTGTGTGTGTGTGTGTGTGTGTGTGTGTGTGTGTGTGTGTGTGTGTGTGTGTGTGTGTGTGTGTGTGTGTGTGTGCGTGCGTGCTATTTCTACTTCAAGCATAATGTACTCTGGACGCTTTACTATGAAAATGCTTGGCGCTCTGTGCAATCTGGTGATTGACAACAACCGTATCATGATTGCAACTGAATGTTTATCTGCACAGGAACGCTCACTCAAGGAGTGCACAGCGGTGTTGCCGTGTGGACATAGCTGTGGAGGAATTGCTAGAGAGAGTGAATGCCTGCCGTGCCTACAAAGTCCATGCTGTGACAGTAGTCAAAGGACATCGTCAGTACGTTACACTGCAAGCGATGAATGTGCTATTTGCTACACGGACACGCTGGGTGATGCTCCAGCTATTCAGGTTGGTTCAGAATAATGTGTGTATGGCAGACATAGAAGCATACGGGTACCACATTATTCACAGTTCTGAATTTTGACAAGTACTGTCAGCTTCCGGCCTTCCGCTCACCATTTTAATCACGGTCCTCGAATCTTGAAGTGAAGTTGTAGGGCTCCTCTAGGAGACTTCTAATTGACAAGTTATCGAAAAATCTGACTTAAGGAAACAAGAATCCTGAAAATACCACACAGTGAATTCTCTCAGATGATTTGATGGAGATTGCAACAGAAGTTTGAATTCTACAAGTAAGTCTGTGTTAACTGGCTCCTCGTTTGTCTTCACTGTTGTAGCTTTCCTGTGGACACATCTATCACAAGCATTGCTGCGACGCTCAGCTAGCAACACGCTGGAGTGGCCCCAGGATTAGTTTCCAGTTTCTGAATTGCCCCGGATGTGAGGTATGTGTAGACCATACCATCAGGACTCTCAACTACAGGGCCTGTAAAGTGAGATAGAAAACTGTTCACTGACATGGCCTGAGTGTGTCAGCTTTGAAACATATCAACTACTGGATTCTTCTTTTAGTCGAAATCATGTAATTAGGCAAATTTGCCTGTTTGTTCTTCGACTCTAAATAAACAAACAACAACAACAACAACAACTGGAGGCCGATATGCACATAGGAGGGTGTATCCGATGTGGATCACGTAATATCAGTGATTTCTGCATGCACACTGTAGAATAATAGACATAATACCTAATGTTTCGAAATTGCACAGAATCAGTAACTTCTGTCGCCTTGCCGTTTATTTAAATATAAAATATACCTGAATTGATATTGGGATACCCGCATTGGAGAAGCAAGCAGAGGCTGAAGTACATCAGGGTACAATATACTCCAGACAAGTGTCCAACTGAACATACATATGAATTGTGCCCAAAAGTGCACCCAGCTACTATAATTATGCTGTAGTGTGAAAAAGCTCTGCACCTCTGTCTCATTATCGACCTCGTTCACCACACCAGCAACATGACTTTAAGTTGTGGTACATGTACATCCATGGACCCGAATATTTGCTCCATCCCCAAATGCCAGCCTTCAAAGCAAGTATGTGCGTCATCAGGGTACAATATACTCCAGACAAGTGTCCAACTGAACATACATATGAATTGTGCCCAAAAGTGCACCCAGCTACTATAATTATGCTGTAGTGTGAAAAAGCTCTGCACCTCTGTCTCATTATCGACCTCGTTCACCACACCAGCAACATGACTTTAAGTTGTGGTACATGTACATCCATGGACCCGAATATTTGCTCCATCCCCAAATGCCAGCCTTCAAAGCAAGTATGTGCGTATTATTTGTTTGCCATGTATTTCTGTGGTAGAATCAAGTCATGGATCATCCATCATTGAGATCTGCTCTCAAACCCATGAAAGAGCTACAGTCACTTGTGAAGCGGAAAGCTATGCTACGACTGGAACATGAGAAGGAAATGGACAATGAAGCAATCGCCAATCCATGCAGTGAATACTACCAGAAACCTGAGAAATATGCGGTGAAGCGCTATGCATACTATGCGTGTTATGAGTGTGAGCGGGTGAGCATTGAACCTTAAAGGGGCACTCCGGCTTCATTTTCGACGCCGAGTTTTCGATGCCAAGACGAAGGTAGGTGAAAGAGAAGACACCTCGAACAAGAACGAGTCTCCAGAAGCGATCGAGTCGAGCAGGAAGACGACTTTTGAATTTCGGCCGAGCGAGCGCTGATGACGTAATGAGGGATTAGCTTGCCAGTGGAAATGCATCTGCGCACATACATTTCACACACTTTTTGGCCAATTTCCAATCGAAGAAGAGGTTGTTTGCTATGTTCTCCCAACGCCGTGAGCGATCCCGTCTTCTATACCCTTCCAGGTACCCTGAAGGTCCTCCAGAGGAGAATTTATCTCCATCAAAGCGTTGTTGATCCGCTAAATTCGTCTCGAGACATATTCACCCAGTGCAGTGCTGATAAATGTAGAATGTTGAATCTGTGATAATTGTCGACGATGGAGAGAGAGGCTGATAGCCGCTGTCGCAGGGAGAGTGAAGCTGCTGGAAGTAACAACAGGGAGCCCGTTTGTATCACCTGAACAACCAGACTTCAAAGCAGCTTGACCAAATCGGAGGGTGCCTCGTTGCTTATCGTGAATATTACACCGACATGAATTACTACAAGTATACTGGTGAGTTTTTATCTTGTTTTGTTCGTATGCTAGTACCCTGGCCTGGAGTTCTCGTTAGCAAATTCCTATTCCCTGGCGTTTTCTAAACATTCCGTGTAACTGAATACGTGATCAAGTATTCCGATTTGGGTAAATGTGGAATTTGGACATGTATTTTATTAAAAAAAATCTTTTCCAAATAGAGCGTTTGTAGAGAAATGGTTGCCCAAATACAACAAAATTTATTCTGCAGTTCTACAACTAACTTGTACTGAAATCCAGTCGAAGTAAAATTGATTCTTCATGACAGTTGGGGTCAATGAAATCTGATCCAGGCATAATGAATGGTGACGCCTGCCACCCCGGGAACGAATGCCCATTTGGTGGGGGATACCAAAGTACTCGAAAGTAGTGCGTGTTTCAATGTGGCATGGAAGTTTTATATGATCTCTGGTCAATGCAACATACAATAGCCATCATGAATTGCAGGCCTCGAACGCAACTCCGACCAGAATTGGCAGTTCCCTAAGTTAGATGCTTCATAATTCCATGGCCCCAGCTGTAGTTATAGAGGGCTTTTTGCACATTATTCTTATAGTCGATAGGTTTATACTGATGGCCACAAACAACGGCAGTTCAAACTTCACTGATGTGTTCATGAGCTGAGAGATTTCTCTCCACTATTTCTGTTGTGCACACAGGTTTGTCCAATATGCATTGACCGTATTGGGTATGGTACCTGCTCTGAGAAGGGAATCGCTGGAGCCACAGTCCAACTATACAGGCTTTCAAGAAACAGAGAGGAGCCATCTTTGCAAGCTGATACCTGATGTGTACCGACAGAATTCTCACGAGATACCTTACAGACTACGCCTGGTGTATACTTCATAGTACTCCTTCGACTACTGTCTAGAATCAAGTCGACTGAAGCAAGTTCAAACAACTCTGGCTTCAAACGAGCCGTCGATTAGACAAACAAAACATTCTCTCATATACTAGAGCACTCTGACAACTCACGACCTATTCCTAACGATTGCCACCGCTTATAAATATGTAGAGTACTGATTGGAATGTGCTCACAATCTCAACAATCCAGTGCTATAATTATTTGAACTATGTGTTCCTTCCATAAATGTTGTATCCACATATAATCCACAGTGCTGCAAAGTTTCAGAGTTCTCAGGGTATCAAACCCAATTTCGTTCAAATACAGTGAAATAGTTCGTGGACATTATAGCGTAACTTGTAGTTCCCTGGTCCTTTTCGTTGCTATAAATTAATCCTTTGCTCTCTAGCCACCGGCGAGTTCAACAGTGAAATTGTTAGTTCATATTTATGTGGGTATGTGGAGGGGGGGGGGGGGTGAACATATTTCTATATAAGGGACCTGCAACTGTAATACCACAGTACAGTAGATAGCAAATATGTAGAAAACAGAAATGCATGTTACCATCATTGTACATGGACGGGCGCAGCAGGCCGAAGCTGCATAAATCCTGTTCTGGCTGATGCCAGAACAGGATTTATAATCGCCTAGAGATACTTGAGCTATTCCAGTATTCTCCGTGAGCTGTCCCATTCCACAATGGTTCATGCCACCATTATTTCTGGTAGTATCCATGTGCATAATTCCAAGAACATCTCGGATTCTTCAACAATTTGTGCCACGGCAAAAGACAACGCTTGACTCGGTCACTGGGGCTGTCAAACTTCACATCACAAATGAACTTCAATTTCTCATCTGGTTCAAGTATATGTACTGCCATGACTTGACCATGCTTCATCCACAGCTGGGCGAAGATTTTGGCGTTGAATTCCATAGCGCACCTTCTTGCTGCCATGCAGGAATATGTTGAGAGAAGTGAACATATTTTTACTAAAAAAACAACAGCCACTGAAGAGGATAGCATTAGCAATAGCCTTGGGTGAATTTCCTGCAGGTACACGTTGTTGGTAGGTCTACTGGTCGGTCTCCGTATCGTCAAGTTCAGAAATCACCTGTACTACACATCTTGTAGAAGGGATCCTGATCGAATAATTTTCTGATTATAAAATTCACTAAACTGAGGGCGAGACAAATAGTCAGTACTCCCCGATTCCGTCTAGCTGCTTTGATCAAGTGATGCTAACAAGCTCCCCGTTGTTACTTCCAGCAGCTTCACTTTCCTGCGACAGCGGCTATCAGCCTCTCTCTCCATCGTCGACAATTATCACAGATTCAACATTCCACATTTGTCAGCACTGCACTGGGTGAATATGTCTCGAGACGAATTTAGCGGATCAACAACGCTTTGCTGGAGATAAATTCTCCTCTGGAGGACCTTCAGGGTACCTGGAAGGGTATAGAAGACGGGATCACTCACGACGTTGAGAGAACATGGAAAACAACCTCCTCTTCAATTGAAAATTGGCCAAAAAGTATGTGAAATGTATGTGCGCAGATACATTTCCACTGGCAAGCTAATCCCTCATTACGTCATCAGCGCTCGCTCGGCCGAAATTCAAAAGTCGTCTTCCTGCTCGACTCGATCGCTTCTGGAGATTCGTTCTTGTTCGAGGGGTCTTCTCTTTCACCAACCTTCGTCTTGGCATCGAAAACTCGGCGTCGAAAATGAAGCCGGAGTGCCCCTTTAACTGTCATCATTGTTTTGTAGTGATCTTGTGCTGCCCTAAGGGAACGATAGTACAGGTGGAATCCTGATAATGCGAATATGGCTTATTCGAACATACCGCTTAATTAGAAGTTTTTCCAGGACCGATTTCTGTCAATACGATTCCCACATAAAAAATTCTGATAATTCGAACCTCGAACCGGACATGTCCGATTAATTCAAAGTTCCACGGATTCCACAGAAAATGTGTGGGATTTGTGCTGATAATTCGAAGTTAGCAAAGTGTAATTCGAAGTTCACTGTACACTGTACTGATCAGTTCAGTTTGCATGAGCAGGCTGTGCTGGTCAGTTCAGTATCCGTGAAATCTGTGTCTAAGGTCCATAGCGCAACTCTGCGTGACCATAGGAGCATTTCGACATACATATTGTGTTGTGGGGTCATGTTTGGATAATTAGAATGTCCGGATAATTAGAAGTTTTTTCCTGGCATTTGGAGGGCTAATTCTCAGGATTCCACTTGTACAGTAAAACCTGTGCTGAGCAGCGGCTATCATGAACAATCTACTGTCAGCGGGCAGCAGCAGATCTCTATCACTCAAGTTATCACTTGATACAGAAATAATTGTTTTGCAAAAAAAACTTTGTTGCCATACGATTGTGATTGGTGCAGATTGACCCGTAATTTGCCTCTTTTATGCTGACAGAGTATGTTGGTGTTGTTGCCCAATGTAGCCCTATTTCGGCGGTGAAGCACAATGTGCAGATCAACTGGCTGCAGCAGATTTCAATCCCGAGGAACTGATCTGCCCGTGGTGTGCCACTGCGACGGGATCCAGAGGTGTTAAGGTAAGAGCTTGGATTGAGCTTGGAGGCAACACAGAGTGGTCTGTCGGTCTAACTCATAATAATTTAATGTCAATACCATGCCAGCTCTTATCAACCCGTACCCAGAGAAGTTGCAGGTGCTAAAAGGCGGAAAGTGTAGAAGGTCACCTTACTTGTGCTGCATCTACCGTAAAGTACCGCGAGAGCGCCCCATCATATCGTCCTTTCGTGGTCGTATCGTGGAGGTGATTTCCTGTCTGTAGGCCATACGATCCGAACCTTGTACACACATTGCACGTTGAGCAGTCAATCCGTACTCAATTAATTATTTTACCTCCGAGCGGACACGAGCTCCACACAAGAATGTGCAATAGTTTGGCCTTAGTACACCATGGTTCTACAACGTACCGTAATTCCGCGCATATATGCCCATGGGCCTATATCCGCATATAAGCCCATGGGCCTATATCCGCATATAAGCCCACCTCCGTTTATAAGCCCATGGGCCTATATCCGGATATAAGCCCACCTCCGTTTATAAGCCCATGGGCTAATGAACAGACACAAATGCAACTCACGTGTTAAGCAGATTTTTTTCACAAAATGGACTCTTCCTACCATGGTACAGCAGGTCAGTGCAGTTTACCAGTAGAGTATGGTAGACTGACCATGAGCATGGACTTGTACTTTTTCGTGAACCTTCAAAATTCGAATATTGGCCCATGGGCTAAAAAACGAATATGTTTTACTGGATATTTTATCCCCAAACTGCATTGTTTCACATATAAGCCCATGGGCTTATATGCGCGGATTTACGGTACAAACTTCGTTGCACTCTGCCATACGATTTTCCTTTCCCTGGCTGTAAAATCAAGGCGGGGGGGGGGGGGGGGAGGCGGATCAACGGTACGTGACACATGTACCATGTACCATGTACATGGTACAGACGTGCCGAAACCCATACCAGCTATTCTCTTCATCTGGTTGGAATTTACTTGTTGCAACTGTAGTTGTAATTGTTGCTTTGAACCTGTGCTGGTTTGTTTTCCACCAGGAGTGTCCAACCCATGGGAAAGAGTACATCGGCTTCAAATGCCGCTACTGCTGCTCATTCGCCGTTTTCTTCTGCTTCGGACACACTCACTTCTGCCCACGCTGCCATACTGACTTCTCGAGACTTATGGCTATGAAAAAGTTCCCATCTTGCCCGGTCGGCCCAGCTTGCAGACAGCTGCAGAGTGACGAATGCCCTCTGAACATCAGACATCCTCCTACTGGTGAAGAGTTTGCGATCGGGTGTGTGTTGTGCTTGGATCATCAGTCAGATTTTTAGGCCCTAGAATCAACCAGTGTTTACTGACCTTCTATCATGAAGCTATTTTTTTACTTTACTCCTTGTTTTCTATGCTATCATGTTTACTGCTAAAGTGGTGCGCATTTCAGGAAGGTTTCAGGAAGTACTCCCTCCCGCTTTGACCTTGACGTTTTGTCTTTTGTTTCTGTTCGTCTTTTTTTGTTTTGGACTTCCATTGCACAAGTGGATGTTACTTGATGGGTGTGATCGGTGTACTTGGTGCTATTGGGCACATCATCCCTTCTATTTGAACCCGAGTACAAATGAAATCTATATAATGCTCCACACTGATAATCTGAGTTCGTATGTTTTAAAATATAGGAATATAAATGCAACACGTTTAATATACCAGCAAATGAACTCTGAAAATAAAATGTTATAAGATTATTGCGATATGTTTGCTGTCCTGTACAAGAAATCACTACACACGTGGCCAAAGTAACGCCTGGCGTTAGTTTTGGGTGTTTCCTTGTGTAACCATGGTAACACTGTTTTTATTTGACATTCTCTTTCTTTACTGAGTTGTTGATGCTGTTGATTTGCTACTCTTTTGTTTTCCCTTCCCTTACTCCTATTTTTCGCCGGTGTTTCCACCGAAGCTTGAGATGATTGTAATAAATAAATAAATAACATGCATACATACTCTATGTTGCACAATCATGTACATGTACATGACACTGTACACTAGTGTACAGTGTACAGTGTCATGTAGTATTGTTCTGTCGTGGTAATGACTAATGATTATGTAGATCAAGTACAACACGCGATACATGTTACCATGGTTACTGCATGAGCATGGTACGGACTGGGCCGGTCCTGTGCCTGTGCATGTGGTAGGGTGTGGTCAGCTCTGACCTGCACTAAGCCTCTCTAAGCCTAAGGCCGTACTCTGCAGGTTGTCCTATTCAGTGACCATGGTGACACATCGGATAGAACTTAGTACTAGTAGCAGGGAGTCGTAAAATAGTATTTTACGACTCCCTGACTAGTAGTAGTAGTACTAGTACTAGAAGACTGTCTGAAGTTCAAGTGCCAGGTCACCATGGTCACAGCCAGCCGGCCTGGACTGGCTGGAGTCATGACAATGCTGACTTCTAGTTCTGGACCCATACATGCACCATTTACACGTCACGTGTCGTTGCCGTTCCATACACACGCAGTGCTGCCAAACCGTCCGATTTTTCGGACAGTGTCCGATTTTTGAAGGCTCTTCCGAAAACCGGTCCGAAAAGGGAAACGTCCGAAAAGCAGCCAAAATGTCGGAGATCATTACCATGATTACTTTCCTATGCAGAAGTCCTGTACTTCACTTTTCAGCGCAACTGAAGGCACTAATCACTGTACATTTGCTTCTAAAAAGGCTAGCGCTTGGCTGTGGAAGTGCAAAGTAACATGCCTGGATCAGGCTGGATGGCATGTACACTGACAGTCTATACAGAGTCAGTGTGCGACCACACTCATCATTACAAAATTCATGACAACTCTGGGGTTACCATGGCAACGAAGCGAATTTTCATGGTGTTTTAGGCAATATTTTGAATTCTCTGTAAAAAATTTGCCGAGGAGAAAAATTCGCACAATGTGGCCAGCGTTGGCGCGCCGCCGGCGGTGAAGGGTGTCCGATTTTGGGCGAAAATTATTTGGCAGCACTGCACACGTGCAGTTGTCTGGAATAATGGCTTTTCCAGTGACCACAGTGTTCCTAAAATTGAAAAGTACCACTGGTCCAGTCCTGGTACATGGTACATGGTACATGGTACATCATGGTACATGGTACATGGTACATGGTACATGGTACATGGTATATAAACAAATGGGTGGGTGGGGGTTGAGTACAGTATAGAGAAAGGACCAATAATTTACTTGAAGACTGAGTTACAAGTTAGTTATGACTACCAGACCGCGGCTTCTATCGGTTTGGATAACAAACACGTATGATAATGACCTTGGTAAAGAGTCTTGATCATACCACTGATAACCGCTCTATTCAGCATTTCCATCCATTTTGTTTACTGGGAATAGCAAGTGATAGAGCGGTTATCTTGGTTATCAGTTGACACCCCCCCCCCCCCCCGTTTCTTCACAATGCAGCCGTGTGATGTCCACAGCTTTCTTGGTTTGTTTATTTTGCCCGTAAAAAGAGGCTTGAGCTGAAGTTGAGGAAGACTGAGCTGGCTGGCAGCTATCTCGTCGAAAATTCGCACCTCGTATCGAACATGGTAGCGATACTCGGTAACTCCGATTGCGCGGCATGGCACCTCACCTGTCAACTACATCAGTACATGTACTTACTTACTTCAGTTCAGTCCGGATGTTCGTTCACACTTCTTTCTGTCTTTGCAGTAACCTGGTAACAACGCCAACGGTGTGGAGAGCGCGCAGTTGAGCCCGTGCTAGTGGAGCGGACACCAGTAGGCAGTACTGACACTTGTCGACAAATGCGCGCAAAACATGGAGCATTGTTCCTGCTAAACTAAAACAGTAAAAGGAGCCAGTCCAGTTCAGTCGACGACTGTTTCGTGCTCGCAGAGTTGTATTGCTTCCACGTCGGTACTCACAAGTGAAGTACTGTGACATGTTAGGTCGTCTTTGGACTACTATGTGATGGGAAGGCTTTGTGACGTTTGTCTTTGTTGAAAGCGCTTGGTCTGGATGGAGCAAGGTACATGTAGTCCTAGACAAGGTATAGGATAGGCCGGGTCTTCACACTCACTCTTACCAAGAGCACGAGCGGACGGAGCTATCACTGGGATGTCTGAGGCAACCAGGCAGGCTGTCCTGTTCACAAAGCTGCAAACTTCAGAGCTCAGCACCCAGACCCTCGGCTCTGGCTCTCTGTCGTATTCTTGTACAGTCGACCTACCCTTATAACGATATTTCCGTCACACCAAGAAATATTGTTATAAGGGTAATATTGTTATAGGGGTAACTGGTTCATTTCATACACATACGTCATAATGCATGAATTCTGTTCATTTTTACACTCTTCATAGCATAATAAACTGACGTACATGCTCATTATGGGCACAGCAAGGTGCCCACTGGTGCCCCCATTGCATTTCGTCATGTCCCAGCGACTTATCAAGTGAAGCTTGCCCTACCTGGATAGTGGGCTCTACATGTTGCTTGCTAGATACAGTCGACCTACCCTTATAACGATAACCTCTATAACGATATTACCCTTATAACGATATTTTTCTGCCAAACCAAATCACTCCATTGACTTGTGTATACAGTGCCTTACCTCTATAACAATATTGTTATAACGATATTACCCCTATAACGATATAAAATGGGCTGACCAATCGACATTTTCCATTTTATAACAATATCTAGCAAGCAACATGTAGAGCCCACTATCCAGGTAGGGCAAGCTTCACTTGATAAGTCGCTGGGACATGACGAAATGCAATGGGGGCACCAGTGGGCACCTTGCTGTGCCCATAATGAGCATGTACGTCAGTTTTTTATGCTATGAAGAGTGTAAAAATGAACAGAATTCATGCATTATGACGTATGTGTATGAAATGAACCAGTTACCCCTATAACAATATTACCCTTATAACAATATTTCTTGGTGTGACGGAAATATCGTTATAAGGGTAGGTCGACTGTATTGTTATAAAATGGAAAATGTCGATTGGTCAGCCCATTTTATATCGTTATAGGGGTAATATCGTTATAACAATATTGTTATAGAGGTAAGGCACTGTATACACAAGTCAATGGAGTGATTTGGTTTGGCAGAAAAATATCGTTATAAGGGTAATATCGTTATAGAGGTTATCGTTATAAGGGTAGGTCGACTGTATTTGTAAGTAGTATTAGTTCACTATCGTCTCAGCAGCAATGCCGACTTCTCGACTTCTCGAAAGTTTTCAAACGTCGTTTCCGTCCTTCTGTTTGCTTTCTGGTTCCATTGCTTCTTCCTGACCAGCGGCAGTTGTGGCTCACATCCGCGGCAGCCATGAGCTTTGCCAAGTCACTTAGTGACCATGGTGACTTGCAGGCCAGGACGTACATGAACTACCAATGACCATGATGACCACCGGTACTACAATCTACATTTTCAGTTGCGCAGATTGAGTACATTTCAGTTGCGCAGATTGAGTACATTTCAGTTGATGTGGGTCTTCGGCCGGAATCATTCACTTCGGTGGTTTCTAAAGTCCACCTGTCGAAAGCGACAGTCCAGCAAGCGGTGCAAGCAGCGCAAGCAGTCCCCTTCGGAGTGCATACCCCAACTGTCCTTGCTGCTGGCTCTGGTAAGTCCGTAACAGACTCAGTAATTTTTATTATCATTAGTTTAGTCCGCTCGCGGGTAGATCTACGAAGTACTAGTATGTGTATTGTGTGTTCTGCGTTACGGGCAATTCCTAGTTACGGGCAGTACTCCGTCCCAACCAAGGTACTACAGTCCATTCAGAAAAAGATGATATCCTAGCTTTTGGGCATAAACGGGTCAAATTTTGAGTTTTTGTCACAATTGTTTTGGCAATCCCCCATGGAATGCTCTTCCAATTGTGTTTTTGAAGTCTATTTCTCCAAAGAGCAAGCCATAACAAGAATAGGATTTCGGCCAGGTTTTGCCCCTAAAGCACTGAATTGGGGAAAAACCATGAAAATCGAGGCCGTTCACTCCACTTGCATAACAGTACATTTGCGGTTCAAACCCCAGCTGAGGTACCTTTTTTTGGACCTTTTTCAAGTTTCGAATCTCGCGGCACTGCACAGTGTACCACAAAATCGCCAAATACGGGAGCTCTCCAGAGCCAGCGCTCATCGGCTTTTTCTGAATGGACTGTAGCAAGAGTACATGAAAAGGTTTTCATGTACTCTTTGACTGTAGTAGTTTTCCTGTACTAACTGTTTACCTGTTGATAAGTGGACTGCGTCTGGCTAACTCTTGTGTAATACATGGTGCTAGTGAAGCATATACCCTATACTCGGATCAAGTCTGATTTCACCGACACTGGTATCTAGCAGTACATGTACATGCACCTTCACTGGGACAGGGGTAACTGCAGTTGGATCCCGGGACAGATGCTTTAATGCCGTCAATCCATTTCCTGCACCTTGTCCTCACCCACTTACTGAGGTGGGTGAGCCCATACTGTAGTGTCGCGTATAGAAGCATGACCTGTATAGAAGCATGACTCGAATAGAAGCCGATTTTCCAAAGCGCGCAGAAGCATGGTTTGAATAGAAGCACATGTACAGTTGCGCTCGGTGAAATCCGGCCCGAAGTGCAAAGCCGGCGCCGCGAAGCCAGCTCCCATTACATCACTGGCGATTTGTGGGTATGAACTCAACTGTACGCACCTCGTGTAAAAGTTCGGAGTGCACGTGTTGCATGCTAAAAACAGTTCAAAATTTGCGTATGAGTACAGCACATATACATGCACAGTTCATGCGGCTCACGTGCACACTAGCACTAAGTCTTGTACAACTTTGAGGGCGTCAAGGGCCGCATCAGTACTGGGCGCCAGTTATGCACTTCGGGCCGGATTTCACCGAGCGCAACTGTACTTGCACACTACACGTGTGACAATGTACACTGTACAGTGTAGACTGAAGATGTTGACATGTAGAACTGCATGTTTTGAATAGAAGCATAACTTGAATAGAAGCACGGTTTGAACCCCGGCTCATACGGCCGTATGCACCTGCTTATATACGCGACATTACGGTAAGTTGAATTGTTTCAAAGTCCACCCCAAGCTGGGGGCATACAGGACAACCCTCCCGGTTTTCCCGGGAAAATCCAGCGAAGTCAACAATACTCCCAGGATCCCGGGATTTCAAGCAAACCCCCGGAAAAGTCACATTTTTGTCTGATCCAGGTTTTCCCTGAACAACCTCCAGGTAGGCTTTCCCCAAATCGGCTGGGCAAAAAAATTCACCAAAAATGAGACTTATCGAAAATCGCTAAGCTTTTCGCCAATTTTGGAGGGTTCCTTTGAGAATCGCCGAAAATCTACCAAATAAGTAAAAGTGGGGAGGCTTCCTGCAGTTTCATAAACAGTTAAGAGTAGAGCCCGCACGCTCTCTCCCATTAACACAACTCATTTCACAATAATTATTCCAACGTTTCGGCAAATTGCCTTCATCAGGTTCACAATGATGTGCAAGCTCCCAAACCAGCATTGGTTAAGGCCAACTCCCCTGTCAGTAAGAGGGTGTGAGAAGCAGCGCGAAAAGAGTCCAGCTAATAGTGCTAACATCAACTATCAGTGGAGGGGACTACAGCTGAGGTAAAACAAAAAACACATTATCCAGCGCCGAATGTCATGATAATCAGGCAATAAGCAAGTGGCAATATAAATTACAGCAATGACCACCCAGCGTTAGTGTTTATCTTTGGAGCCAAATTTCTGATCTCCACAGCCTCCTTCAACTTCCTGCTAGCTCTGTCGCCTTCTCGAGCGAGGACTGATACTGCTGTGAAGGCGCTATCTCGCAGTCTCAATCTCCTACGCGAGTGCTTGTTTCTCATGTGGTCACCCCAAGGCTTGTCACGAGTCCTTCGACGTGCTTCTCCATTATGTTCCTTTAGACGGGTCTCTAGTGATCGTTCTGTCTCTCCAACGTAATATCCGTACACCATTTGCAATCTATTCTGTATACTACATTCTTTTTCATGCAAACCTTCTCCCCACCGGATTGACAAGTAAGACATGGCTCAAGCGGGCGGCCTCGTCTTTTGTTGCGTAATATTCGGCTCCTTGACACACTGGGGTGGAGACTGTGCTGAACGACATAATTGATTGCGGAGACTGCCCGAGTGCTCCTAAACTACTCTTACCGGCAGTTTGTACTTGTGAATGGCCCTGTTTACCCTTTGGTCTACTTGATCCGACTTAAACGGTAGTTACGTCGACGCAGAGGAAACCCACGCTGTGGGTTTCCTCTGCGTCGACGTCTAGGCTTCCTTGCCTCTTCCCTTGCCTCGATGATGTTTTCTGGATAATGGTTCAGGAGTAGTTGTTGGTGTATCTTATGTTCACTTTCAGCCCGCATCTGAGCATTGGATGAGAGTCGCTGTGCCCTCAAGAATTGCGACTGTGCGACGGCCAACTTGACATGAGTAGGAACTGAAGATGCGTAGTCAACTAACAGACTACTGCTGCACGGCTTCTGAAATAGTCTATATGACAATTCGCTTGACTGTTGAACAGCGATGGTGACATCCGTATAGTCTAGGCAGCCTCTGTCGCAGCTCAGATCATAGGTGAACTTGATTCGAGGGTGGACGTTGTTGAATCGGTCAATCAGCTCCATAAGTCGCTGTTTTCCATGGATCCAGAGGATAATGATATCATCAATATACCTTCTATACAGAATAAGGCGCAAGGGGTGAGTCCTGGAGAATACGTGTTTCTATGGTGTGCATAAACAAGATCACAAATGGCGGTGCAAGATTATTGCCCATAGCTACCCCGTTAAGCTGGTGGTAAATTTGGCGACCGAATCTGAAGTAATTGTGAGTAAGAACGAATCTGAGTTAGCTTTTGGCTTGGCAGACATCGAGGCCAAACATGTCCAAATGTTGTTGCAAAGTGCGTTTACGAACAAATGATGTTGCTGCAAGCATGACCGCTCGATAGGCTTTCCCCCAATCGGCGGGCCAAAACATCTGAAAACGAGACTTATCAAAAAATGGTAACATGGAAATTGTGGGCACAAGTTATGCGATCGAGTCCACCAACTAAACCAGATTTTGAACAGTCAGGCGTGCACAATCTAGCACAAAACTGACAAGGAGTACTGAGACATTCACGACATTCTGACTGTTCAAAATCTGGTTTAGTTGGTGGACTCGATCGCATAACTTGTGCCCACAATTTCCATGTTACAATTTTTCCTTGGCTCACCATCTGATTTATCCAAAAATTGCTTTTCGCCGATTTTGTGGATGGTTTCTTTGAGAATCGCCAAAATCTATAAAAATAGGTTGTTGCAAATTATGGAAATTGTGGGCACAAGTTATTCGAGTCCACCAACTAAACCAGATTTTGAACAGTCAGGCGTGCACAATCTAGCACAAAACTGACAAGGAGTACTGAGACATTCACGACATTCTGACTGTTCAAAATCTGGTTTAGTTGGTGGACTCAATCGCATAACTTGTGCCCACAATTTCCATGTTACAATTTTTTCCTTGGCTCACCATCTGATATATCCAAAAATTGCTTTTCGCCGATTTTGTGGATGGTTCCTTTGAGAATCGCCAAAATCTATAAAAAAAGGTTGTTGCAAATATGCCAACACTTCTTTTAGCCGATTTTCCAATATATTCCAATTTTGCAGCCGATTTTCGAACAATCAGTTGATTCTGCAGCCGAATCTGATGTATTTTTGAGCCTAGCGAAAAGCCGATCGATTTGGGGAAAGCCTAACTCCAGGGACTCGCCTTCGATGTCCCGAGTTTTCAAAAATATGTACGGTACGCACTTGCACTTCAAACTGTGCAGTGTGCACCTAACCTGCATGAATGATCTGCACCGACAGGCGCGCATTGACTGATCGAACTGCCCCGCAGGTCGAACTGGGCTGTACGTTGCGTCCAGTCAGTGAAATGCGGATCAGGGCGCACGCACTGTATCATTCGTCCGGTGCCATTGAAACGTTTTTTTTGGCGGGAAAAGCTCTTTTCACGTGTTTTTGAACCGGCTTTTCGTGCTATCGATTTTGTGAGAAATCCCGGGATTCTGCATGTCTTGTCAAGGGATTGAGATTTTTGTAGTTGGTCAGCATGCTGGGGATTTCAGGGGGTATCAGCTAGGGGTAAGCAGATTATGCTCGGAAAATGACCAGATTATGCTCTAGCGGATGCTCGAGAAAACAGCCAATTATGCTTTTATATTTTCACCAAAAAGACCAAAAGAACAGATAATCGTCGAGTGCCAAGCGACTTTTGACATGGATCTCTTCACCGTTGTCTTGACAGATATGAAAATAGGAGTGCGCATCATGTGGCAATGATTCGGACCGCGGACTGCTATGTTTGCCAACAGGTTAGTGTTTTCCAGATCCCTGCTCCAAAATACACGTAGCAGTAGTAGTAGTGGTAGTGATAGTCAGACTACAATGTAGGTATTTACGTTGCCGGTAAATCACACTGCAACAGTGTAGTACTGGTACACTTCATTTCTGAGAGCCATTCTCCGCCATTTTGCCAAAAGCTGAAAGCCTACAGTAGAGTCGCGCGCTTAAGAACGTGGAGCCCAAGAACGTCCAGCCTGAAATTCTAAGAACGCCACAGCCTTAAGCTAAGAACGGCGGTGTTGGTTTTCTGGCAGCTTGTGGGATACATATTATGATCCAGTGCGGATTGTTTCTTAAGAACGTGCTGTAAGAACGCAGGCAGATTGCAGAAAAATAAGAACGTCCCAGGCTAACCCCTTGGAAACAACGTTCTTGGGCGCGCGGCTCTTCTGTATTGCAAGACTGCCACGTTCATACAAGTGACTCCTGTCCAAGCTGCATGTGTGAGCACAGTTGTTCTGAATCTCTAATACACACCAGTGTTTGACTGTACAGCGCTCTACAGTCCGTTTCAAAACTATAGACGCGTACCTAGGCAAAAAACCGTTATGCCAGCATCTATACCACATAAAATCTGTGATCACTTTGTGCATAATTTTTTCCAAATTGGGCGTCTGTTATCCAATCGTTTAGAAGCGATATTGTGGAGCGGACCTGAGCAATATTCCGAAAACTATTCTCAAAAAGTTCCAGCCAAATTTGAAATATTTCAAAAACATTGCGCATCTATAGGTTTGAAATGGACTGTAGTCTACAGTACAGTGTGTGTTGGTCAGGAACTAGACATTATGTAGCCCGATTTTGCTGGCAATTCTGCGAGCAAAATATTGAAGAATTTTTCTAAGAGGATTTGCTGGCAAAACGGAGCGAAATATCGGTACGTTCGCTGTAAATAATAACGAGAGAGCTTGGAAGCTCAGGGCCCTACGCTATGCTTTAATGACCTAGACAAAAAAAGCATAGGGATGTTATAAATTCTTATAAGTTTCTACTTTTGTTTTTAGACATAACCTGGGATTCGAACCCGCACTATCGCCCTGCATGCATCCCCGATACACTTCGCATACATACTAATTCTTCCAACTTGCTTCACGTTATGATCTTGTATTTGAAAGCCCTATTTGAATATGCATTGTGGCCAACCGTCTTTGATTGTATGGTACGGTACGGGACAGGTACGGGACAGGTACGGTCGAGGGTAATACGACACCATCTACCGCCTTGATGAGGGCAAAAAAAGAATAGGGATGTTATAAATTTTTCAATTTTCCTATTTTTTTCAGGCATTACCTGGGATTCGAACCCGCACTATCGCCCTACATGCATTCCCTCATACACTTCGCATTCATACTCATTCTTCCAAGTTGCTTCACGTTATGATCTTGCGTTTGAAAGCCCTATTTGAATAGTGCGGCCAGTGGCCAGTTGTGTTTGATGGTACGGTACGGTACGGGACAGATACGGGATAGCGCCAGGCGTGACACAAACACACAAACACCAAATTAAAGCTGTGTGGACCCTGGCTAGCGCCAGACGTTACTGAAGTAACGTCTTCTGCATAGCTACGGGAATTAATTTATATTATGGTGCACGTGACTCATTTTCGCACATTTTTGCAAACACATGACTCACTTTTTCTCATTTTTTGCAAACACATGACCCACTTTCCTTCAGATTTCCCACACATGACACAAATTTGGGAGCAAAAAGTGATCAAAATATCGAGTGGCCTGGCAAAATGAAAGCAAAATATCGACGATGAGCCAGCAAAATATCGAAGCTTCACTGGCACAATCGGGCTTGGCCTATCAGGAACAGCATTGGCAGTAGTGTCATATGCTGCTAAACCACAGGACGGGGTGAAACAGCTACTCTTTAAAAAGGGAACTCAGCACTGTGGGTCAGCTAGGCATTGTTTGATGATGCCTGCTGTCGTAGTGAGATGTACTAACTGTGCTCATTTGCTGCATGCTGTCTCTGACTCCGTTTCCCGCGACATGCACTGCAGGTGTGTCCAGCCTACAACACTATGTTGCATTCACAAGTCACTAATGATGAAGGAGGATAATACAAACGAGTTGTTGGGCGTGCCTGCACCCTTGAACCCGGACCCCGTCAAGCTCTCTATGACTTGCTCCCCTTGAACTCGAACTCCGTCCAGCGCTCTATTACTCCCCTCGACTCCCCTTGAACTCCGACCCTGTCAAGCGCTCTATGACTTGCTCCCAGTGAACTCGGACCCCGTCAAGCGCTCTATGACTTCGTTATCATTCTAGCGTTGCTCCTGTAACTACGCTGTTCCCTCACATGTCGTCACATTCTTGGCGTCCAATTTGGGACAATTGGCGTCCAATCGCTTTGCACATAGCCTGGCATATGACACGGCGAAGAATGCAAAACTCGTCGACAGGTACTCCTGCTTCCCGTGATGACAGTTACCAAAAATCGACTACTTCGCCTGTGTAGCCGAGACCCGCACTGGTTTGTCTGCAGAATAAATACAGAGCTAAGCTTTCATGCATGTCTGTGTGTGGCGGCGAACTGCAGCTACATGTAGGAAAGAAAAAGCTGGCCGACCAACCGGGCCTATTGCTGCTGAGTGAAGTGATCCTAAACACATCAATTCTAGAACTATAATTTAAAAAATTCGTTCCGGGAAAATTATCGAAAATGCCGGATGGGCCCTGATCATATTATGATATGATAATGCATCGAATCACATACATTAGATGTTTCTGTTTCTGTCCAACCTTTATTCTAATTTATTCCTTTATTGCATTGCTTCGTGTTTCGCGTGCCGCCCTAGGCAATTCTTCTAGCTCCTGTTATTAAAGTAATTAGTTAATGCTTTTCTTCCTTGAATGAGTGTAATTCGCAGCTGTAGTGAGGAGAAACATTTTCAGATTAAAATTATATCCAATAATTATAATTTTCAAATTTCTTGAAAATTTTGTAGTGTGAATTTGTATAATATTCAGTCTAGAGAAAACGAAAACGATCGCTGTTTTTGTCGGTATTTTTCTGGGGAGGGTGCTCTCGTGCAGCTCTCTCCAGCTACCCGGCACGTGGGCCGGTGGCTGGTTTACTTGACCAGGACCAGAATAGGGCATGCTAAACACCATATGGGATGGCTCGGGTAAGCAGCGCTAGAATGCACCAGGCGGCCAAGCCCTTTTAGAAGGGTGGAATGGCTCGGGTGCCCCAGGGATTTGATCCAGGTGACATAATCCATCCCAGAATCTGTGGAAATGACTTGAGCATGACTGACTTCCAGCTCCGCATGAGAGAGACTATCAAGTTGGGGCGCGGTGCCAAGCATGTTCACACTGGCAGATTACAGTTGGCAGATGCGGTTGACCAACACAGAATGCGACAATGCGAGCCTCCTCTTCCATCTGCACCATCTGCATATGTTTGGCCAGCCTCTCGGTGTGACAAGTCCCAAGAGCAAGCCAAGGTAGCAGTAGTTCATCAGCACACGTTGCACCTTGAGGCACGCCACTGAGACAATACCGTGCCTCGAACCAGCGCCGTAGCTCGCCATGGTATGCCATTATTGTACTCAGGCATCCTTGCGTGCTGTTAGTATGATACCATTGGAGAAGATAAAGCGCTTGACACCGTCGAGCAACCAAGCGAAGACCAGGAACACACACAGGTACTGGATCCAGGCAAACTTGATCAGCTCCCAAAATCCGGCACGATATCTACGACCACGGCAGCTAGTCAAGGACAATCAATGGCACTGACAACACCCATCAGAAAACTACAAATCGATCCCTGGCCTGTGGGTGGTGGAGTTCCTACGCACGTGGAGAGTTCAGTCTGGTTGACTTTCACACAAACCGTGATGTGTTATCCTATTGGTGTGGTCGATAAGGTCTGTATTAACCTGATTAGGACACTGCACTCGTGGTAGCCATGACTACTTGGTAGCCATGACTACAAGATACTCATTGTAACTACCAACTAGCCCTTGGCGGATAATGGTTGTAAAATTGGCAGATTCCATTTGAAACGCAGTGAGATTGGCAGAACCATACAAACCTTATTTGCAAGCACTCCCTCGAATTCTGCTCCATTTCTTTATCCACACACCAACATGCATGGAACATTCCAGAAAAACTCAGCTGAAAAATTACCAAAAAAATGAAAAATTACCACATTCTGCCAATCTTTCTGCCGGCATTATCCACCAAGGACTAATTGTAACACAGTCATCAACACAACCATGTGATCAAGAGGATACGTGAAGGTCTGTTCAGGAAAACGGATGTACGCTTGCACAGTGAACGCTAGCTGGTCACTGGGATTGGGTGTCCAGATGTGGTGCGTATTGCGGAGGTGCGTTGTCTCTATGTCGGGAACGTTCACAAGCGTGTACGGAACGTTCACAAGCGTGTACATCACGTCCATACCAAGATATGCATACACACATGCACATACACATACACACACGCACACACTGGTACTGGTAATGCAGTTGCACTCGGTGAAATCCGGCCCAAAATACGTATTTGACACCCTCAAGTTGCACGGCCCACGACGTTCTGCTGGCAGTGATACAAATGCGACTGGACCTGCACGTGTACAAACGCAGCGACGTAATCAGAATTGGTCCAGGGCGCCAGCTTTGCACTTTGGTTCGGATTTCACTGAGCACAACTGTATAGATATAAACGCACACAAGCATCTCCGCAATTCACTCACGGCCCTCACTAAACTGAACCTTTGATAGTCTTGATTGTGCTACACAAGCAAGCTGAGCAGCATTGCATGTCAACAGTGATGCGGGCACAGGGAACCATATATGTTATCATGGGTATAGTCCTTGAACTAGCCACCGTGGAGAATGATACATGCACCATACGTTCAAATCAGCATGTACACTTCCGTGTGTCTACAACATCCGTAAAATCAACATGTACACTTTTGTGTATCTGCAACATTCGTCAAATCCGCATGCGCACTTTTGCATGTCTGCAACATTCGATAGCGACTACATGCACAATGCACAGAAATCCCACTATCTGCATGCCGCACTGTGGGTTATGTTGTGCCATGCTGCCAAGCTTGTCCACACAGCTTTCACAAGCAAAACAAAATCGTCGCCATAGGTATCCTTACCATTTCTCTGTGCATACGTGTGCAGGATGTTGAGAGTACTGTAGTCATGAGCAAGTAGACTATCAGTATTCACGATTGAAGACTGCGCACAACACAACCACCACCAGTGTGAGTGCAAAAATACACACACACACACACACACAAGCGGAGAAAGCGTCAAACATGTGACACGGAATAGAAAAGAGCCAGAATCTGCATCTCCGGATGCCAAAAGGCGATACGTGTATTTAGCACCATCACACCGAGCACTCTCTTCTAAAATCCTATACGCAGGTCTGAAGGATTTTCATTTTCTTTCCACAAGTAGTCCACTCTAGGACCGTTACTTTTTCTGGCCTTCGTCAACGACCTCCCTGTCCTCAACCCTGGCGTGTCTCTGTTTGCAGACGACACTTGTATGCTGCGCAGTAGTCCCTCTGTTTCCCATCTTTTATCGGACCTCCAAGCTGGTATCACGGATATCACCTCCTGGATGGCATTGTGGAAGCTAAAACCTAACGTCGGGAAGACCAAGGTAATGATCATTCCCCCTCTGTCTACTACTCTCTACTACCTTCTCCCTCCCCTAGTATTCCATTTCTCCACCACTCCCATAGAATATGTAGATCATCACAGACATCTTGGTGTAATTTTTCACACCAATCTCTCCTGGACCCACCATGTTGCCCACATATGTAAGAAGACTAGTCAAGCCATAGGTATAATATACTCACACCGCGCCCATCTTCCTGACAGCTGTCGTGCTCTTTTTTATAATGCATATATCTTGCCGCATTCCGACTACTGCTGTACTGCCTGGACAAATCTATCTATTGCCCAACAGCAGAAACTGGAAATTCACAATCGTTCCCTCCTTTTAAGATTCTTTATCATATGCCCAAGTCCCTTTCTAGTGTCGCTCTCTATATGTTATCCTCGACCAGACCTCTCCTAGAAAGACGACGAATCATGATGTGCTGTCTTATTCATCGTATTCGACTTTCCACAATACCCCCGCATCTTAAACCATTTGACTGGTTCCGACGGGATAGCTCCACTAGGAACCAACTCTCCCTTCCTCTAGCCCGCTCTTCTGCATTGCTACACTCCCCCCTTTTCAATGGCTATTTGCATTGGCTTAAGCTGCACCAGGAGACAAAGGGCCTTTCTACTTTAACAGCATTCAGGAACGCCTTGCTTTACCAGTAGACCACAATTTCAGTCCACATTTGCTTCTTTCTTCTTTCCCTTTTCTTTTTGACATCTTACTCTTTTCCTTGATAGCCGTGGTTGGCTATAAAAACCCTGCAATCGCCACGAAAGTGGTCATTGCCTACCCCAGCCATGTATTGCTTGGAATAAAAAATAAAATAAAAACGAGAGAGCTTGGAAGCTCAGGGCCCTACGCTATGCTTTTTTGCCTTGATGACCTAGACAAAAAAAGCATAGGGATGTTATAAATTCTTTAAAAAAATCCTATTTTTAAGACATAACCTGGGATTCGAATTCGCACTATCGCGCGCCCTGCATGCATCCCCCGATACACTTCGCATACATACTAATTCTTCCAAGTTGTTTCACATTGTGATCTTGCATTTGAAAGCCCTATTTGAATATGCATTGTGGCCAGCCGTCTTTGATGGTACGGTACGGTAGGGGATAGGTACGGGGACAGGTACGATCGAGGGTAATACGACACCGTCTCCCGTACCGTACCATCAAACACAGCTGGCCACATACAGCTGCCCGCAATATTCAAATAGGGCTTTCAAACGCAAGATAATAACGTGAAGCAACTTGAAAGAATGGGTATGAATGCGAAGTGTATGGGGGAATGCATGTAGGGCGATAGTGCGGGTTCGAATCCCAGGATATGCCTGAAAAAAATAGAATTGAAAAATTTATAATATCCTATGCTTTTTTGCCGTCAGATACGGATAGCGCCAGGCGTGATACAAACAAACAAACACACAAATACCAAACGAGAGAGCTTGGAAGCTCAGGGCCCTACGCTATGCTTTTTTGCCTTGATGACTTAGACAAAAAAAGCATAGGGATGTTATAAATTCTTATAAATTTCTACTTTTTGTTTTTAGACATAACCTGGGATTCGAACCCGCACTATCGCCCTGCATGCATCCCCCGATACACTTCGCATACATACTAATTCTTCCAAGTTGCTTTACGTTATGATCTTGTATTTGAAAGCCCGATTTGAAGATGCATTGTGGCCAGCCGTCTTTGATCGTACGGTATGGTACGGGACAGTTACGGGACAGGTACGGGACAGGTACGCGACAGGTACGGTAGAGGGAAGTACAACACCATCTACCGCCTTGATGACGGCAAAAAAAGAATAGGGATGTTATAAATTTTTCAATTCTCCTATTTTTTCAGGCATTACCTGGGATTCGAACCCGCACTATCGCCCTACATGCATTCCCCAATACGCTTCGCATTCATACTCATTCTTCCAAGTTGCTTCACGTTATGATCTTGCGTTTGAAAGCCCTATTTGAATAGTGCGGCCAGCTGTATGTGGCCAGCTGTGTTTGATGGTACGGTACGGTACGGGACAGATACGGGAAAGCGCCAGGCGTGACACAAACACACAAACACCAAATTAAAGCTGTGTGGACCCTGGCTAGCGCCAGACGTTACTGAAGTAACGTCTTCTGCATAGCTACGGGAATTAAAGCTGTGTGGACCCTGGCTAGCGCCAGACGTTACTGAAGTAACGTCTTCTGCATAGCTACGGGAATAAGTAACTCTTGCCCAAGATAAGTTGTTCGGTTTCTAACTATGCTTTGAGAACGAGTTTATTCACAAAGCCATGAAGTGAGAACCAAAGCAAAAAACACAGCCCATACTTATGTCATGTAGGATTTTAGTACTTCAAGTATTTGAACAGGCGACGTGGAGACAACAATCTTAATACAAGTAAAGCAATGAATAAAACTATTATATGTGCGCACTCATATTACAATTGAATGGTTCCAGAACGTTTTCTTGTCACAATTATTATCAATGGAAACTCGTGACTGAAAAAATTCACGGTTCGCGTGAGTTTTCTGCATCCGCAGGACCGCCACCACCCTCTAGGAGCTAGGACTAAAGGCAATATCAAAATAGTAATAGGATTTAATAGTTTATACACTTGGAGTGACAAAAACAATATGATATTACCTTCAGTCATGAGTTTCCATTGATAATTGTGGCAAGAAAACATTCCGGAACCCTTCAATTGTTCCTAAGATTGTGATATGAGTGCACACATAGTTGTATTCATTGCTTTATTCATTGCTTTATTAGGATTTTAGTGTTCTACATTGTTGCGCTATGATGCAGTTAATGGAACACATAGAGAATGTAATATAGAAGCGCTAGATACAGTGGAATCTACTTTTCACTGCCTAGCACTAGATTATGTCCACCCCCAGGAGACCCATCTGGGACTGGGTACCTGACTTCAGTTGGGGAGGCAAAAGCGACGAGGGAGAGGAGATGAGCACCACCCTCACTATATTGAGCTCACTGAAATAGGGAGCGGGTCTCTAACACCTCTTGCCCCTACGGTCAGAAATGACTACAGACCACCTTTACCTTTACCTTTTTACTGTGCTAGCAGATTCCCCAGAAGTATCCACCACTGGTACCAGTACACATTATGGTAGTTCTGTACTGCAGCGCATCATGGCTGCCTTTTTCTTCTCTCCTTTTTGGTTTTCTATGTCCTTCCCCAACTGGCTTTCCTTTAGTCGGGCAAGGACTCCCCTTGAGAATCACTGTACTTGTCTCCTCTGGGATCTAGTGGCCTGGGGTCATGAAACCGTTCCAAAACATGGCGTGTTGCCTCATTTCCCCACACAGGGTGACCCCAAAGAAGCACGTCCATCCTTAGTTTGCAGCGCACTCCTCGAATTGACGCTCGGAGTGTTTCTTGTTGAAGGCCTGTTGCAATGTAACGAGTACTACTAGTACTCACAGCATTGACCGTAATCAGCATGGACGGTAATCAGCATGGACGGTAATCAGCATGGACGGTAATCCCAGCGACAAAGCTCGCTGTGTTTCTCGCAGTTAGGGACTCTGACGTTGATGCTTTGAGCCGTTTAAACGTGTTTTCCTATCCACTACATGTAGACTTCTTTGTGATCGGCTCAGCCAGTCATTCTCAGCTCTGCCAATGAGACCTAACAAGATTGAAAAAGCTAGTTGTCTGGGAATTGACCGTACATGTAAATTGATGATGTAACCATAACGGAAATAGTGATGCTACGCTTTAGGGCACGTTCATCCAGCACTCACCCGGATTGTTTCCTAAACCTTCCATTGTTATGACCATTGATGTACATGTACCATTCGGAAAAGGCAATCACTGAGATATTCCACAAGAAAAGACAGTTCCCAATCGGTAATTGCACCATTTAACCGACAGCCAGTCGCCATTGTACACGGGCCACCATTGTATACCGGCATTCAGTGATCTTGGCATAGTGGTTATTAGACAACCGAGCACTGTCGGATCGGTACCGGTTTGCGTGGGGTTCAGGTCATTATCATCACAGCATCTCCCTATACATGTAATACACTCTACACCAACGGATTCGAGAGACAGAAACAGAGAGCAGGGGGGGGGGGGGGGGGGGGGGGAGGGGGGTCAATCAGAAACCAACTCATCTTATATCAGTGGGTACATTATGCTCTGTTTTTACAGACGGCCATCACCACAACCATTGGCACACAAGTACTGTAAGTCAACAAATATTCGGTGCATATTTATTTTCGGCTATTTTCAGCCTGGTCATATTTGGCCAAAAATTTGGTGCGGCCGAAATTTTGTTTTGCAAGGTTCAGTGTGACAGTGTATACATGCGGCAGCAGTACAGGCCGAAAATGTGATGCGGCCGAAATGGGTTTTAGCCCTGGGATTATTATAAACGAAGACTTCTTCAAAGCCAGGCAAACTGATTGTGGTGGCGGCGGCGTGGTGACGGGGGTGGCGAGACACAGTACAAATTTCGCAGCTGAGAGCAGGGATAGCTATTGTCAGAAGCACGTCTATCGGAATTTTGAAGACCAACTAATCGCGACTACACACTGATCCTGGTGTGGCGTGACACACCAACCTAAGCGACATCCCAATACTGAGCAAAGATTGCATGTGCATTCACGTCCTGGAAGCAACCACCGCAGCTGTCAATGACCATGCGACACAGTGCTACATACAGTGTACGACCTGGCATCACAAGTCTACCACCAACGATTACGAAATGCAACAAGACCGCAAACAAGACCGTAACTATGAAGACTCGACGAGTGGGAAATTTTCAAAACATTTCGTGAAGACTGACATTGCTCGGAGTACATGCTCACATCACGCTGCCTATCAGGCTACAGTAAGATCGGGCGCCGAAGAACACTTAAGCTGGAGAAGGGCACAAATTTAAGAACAATTCAGGCTAGAGTTGCAGATTTGAGAATGCATGTACTGTTTTCTACATGTGGTGTAATTACATCATAATGCTCTCCATGATTATGGAAAAAGAACAAAACGACTAATATTTGAACATTTTAGAACAATGCTAGGCCGCGGCTTGACCCCCTGCGTTCTTTGGCGCCCAATCTTACTGTATTTTCACAGCAGCAGCGGCGGTGGCAACAACAACAGCAGCAGCAGCAGCAGCAGCAGCAGCAGCAGCAGCAGCAACAACAACAACAACAACAACAACAACAACAACAACAACAACAACAACAACAACAACAACAACAACAACAACAGCAACAGCAACAGCAACAGCAACAACAACAACAACAACAACAACAACAGCAGCAGCCGCAGCAGCAGCAACAACAACAAAAACAACAACTGTACAAGTCCCTAGAATACTACAATGCCCTCCCTGCTAGCATTCGTGACGTCTCCTCCCGACCTGCTTTCAAACAAGAAATCTGCTCACTGCTGATTAACTCAATCTGCTCCTGCAGCGCTCACCCTCTCCCATACTTGTAAAGTTCAAAGTGATGTAAATCACTTTCCAACTGTTTAACCCACAATCTCACCTTCTCATAAATATATCTCTTATTGGCGATGGTGCCATCGTGAGAATAAAGAATTCAACAACAACAACAACAACAACAACAACTCTCTCTCTCTCTCTCTCTCTTATTGGCCACTGGCTATCGTGAGAATAAAGATTTCAAACAACAACACTCACATTAGATGTGGTAACAATGCCTGTCCATGGCAAGGGATTGCGCTGTAACAGCAGAAGGTCTCCGCCAATGTCAAGCCGAGCGCCCGGAAACGGTGACACGTGGTCAACATAAGCCATTCCTTGCGCTTGCAGACGAGCAAAAGACTGCACCAAGAAAAATACATCAACACAAAATAGCTCCACTGTCAGTCGACACCCACAGCAGACGACTGAACTCTCTTGCTATGCCGCAAAACGCATTCAAATTGCTAGAACACTTCGAATCTTCCCAGCAGCCACCTGTCTCCGTGCAGCATACTAGACCGTGCACTATAATGATGCGCATCGACTACAGCACTTGTAAACAGGCAGTAGCAGTGACAGCAACCCCAGCAGCAGTAGTGGCAATAGTAGTGGCTGCTGCTGCCGCAAGAGAAGCAGCAGCAGCATCAGTACAGGACTAGTGTTTCACCAAGAGGATCCAGCTAGGCTCCGATGTGATCAGATTAGAGCATATTGGCAAGAGGTCACGAGACAACTTCTCTAACAGGTCATTTACAGCAGGTCAGCATGGCTGTAGGCCGACTGGTTCGTGGCATGCCTGGCAACCAGATAGTTCTGTTCATTCCAATGCAAAACACGGTGCTGCACTACTGTGTTCTATTACTATGGGCGAATATCAAGGACATAGAGTCCACATAGCGGGTAGCTACTTCAAATACAACCCAGGCTATGCCCCTGTAAGTTAATATATGTATTGGAGAACGGAAGCTGGAAGCACCCAGAAGAGCAACTCTCAAGATAAATATCACTGCTAGGTAAACATTGATCGTAATGACTTCTGGTGGGCAATGCAGGGGCCTCTATGAAAGCAAGCTGAGAAAGTCCGCACACAAGCTCAAGGTGCGGATCAACACCTAACAACCAAAGCCGCAAATTGTTGATGGGAATAGTGTGGTGCAGAGGTGGGGAACATTACAACGGTGATACTTTCAGACTCTCACTATCGCTTCTACACATGCAGCCCCCCCCCCCCCAATACACACGTTTAGAAAGACTTTACGTAGGAATTTCAATCGACAGTGGTCAAGCCGCGAGCATGATGAGCAAAGACATTTCACCATCACTGACACACCTAGGCTACAACCCGTACAAGTATCTAACTCTTACAGCAATTTAGCGCCAGGTACCGGTAGACGTGACAGCACCCCGAGTTGTGACCATGTTGCACAGTAAGAATTCGTATGAAGCAGATGCAGAACTTGGTTGGAATTTCCACATGCATGCCCTCAATGAACAGGTCATACAAGCAACTGCCAAAGTCATAGTCTTCAAGTCTGTCATTTACTGTTTGAACATGCGTTCTATGTTCAATATTGATATTTCTGACTGTTTTGAACTGGCTCTAGACAAGAAAAAATGGCTGATGCTTGTGGAAAAATGTGCTGCGCTTGCGTAGTTGTTCTTACTGCGATACGTTCTATCAATAATGAGATGCCTTTTGTCGGCTCTTCTGCCTGGATTTCGTTGACAGATGCGTTAAGCCCATGGATCCTTCCATGAGTGACATGCGAACTGTAACTATATATATATGCATTCTATGACGTTGACACCAGTTCGACTGTTGCTTGACCGTTCCGGGCACCCTCAGAACTCCACGAAGTACACAACATGCTTGCAACGCTAGTGAAGAAAGACCTACATAATTGTACAGTCCTGCGCAATGAAATCCGGTCGTGTGACTTGAGTACACGCCGAGCACTGCGTTGCTCTAGACCTGTGAACACTAGGATTCTCACTGGTAGATCTACAGGGTGCAAAGCTGACTCGCTCCATCAGATTTCATTGAGCAGAACTGTACTCAGCACATACATGTACATACAGCTATATTGCATTGCTTTGCTTACACTCAAATGATAGGAGAAGAAGAGCATGAGTTGAACTTGCTGGATTCTCTCTCCACTACTCAGAGGCATCTCTACAGTGATATTGAACGCGTCCGGTTTGCCATCAAAATTGTTGTCTACTGCATAGGACTGGCATAGAAACAAAAGAGAGACAGACGTACAGATGGTACACACCATCACACGCATGAACACACGCAGGAACACATACGCGTACTGTACTGTACTGTACTGTACTTGCTCACTGCCAAAACTGGTCACGTGGGTCTCCCCGGGAGATGGGAGAGGGAGACTCAAAAGGAATCTTGGAAAGATGACTCAATTGGCTATTGAACCGCCCAACTGCGGACACCCCCTGAAATCCCCAAACTAAGGTGGACTTGAAATGATCCCACGTATGGGCTGACCACACCTCAGTAAGTGGGTGAGGACAAGGTGCAGAAAAAGGATTGAACGCACCAGGGTATCCGTCCCGGGATCCAACTGCAGTTACCCCTGCCCCCAGTGAAGGTAATACTTGGTTCTATGTAGTGTGGGTGGCTAAATCAGCGTGTCTGGGAGTATGACTCCTTTTAGTTTCTCTACACATGTATAGTGGCACACACACGTATCACTGTGGTGGTGATGGCACTACACGTATCACTGTGTGGTGGTGACGGCACTACACGTACCACTGTGTGGTGGTGACGGCACTACACGTATCACTGTGTGGTGGTGATGGCACTACACGTATCACTGTGTGGTGGTGATGGCACTACACGTATCACTGTGTGGTGGTGATGGCACTACACGTATCACTGTGTGGTGGTGACGGCACTACACGTATCACTGTGTGGTGGTGACGGCACTACACGTACCACTGTGTGGTGGTGACGGCACTACACGTATCACTGTGTGGTGGTGATGGCACTACACGTATCACTGTGTGGTGGTGATGGCACTACACGTATCACTGTGTGGTGGTGACGGCACTACACGTACCACTGTGTGGTGGTGACGGCACTACACGTATCACTGTGTGGTGGTGATGGCACTACACGTATCACTGTGTGGTGGTGACGGCACTACACGTATCACTGTGTGGTGGTGACGGCACTACACGTATCACTGTGTGGTGGTGACGGCACTACACGTATCACTGTGTGGTGGTGATGGCACTACACGTATCACTGTGTGGTGGTGATGGCACTACACGTATCACTGTGTGGTGGTGATGGCACTACACGTATCACTGTGTGGTGGTGATGGAACTACACGTATCACTGTGTGGTGGTGACGGCACTACACGTATCACTGTGTGGTGGTGACGGCACTACACGTATCACTGTGTGGTGGTGATGGCACTACACGTATCACTGTGTGGTGGTGACGGCACTACACGTATCACTGTGTGGTGGTGACGGCACTACACGTATCACTGTGTGGTGGTGATGGCACTACACGTATCACTGTGTGGTGGTGACGGCACTACACGTATCACTGTGTGGTGGTGACGGCACTACACGTATCACTGTGTGGTGGTGACGGCACTACACGTATCACTGTGTGGTGGTGACGGCACTACACGTATCACTGTGTGGTGGTGACGGCACTACACGCATCACTGTGTGGTGGTGATGGCACTACACGTATCACTGTGTGGTGACGGCACTACACGTATCACTGTGGTCGTGACGGCACTACACGTATCACTGTGTGGTGGTGATGGCACTACACGTATCACTGTGTGGTCGTGACGGCACTACACGTATCACTGTGGTCGTGACGGCACTACACGTATCACTGTGTGGTGGTGATGGCACTACACGTATCACTGTGTGGTGGTGATGGCACTACACGTATCACTGTGTGGTGGTGATGGCACTACACGTATCACTGTGTGGTGGTGACGGCACTACACGTATCACTGTGTGGTCGTGACGGCACTACACGTATCACTGTGTGGTCGTGACGGCACTACACGTATCACTGTGTGGTGGTGACGGCACTACACGTATCACTGTGTGGTGGTGACGGCACTACACGTATCACTGTGTGGTGGTGATGGCACTACACGTATCACTGTGTGGTGGTGATGGCACTACACGTATCACTGTGTGGTGGTGATGGCACTACACGTATCACTGTGTGGTGGTGACGGCACTACACGTATCACTGTGTGGTCGTGACGGCACTACACGTATCACTGTGTGGTCGTGACGGCACTACACGTATCACTGTGTGGTGGTGACGGCACTACACGTATCACTGTGTGGTCGTGACGGCACTACACGTATCACTGTGTGGTGGTGATGGCACTACACGTATCACTGTGTGGTGGTGATGGTACTACACGTATCACTGTGTGGTGGTGACGGCACTACACGTATCACTGTGTGGTCGTGACGGCACTACACGTATCACTGTGTGGTGGTGACAGCACTACACGTATCACTGTGTGGTGGTGACGGCACTACACGTATCACTGTGTGGTGGTGACGGCACTACACGTATCACTGTGTGGTGGTGATGGCACTACACGTATGACTGTGTGGTGGTGATGGCACTACACGTATCACTGTGTGGTGGTGACGGCACCACACGTATCACTGTGTGGTGGTGACGGCACTACACGTATCACTGTGTGGTGGTGATGGCACTACACGTATCACTGTGTGGTGGTGACGGCACTACACGTATCACTGTGTGGTGGTGACGGCACTACACGTATCACTGTGGTCGTGACGGCACTACACGTATCACTGTGTGGTGGTGACGGCACTACACGTATCACTGTGTGGTGACGGCACTACACGTATCACTGTGTGGTGGTGATGGCACTACACGTATCACTGTGTGGTGGTGACGGCACTACACGTATCACTGTGTGGTGGTGACGGCACTACACGTATCACTGTGTGGTGGTGACGGCACTACACGTATCACTGTGTGGTGACGGCACTACACGTATCACTGTGTGGTGGTGACGGCACTACACGTATCACTGTGGTCGTGACGGCACTACACGTATCACTGTGTGGTGGTGATGGCACTACACGTATCACTGTGTGGTGACGGCACTACACGTATCACTGTGTGGTGGTGATGGCACTACACGTATCACTGTGGTCGTGACGGCACTACACGTATCACTGTGTGGTGGTGACGGCACTACACGTATCACTGTGTGGTGGTGACGGCACTACACGTATCACTGTGTGGTGACGGCACTACACGTATCACTGTGTGGTGGTGACGGCACTACACGTATCACTGTGTGGTGGTGACGGCACTACACGTATCACTGTGGTCGTGACGGCACTACACGTATCACTGTGTGGTGGTGATGGCACTACACGTATCACTGTGTGGTGGTGATGGCACTACACGTATCACTGTGTGGTGGTGACGGCACTACACGTATCACTGTGTGGTGGTGACGGCACTACACGTATCACTGTGTGGTGACGGCACTACACGTATCACTGTGTGGTGGTGATGGCACTACACGTATCACTGTGTGGTGGTGATGGCACTACACGTATCACTGTGTGGTGGTGACGGCACTAAACGTATCACTGTGTGGTCGTGACGGCACTACACGTATCACTGTGTGGTGGTGACGGCACTACACGTATCACTATGTGGTGGTGATGGCACTACACGTATCACTGTGTGGTGGTGACGGCACTACACGTATCACTGTGTGGTGGTGATGGCACTACACGTATCACTGTGGTCGTGACGGCACTACACGTATCACTGTGTGGTGGTGACGGCACTACACGTATCACTGTGTGGTGGTGACGGCACTACAAGTATCACTGTGTGGTGACGGCACTACACGTATCACTGTGTGGTGGTGACGGCACTACACGTATCACTGTGTGGTGGTGACGGCACTACACGTATCACTGTGGTCGTGACGGCACTACACGTATCACTGTGTGGTGGTGATGGCACTACACGTATCACTGTGTGGTGGTGATGGCACTACACGTATCACTGTGTGGTGGTGACGGCACTACACGTATCACTGTGTGGTGGTGACGGCACTACACGTATCACTGTGTGGTGACGGCACTACACGTATCACTGTGTGGTGGTGACGGCACTACACGTATCACTGTGTGGTGGTGATGGCACTACACGTATCACTGTGTGGTGGTGATGGCACTACACGTATCACTGTGTGGTGGTGACGGCACTACACGTATCACTGTGGTCGTGACGGCACTACACGTATCACTGTGTGGTGGTGATGGCACTACACGTATCACTGTGTGGTGGTGACGGCACTACACGTATCACTGTGTGGTGGTGATGGCACTACACGTATCACTGTGTGGTGGTGATGGCACTACACGTATCACTGTGTGGTGGTGACGGCACTGCACGTATCACTGTGGTCGTGACGGCACTACACGTATCACTGTGTGGTGGTGATGGCACTACACGTATCACTGTGTGGTGGTGACGGCACTACACGTATCACTGTGTGGTGACGGCACTACACGTATCACTGTGTGGTGGTGACGGCACTACACGTATCACTGTGGTCGTGACGGCACTACACGTATCACTGTGTGGTGGTGATGGCACTACACGTATCACTGTGTGGTGGTGATGGCACTACACGTATCACTGTGTGGTGGTGACGGCACTACACGTATCACTGTGTGGTCGTGACGGCACTACACGTATCACTGTGTGGTGGTGACGGCACTACACGTATCACTGTGTGGTGGTGACGGCACTACACGTATCACTGTGTGGTGGTGATGGCACTACACGTATCACTGTGTGGTGGTGACGGCATTACACGTATCACTGTGTGGTGGTGACGGCACTACACGTATCACTGTGTGGTGGTGACGGCACTACACGTATCACTGTGTGGTGGTGACGGCACTACACGTATCACTGTGTGGTGGTGACGGCACTACACGTATCACTGTGTGGTGGTGATGGCACTACACGTATCACTGTGTGGTGGTGACGGCACTACACGTATCACTGTGTGGTGACGGCACTACACGTATCACTGTGTGGTGGTGACGGCACTACACGTATCACTGTGTGGTGGTGATGGCACTACACGTATCACTGTGTGGTGGTGACGGCACTACACGTATCACTGTGTGGTCGTGACGGCACTACACGTATCACTGTGTGGTGGTGACGGCACTACACGTATCACTGTGTGGTGGTGATGGCACTACACGTATCACTGTGTGGTGGTGACGGCATTACACGTATCACTGTGTGGTGGTGACGGCACTACACGTATCACTGTGTGGTGGTGACGGCACTACACGTATCACTGTGTGGTGGTGATGGCACTACACGTATCACTGTGTGGTGGTGATGGCACTACACGTATCACTGTGTGGTGGTGATGGCACTACACGTATCACTGTGTGGTGGTGACGGCACTACACGTATCACTGTGTGGTGGTGACGGCACTACACGTATCACTGTGTGGTGGTGATGGCACTACACGTATCACTGTGTGGTGGTGACGGCACTACACGTATCACTGTGTGGTGGTGACGGCACTACACGTATCACTGTGTGGTGGTGACGGCACTACACGTATCACTGTGTGGTGGTGATGGCACTACACGTATCACCGTGTGGTGGTGACGGCACTACACGTATCACTGTGTGGTGACGGCACTACACGTATCACTGTGTGGTGGTGACGGCACTACACGTATCACTGTGTGGTGGTGACGGCACTACACGTATCACTGTGGTCGTGACGGCACTACACGTATCACTGTGTGGTGGTGATGGCACTACACGTATCACTGTGTGGTCGTGACGGCACTACACGTATCACTGTGTGGTGGTGATGGCACTACACGTATCACTGTGTGGTGGTGATGGCACTACACGTATCACTGTGTGGTCGTGACGGCACTACACGTATCACTGTGTGGTGGTGATGGCACTACACGTATCACTGTGGTCGTGACGGCACTACACGTATCACTGTGTGGTGGTGATGGCACTACACGTATCACTGTGTGGTGGTGATGGCACTACACGTATCACTGTGTGGTGGTGACGGCACTACACGTACCACTGTGTGGTGGTGACGGCACTACACGTATCACTGTGTGGTGGTGATGGCACTACACGTATCACTGTGTGGTGGTGACGGCACTACACGTATCACTGTGTGGTGGTGATGGCACTACACGTATCACTGTGTGGTGGTGACGGCACTACACGTATCACTGTGTGGTGGTGACGGCACTACACGTATCACTGTGTGGTGGTGACGGCACTACACGTATCACTGTGGTCGTGACGGCACTACACGTATCACTGTGTGGTGGTGACGGCACTACACGTACCACTGTGTGGTGGTGACGGCACTACACGTATCACTGTGTGGTGGTGATGGCACTACACGTATCACTGTGTGGTGGTGACGGCACTACACGTATCACTGTGTGGTGGTGACGGCACTACACGTATCACTGTGTGGTGGTGATGGCACTACACGTATCACTGTGTGGTGGTGACGGCACTACACGTATCACTGTGTGGTGGTGACGGCACTACACGTATCACTGTGTGGTGGTGACGGCACTACACGTATCACTGTGTGGTGGTGACGGCACTACACGTATCACTGTGTGGTGGTGATGGCACTACACGTATCACTGTGTGGTGGTGACGGCATTACACGTATCACTGTGTGGTGGTGACGGCACTACACGTATCACTGTGTGGTGGTGACGGCACTACACGTATCACTGTGTGGTGGTGATGGCACTACACGTATCACTGTGTGGTGGTGACGGCACTACACGTATCACTGTGTGGTGGTGATGGCACTACACGTATCACCGTGTGGTGGTGATGGCACTACACGTATCACCGTGTGGTGGTGACGGCACTACACGTATCACTGTGTGGTGGTGATGGCACTACACGTATCACTGTGTGGTGGTGATGGCACTACACGTATCACTGTGTGGTGGTGATGGCACTACACGTATCACTGTGGTCGTGACGGCACTACGCGTATCACTGTGGTCGTGACGGCACTACACGTATCACTGTGTGGTGGTGACGGCACTACACGTATCACTGTGTGGTCGTGACGGCACTACACGTATCACTGTGTGGTGGTGATGGCACTACACGTATCACTGTGTGGTCGTGACGGCACTACACGTATCACTGTGTGGTGGTGACGGCACTACACGTATCACTGTGTGGTGGTGATGGCACTACACGTATCACTGTGTGGTGGTGATGGCACTACACGTATCACTGTGTGGTGGTGACGGCACTACACGTATCACTGTGTGGTGGTGACGGCACTACACGTATCACTGTGTGGTGGTGACGGCACTACACACTAAACACACTCCCCGTTACAAGTCCAGGTCTCGAATTCGGGACTCTGTGATCCATGTGCCGGCCACGAGGAACCATTCGGCCGTGTTGGTTTCTCGGCAATAAATGAAGCCCTGATACGTGCCACTAACCGCGTTTAACACCGGAACTCATACAAGCTACAATGACAAGTTGGATGAGCATGATTGATTCCCCGAAAACTCTAAAAGACTGCCAAGCAAGACTGGCATAACAATGCACTCACCGTGACAAGAGGTATTCGCAGCTTGGCCGTCGCTAGCCGATTGTAATTCCCCATCGTGCTCCAGGTGGCTACCTGCTCTGCTGCCGACGACATAGAGACGATCAGGTGATGCTGGTACTGCACATGTGCTTGCTCGCGATACTCACTGTACTTCTGCCAGAAACCTATAGACAATCCAAAAACCAGCACAGACTCTCAGCAAAGTAAGATGATGCGACCATTTCTAAAAAAATGCCAAAAAAGTAGAAGAAAGGACTAAAGGTTTACAAGTTACCCGTAGTTGTCCAACACTGCCATGTATAAGCTTGATATTGATGAGTCATAACGTGCAACAGTTAGCACAATAATGACTGCTGTGGTACAGACTTTCAACGACCTGACAACTATGGGTAACTTGTAAACCTTTGGTCCTTTTTTCTTAATTTTAATCCTGGCTCTCCCTCCGGAGTTTAAAACAGTAGAACCTCTCTTTTCCGGAGACCTCAGGACTAGTGTCGACTATCTGCAACTCGGAAATAAACTACAACCACAATGGATATGACACGCCACTGTCTTCAGCTGGGCTCACGGAACTAAGATTGATACCATTGACAAGCATAGTACACAATATGAACCGAGGGTTAAGACCTAATATGCGGTGAACACTTCAGCTGATCGCCGCAAGATGGTTGGTGTAGTGTGGCGAGGCCTTTCGTCCACGTACAGTAATCCCTTTCAAGGGGGCCGCCTGTAGAGTGGACCACTTGCCACGGTGACCACTTGCCACAGTGACTAGCTGTACAGTGGACAACCTGTCAAGGAGGCCACTCTAGTGAGCTCTCCACTGGGCCTCCAGCTAGCCTAAAGGACCAGCAAAACCTGGACCAAAGGCGGTCATTTCCAGTCAAATGACCCTGGATGAGGAGACCACCAGTACACGAGTCAGCTACATGTTTGGGTCCCTTGCGCGGTCGGCTTAGCAGTGACTGCACATGTGTGTGTGTGTGTGTACTTCGAAGTACAGCGCTGCTCACTGAAATCCAGTCACGTCACTCAAGTGCGCGCCGGCCGATGCACAGCCCTAGACCTGCGAACACTGGGCTGCGAAATGGTGCGAGGCGCAAACGTGAGTGATGCGACTGGATTTCATTGGGAAGTACTGTAGCTCCAGCCAGGGCTGGCCCACAGCATCATAGACGGGAAGTCTGGCTCGCCTGCATCCCCGGGACCTTGGGCGCGTACGCAAACAAGTTGAAGACGCACTGTGCATTTACATGCTGAGCGGGCTGGCCCGGGTCACCGGAATCCTGGCCCGAGCAACCAGCTGCTTGGTTGGAACTGCACATGAAGTCAGTGACTCACCTCCAGTCCTAGTAAACAAGGCTTCACAGGCATACAGTACTGTCGGTCGACGAAGAACTGGGGCCCAGGGATCAGCCTCCTAGCCTAGACCCTTCTTATTTTATATGTACTACAGTCTGTGCACAGTTGGAGTCACTGTGTCTACATTGGCACGCTGTGCTTGGTGAAATTCTAGGCTGTTGGCTCTTTAGCGCCTCTTTCTTCGGCGCCCGACAGTACTGCATTGTTGCAGATTAAGCAGGACACAAGCAGATTAAGCAGGACACAAAACTAAGGCTGGCACCAGTCCAACCACACAGCTAGCAGGCATAGCCATGTGAATATTCGTGTTACAACACCGCATACACTGTACACCTAGTATCAATACAGCGAACTGTGACGTTGATAAATAAATGGCCTGCACACTCATCTACACATTAAATGATTTGCTCAGGTGGCCCGTAGCATAACTGGACTACAGAGCCCAAAGGTTGGTGTATGTGCTGTATATCGCCCTGGCTCCTGTGCAGACAATGACGTACGGCTGTTCTCCCATCTCGATGCTGGGATTGATGCTGCACGTCGCTCCTGCTCTCGCGTCATTGTAGCTGGTGATTTTAATGTACACAATACAAATTGGCTCGGCAGTAGGCGCACCACACTGGCGGGAGAAACAGCCGAAGATTTATGCTACCAACACAGCCTCACCCAACACATCCACGAAGCTACTCGTGGGCGAAATACCCTCGACCTCGTCATGTCAGACGTACCTGGTAATATCATCAGTACACTGTACCCACCCCTGGGACAGTCGGACCATGCTGTAGTGATCACGGACTTCGAGCGGACACCACACCGGGACAGACCAACTGCGAGTACAGTATGGCGATATCAGCATGCCGACTGGGATCGTCTGAGAGCCTTCTACCGTGACACCGACTGGACTGAGATCATCACTGATGAGCCTGATACATCATGCAATCTTGTAACCCAGAGGATCATCAAAGGAATGACCAGATTCATCCCATCGAAAGTTCTCAAGACGAAGCCCACTGATCCTGTCTGGTGGACCCCCGAGTGCTCTGCTGCTGTCGCTGCCAAACGCCATGTATGGAGATCACTTCGTCGCAGCCAGGCCAACCCTGCACTACAGGAGCAATATCGCCTTGCCCGCGTGACCTCATTGACTTGCCTTTCTAGAGCCAAAGAACATCACCTCCAGAGAATACGTAATAAACTGCTCTCGGGAAACATCCAGAACAAGGAGTGGTGGTCCGTGGTTAAGCGTGCAGGTGGAAGTGGTCGCGACAGCACTATGCCAGTGCCTGCTCTAGACATTCAACACAGCCCGGTCAGAGTGTACCTGGCGCATGCAGGCCAGCCGGGTCAAGCCGGGTCAGATCATCCGGCAGAAAAACAACCAAAAAGCCTGCTCAAAACGCAGGAAACAGAAAGGCGAATTTATTACCGGAAATCGGAAATTTTAGAGAACAAGGCGAACTATCAAAGTCCGCAAACGTAAAAGGTAAACGACATTACGTGAAGAATGCAAAGCAGTTCCATTGGATTCTGATTTAACAATTTGAAAAAAAGGAATTCTGTTTTCTAATTATTGCTAGTAGCAGGACGAACGACCAAATCCATCGCCGCTCATCTTCCTTTGGAAATGCGTCTTGCACAAAGCGCATGACATGGATAGACTAGCATGGTCGTAGTCCAGCCAGGGTCGACCTTTCTTCCAAGAGTCTTGGAAAGGTGAGATATTTTTCTCTTCGCTGCGGGCTCCATCATCCAAATCACCAGTCGGCTGAAAAATTGCAACTGTGTCAAAGTAACGCTTTTGACTGCCTGCCCCATCGACTTTGTATGTCCTGACTTCCTGCTCGCCGCTAACTGGCCAGATCGTGCTCGAACCAGTTGACGTGACCGCAGTTGACCCTAGCCGAGTTTCTGTCGCTTGTAGACTGTAGTGTGTACGGTTGCGCTAGACTTGCAAGAGATGGGGTCCGCTAGTCGTAAAATACCGGAATTTTATGAATCCATTGTCAGTTTGAGACATTTTTCAGCCGGGTCAGACTGGACCCGGTGTTATCTGTTCAGCCAGGTCGTGCAGTTCCCCAGCCGGGCGCGTGACCCGGCTGACCCGGCTCTCCAGCAGGCCCTGCTATGCCTGTTCTTATTGACTCTGATGGACAGGAGCACACACAGAATCGTGACAAAGCCGAGATTATGGGAAGCTACTTTGCTGGAAAATGCAGTCTAGAGACTGACTTCAGTGATGTTGCTACCGCCTTTCCTGATGTCAAACAGCGTTCACTACACAGAATAACAACAGTGCACTTTCGCCAATCTATTGTGAGGCGTGTGCTTAAAGCCATCAACCCGTCAAAAGCAACTGGCCCTGACTCTGTCCCCTCTCGGGTGCTTAAGATGTGTGCAGATTCTCTTGTACGCCCGCTCGCTCATCTGTTCTCTCTCTGCTTCCAACAAGGCCACCAGCCATCTGCCTGGAAGGTGGCACACGTTGTCCCGGTCCACAAGAAGGGCTCAAGATCTTGTGTGAAGAATTACCGTCCAATATCCCTTCTCTCCATTATCTCCAAATGTATGGAAACCATAATCAACCGGAGCATTACAAACTTTCCCGACAGCAACTCTATTCTCTCTGCTCGCCAATTTGGCTTCCGCTCTGGACTTGGCGCAACCGACCTCCTCCTAGCTCTTCAACACGAATGGAGCCGAGTTGCCAACAGTGGAGGACTTGTGCGCGTCCTGGAAGTGGATATTGCTGGGGCGTTCGACAAAGTGTCGCACCCGGGTGTCCTGTACAAAGCTGAGCGGTACGGGCTCCAGGGACATCTTCTTGCCTGGCTCAGAAGCTACCTCACCAACCGCATGCTCCAGGCTGTAGTGAGCGGACAGTCCTCCTCTGCTTACCCCATCATGTCAGGCGTCCCCCAGGGTAGCATCTTGGGCCCGACTTTATTCCTTCTCTATACGAATGATGCTGAGGATCATCTACCTACTGGGGCCCAGCTTGCTGCATATGCTGATGACACCACGCTGTACAAGTGCATATCGACCAATACTGCCGTATCCGAAGATGTTACCACACTCCAGCTTGCTGTAAATGCGCTGGCAGACTGGGGAATGGCCTGGCACATTAGGTTTGAACCTACAAAGTCTCAGTCCCTCCTGATTTCTCACCATCGCAACACAGTCGTCGTCCCACCGATTGTATTCCAGGGCACAGTTGTTCCGGAAGTCGACCAGCTGAAGCTGCTGGGTGTGCTGTTTGACCAACACCTGCCCTTCACAGCTCATATCAGGCAATTGGCTATTCGAGGCTCGCAGTGTCTCGGCTTCCTCCGGAAAGCCTCACGAGTGCTGGACTCCAGGTGCCGTGGAGTGATCTACAAGGGCTTTGTCCGCCCGGTTTTGGAGTACGGCATGCTCGTGTGGATGAGCGCTGCACCCACCACTCTGGCTCGCCTCACTGCCATCCAACGCCGTGGCCTTCACCTAATCGGTGATGGAGCCTACCTCCCTAGCTTGGGCATCCGCAGAATGGTCGGAGCACTCTGCTTTCTGTACAAGCTCCACTTTTCAACTGGCCCAGACATGCTTCTCACCCTTCTTCCACCCCAAGCGACCAACACATCACGCCATAGCCGACGCACACAAAAGCATCCCTTACACCAGTTTCAGCTCACTTCCACTCTTCCGCCCAGAGCACAGAATGATGTACTTCGGTCCTTCCCTGATGCTGTTGTGGAGGTCTGGAACCAGCTCCCGCAGTGCGTTCTGCTGAACCAGCCAACAAGGAAAGGACTGCAGACGTTCAAAGAAAAGGTCAACGCCCACCTGCGCCTTACCCGCTGGGAGTGGGCAATGGACAGGCTATGAATCAAAGAGAAAAGACGAAAGAAAGCTCTAACTCTGTTCCCTCCTCCATTCACTTCGTTGACTCTGATAACGTTTTATTGTGCATACTTTTCCCCGTAATCCCCAGTTATCTACACCCCCCCCCCCCCCCCCCCGAGTATTTTCTGTAATCTCTTGTTTTTGTGGAGCGCTTGGGTTGCAATGAAGCCGAGACCCTATGGTCGGTCGAGCTGCCCCTGCCTCTCCCCCACTCCTGCCATTCCATATGTCTCATCGCTGCCTTGCTGCTTTGTGCCGCCCAATGGTGTGTGTGTTTTTTGTAAAAAAAAAAATTTAAAAATCACAAGCACGCCACTGCTTGGGCACCACACACACTCACTCACTCACTCACTCACACACACACACACACATAATACACACACACACACATAATACACACACACACACACACACACACATACACACACACCACACACACACACACACACACCACGCACACCACACACACACCACGCACACAGTCATTATTATTATACATGTAGTCAGAGAGAATGTTGAACGGTCTCTGCTGGGATGACGGCTATACTAAGCTCAGTGGTTAGAGCATCGCTGGCTACAAGCGAGGGTCCCTGGTTCCAGTCCTGGTGGTGACAGTCGATTTTTTCTTCAGACTTTTCCCGTTTGCATCTTTCCCTCAAAACAGTAAATATAGACATGTATACACACACACGCGCGCGCTTGCGCACACGTCACGCACACACACACGCACACACACACACACACACACACGCGCACACGCACACACACACACACACACACACACACACACACATGTATTCAGCAAGTACCTGGAATATTGAAAGCGATGATAAGAGGAAGGATCACATTCATCATCCATAGCACCACTTGAAGCAAACTTGCCAACGAACACACCTGTGCTGTATACCAACGACGAACTGGCTCAGAGTACACAGCGATGCGAGCCATTTTGCCAGAAATTAGCACATACAGCAACCAGCAAGGGACAGTTGCTTGCCCCTACAGCAGCCACTGGAAGCACAGGAACTCTCTGGGAGAAAAACTTTTTGAAGCGCTCGGTGGCTACAAGTCTAGATCAATCATCATTATCTCTTGATAAATGGAAGAAAATAAGAGAAGGCTTCAAAATAGTTGACATGATTGTAAAGATGATGAAGGCAGGATAGTCGTCAAAATACGAAACCTGTAGAATCTACTCGTCGCGCGTGCATGTGCGCGTCACTACGCATCTCCAACGCAACAGTTCGAAACAACTGCTACTTCGCGCGTAGGGAAAGCCCCTCCTCTGCCGCCTTCAAACTACTGTCCTACTGAGTACAGTACGAGTACGTGATGCTTTTCACACATTCAGCATGACCTCATGTCGCTCATCATCGATCAGATTCACACATCACGATCACACAGCTCACACTGTCAGTGCAGTGCCAGTACTGTGACTTGAAATCAGCAACACTGCTTGAAATGTGCATGCATGAGATCGAGGGGGAGTGAAAATCACGCAGTCAAAGCTTGGCTGGGAATGAAACCAAACCTGCTGCCACACGCCACTGACTGTTGGAGAGGCGAGAACACCAGTTGTCCACGCACGGTCGTCACTCCTGTTGTTCTTGATCAAGTTCGCTTATCCTGTGGACGGGAAGTTGTTGTGCATGATCTGATGGCACATTCAAGCTAATCTCGATTTGCCTTTGCTAGGATGCCTTGAGAGATACTCAGTGGTGCTTCACGACCGTTGCAGACATCCGTTGTTCATCTCGCTGCAGCCATGTCATTGAGAGAAATCAAGCTTTGCTTGCTTGGGGTGAGTTATCCACCCAATCGGAATTGCAGGGAATCCTTCCGCTACGCCAATCAAAAGTTGCTGATCTGTCAATCATGAGTATTTCTGTACATTTGTTCCTGTGCGTATCCACACTGATGTTCAGGATGCTGGTGTTGGCAAATCCAGTCTAGTTCTTCGCTTTGTGTCTGATACATTCAACACAAATTCAGAGAGCACAATTGGGTGAGTTTTGATACTTGTGATCGTCACTATTGTCAACTATTACTTTCACCTGTACGTTAGTTTTGATCCCTGCCATATACGCATCAAGGCGTTTAAATTTTAGTTAGTACATGTGCGTAGAACATTGTTCGTTTCGAAATTGGAACGAACTTGGACCCAACCCTGCGTGAGAAAGGAGCGAAACACAGCATAAGGCCAAACTAAAGAAGGTGTGTGGTTCGACTCACCCGACCGACCGTACAATTTCAGCCCGACCGTAACTTTTTTTCGGCGGGCTGTCGTGTGACTGACGTACGTGGACTGAACACGTCCACGTCTACGTGCTGTGCGGCGTGAGTCTGCGGACGCAGGCGGCTCCTTTTGGACTTGACTTGTAGTTGTACTGCAGTGCAGTGCAGTGAGTGGTACGACTGCTGCCTTGTGCTGGTAGTAGAGTCTTCTCGATACGCGTATACAGTGTATTTACATGTACTAAAAATATATATTAAAAAAAAAAAAATCCGCCCGCCCGCCCGTTAAAAAAATGTCCATGTTAGTCGAACCACACACCTTCTTTAGTTTGGCCTAATCACTATTTTCTACTGTACATGTATCAGCATTGATTCTTGCTTTGAGGAAACCGAAGGTGTGACGTTCAGTGTCATGATGATCACGCAAGCAGATTGGATCAGTCATTTTATTTTGTCTGGTGCACCGGTGACGATCTCACATACCCTTCTCTATCCACAGTGTACAGACTTAGTTGCACAATGATTACTAGTAGTAGTAGTATGTCATGTATACTAGCAGGAATACATACTAGTAACCAAAACAAAAGTGTGCAACTCCTATCCAGCTGTGATGGGTTCACCCATGGCAGAATTTTTTATTGCATCATTTCTTTAGCAGAAGGATGATCCAGTGCGTATGCATGCTTTCCCGCGCTCGTCTTGTATAATACAGTGTCAGTTCATCTCATTGACAAATTTCTTAGGCCGCATCCACACTACGTAAAAATCACAGTACAAATGTTCATGCATATCTCAGTACAAGTCGGTACGCAACCACACTACACTTTTCGATCTGCATAGATGACGTTTTCACGCGACCAGCACGTGACGTTGTCGTACCAAAGCGTGTGCCATGAGCTGGAAAAGACCGGGAAATTCAAAAACAATGCTGATGCTATGTACGATGACCAGGTACAAAAACAAGTTGTACACAGGAGAAGGAGCGCGAAAACGACAAACATGGCTTTCTTCAGGGGTGCGCCAGTTGCTGAAAACCTACAAAGCGAATTTTGCATTTCGCACACGTCGGCATGACGATTTCTACTGTAATGCCGTTTGTACGTGATTTTGTACCTAGTGTGGTTGCAGCCTTAGTGACATGATTATAAAAAAGTGCATAATTGTGTTGTGAATTGGTAATGTCAGCTACCAGTACATGTGAACCAGCCACAAACCGGCGGACTGTTGGCATACATGTTCTTTGCAGGGCGTCGTTTATGTCAAAAGTATTGGAGGTCAATGATCAAGCATACAAGTATCAAATCTGGGACACTGCTGGCCAAGAAAAGGTAATGAAATTGACTACTGTGCTTGTAATCAGTGTTCTGCTCAAACAAGATCTGATTACATCAAGATGGGACAGTGTTAGGGAGATTGTGCCCAACGCAAATTCGCAAGACTTGGATTCCACAGCCTTTACTATCGAATAACGACAGTTCCAATGAACTGTCGGCAACTTTGAACAAACAAAGTGGTTGTGTCGGTATATGGGATCTTTTTCATGAGCTGTACCAGTTGAATACTGCTGGTTTTTATGGTGAATTTCATCTTCCTTCTTTCCACGACAGGCTTAGTGACTTTGTAGTGATCATGCAGTGGGGCGGTTTTGCACCACTCATAGCACGTCCATTTCGCAGGGTATGCAACTAGGAGTCCTGCATGCATATGTGACGGGCATGGGGAGCATTGGCGAAGTATGTCTTGTGAAAATGTTGTTTTTTTTTAAGACGGACTTGGCAGAAATAAAAGCCTCGAGTAGCTCACACCGTGTGCTTCGGGGTGTTTTCCCAGACGATCGGCAAGCATGCGTAAGATGTAGTTCTACATGTTATCCAGGTGTTGTTTCCAAGGTCAATGACAGTCATGAATGCATAGCTTTTCGAAAATTTTAGTCTTCTCCTAATAGTCTACTCCTTTTGGGGATTTCTGGAAGCCCTTGGGCTAGTCGTCGCTGTACGATTTCTACTCGTATATCCTGAGCATTGTGGTAGTTTCGAGCTGATAAACCACAGTGTTTTGGGTTTTGATACCTCTGTTGCACAGGGCGTGGTATGTCTGATACACTGCGAAATGTGTGTGTGTGTGGGGGGGGGGGGGGCATTTGAATTCTGGTTTGGCAGTATGCTAGATCTCCCATGCAGGTTTACGTGCATAAGGCTGTTGACTTGCACTATGCCGAATCTTGACCACATCCGTGCACGGCTGGGTTCAACACCAACTGGTGGAAGTCCACCTAAACTGACACTTCACCGGTTTGTCGCTGTTGGGTACTTCCCATGCACGTGTTGCTGTTGCTGTTTTGAGAACTGGTAGTACAGCTCTGCGTGATTACTGTTTGACAGGCTCTTATTACATCCTACCCGTTAAAGATCTGACCTACATGCTATGTTGCTACCAGTTCTGCTGTGTGTCTTTCTTGTGTTGTTGGATGGCAGTACCGCGGCTTAGCACCAATGTACTATCGTGGAGCAGCTGCAGCTATTGTCGTCTATGACATCACAAGCAAGGTTAGTACACTGTCTACCTCACCCCACCACAACACAGGAGTATTCTATGCGTAGCTACTCTTCGTCTTCCTTTCACATGTGCTCTGCATTGGGGGAAATTCCCACATGGTTACGAATTCTTACGATCTCACTTGGAATCACTTCATAGTATCAAGAGTACATAACCCCCCAGAGTGTGCAACGCCTGATCCAGCTCTGCATAGGGTCTTGGTCGAGCAGAATCGGATCTTTGCGTCATAATACCGTACGCATCTGAGGGGAACCCGGGGAGTCGCGGGTACTCTTGGATCAAAAACAATGGTGCCCTGCCTCGAGACCGGCCTTGCGCTGGTGTGGAGTGTACGCATGACATCAGAAGATCCGATTCCGCTCGACCAAGACCCTATGCAGAGCTGGATCGGCGTTGCACACTCTGGGGGGGGGGGGGGGGGGGGGGGGGAGGTTATGTACTCTTGATAGTATGCGTACTGTTTTTTCTGTTTCCAGAAGCCTTTCCAGGGGATTCCTCAGTTTTGTTTAGCTCTGACTGTATTCACAGCTCGTAGTTGTTGTTAACTCAATGTAGTTTGAAGATATCAAACCCAACAGAGTTATCAATTAAAATTGGGTACTGCACTATCAGAAAATAATGTTGAGCACGCCTCCCAGCCTCTCTATAAGCTGCAAGAAACATTCAAACGCACCAAGGAAATTTGCACTCTCCCACCACCACCACTACCAGTTCTTGCACTGCATCTTACTCGATGAGTGGATGATGAAAGGAAACTCAATGACTAAATCAAAGTAAGTCTGTTCTGACCGATACCGTGTTGTTTGCTGCTGTTTGTTGTTGTTGTTGGTGGTGGTGGTGGTGGTGTTGTGATTTGTGAATGTAAATTGCAGGAAAGCTTTCAAAAGCTGCAAGACTGGATGAGAGAGCTGCAGCACCTTGGGCCACCCGAGATTGTTCTTGCGATAGCTGGCAACAAGTGTGACTTATCCGAGAAGAGAGAAGTAAGAACACATGTAGTTCTAAGTTGGTCGCGTGCGTGAATGCGTGTTCGTGTGTGTGCTGTGCACTGTGTGGTGTAGACCAGGCTGAATAGTGGCGGTCAATTCTTCAGCCTTGCAAGCTGTTGAATGGTGCAATCCCAGCACAAGTTGCTATGGCTTCTGCTGTAGCATCGCTATCATCGCCTCCGGCGATGGGCGTCAAATGATCACATGGTGTGGAATCTGGTTGGTTGTCTTTCCATTCTCTCTCTCCCCCACTTAACCAGTTTCTGGCTGTTTGCAAGTACAAAATGTGTCCCTTGTCGATGGTTCTGGAAAGTGGGACCATTACGATGTTGTCATCTTCTTGTTTATGTACTTTTACGGTGAAAAAAGTGTGGAAACACTGTACTAGTATACAGTTGTACATAGTAATTATGCTGTGCCAACTGCCAAGTCCATATGGCATCACTGCTGTCTTGTATGGCTGTCATTGAGTGACCGGGCGCCTGCTTGCAGTCATGTGTAGATGTGAAGTGGCATGACTGTGCTACAGAAGTAGTAGCACATGACACGCATATAGCCACATAAGGAAGAACCTCTATGGATTCTGTTCACATCGCTTTCCTCCTTCCTCTTTGTCTGTGCCTGCCACTGCTAGGTTGCGTTTGAAGACGCCAAGAACTATGCTGAGCAGATGAATGCAATCTTTGCTGAAACTAGTGCACTACAAGCGACCAACGTCCATGCGCTATTTGAAGCGATAAGTAAGAACTGACCCTTGTCTTCCTTGCCAATCCATATTCTCATCAGGCACTGATTCGCTAATGTTAACATGCCTTGTACTTGTAGAGACTCAATTGAACATTGTAAGATTTTTAACTAATTCACTAAGCAGTACTCGGAGATAGTCATTAGGTGTCTTTTCTTCAGCATCTATGCATCACCTACTTACAATCAACGTTATGGGTAGGGATCCCCAGCTCTGTGTGCCGTGCCATGGGACTAGCAGTTAGTTGATCTGCTTCACTGTTTACTCAATCAGGAAACCATCCGGCCGTGTGTGTGTCTGTCTGTGTGTACGTCTGTGTCATCCTTGCGGACTCCTCAGTCTATCCTTGAGAAATGATGTCTCACTTATCTATGCTGTCTGTTCTTGTTTGCTATTTTTTTCTTGCCTGTGTGCCGTGACATGTGTTGGTGATCAGGCAAGAAGTTACCACAAGAAGTGGTTATGCCTAACACACTGCCCCAGACAATAACACTCTCCAGCGCACCGCCGGAGAAGGAAAAGAAAACCTGCTGCTAGTAACAGGGGAACGGGCTGCCATTGAAGCTCGCATGAACCGTTGACTTTGCTTGTACATGTCGCATCCCTTGGCTGGATTCTAAAATACAAGTAGACTTTGCTATCTTGGCTTGTTTGTACTTCTAATATAAACACTACTTTTTGCAATATAAACAGTAATTGTTATAACGACATGTATATTTTGTTGTACTATAGTGTAGGTTTCTTCCATACAACACATGCTAGATTGAGTCGCTGCTACCTGTATATGCCTTATATTCTGCTCATTGTACCCTTGCACCTGGGCTTCCGTTCTTCTGCCCAATCAGGTGCGTCACTGAATCGCAAGGTGTGTGACCCTGCCCTTAGTCCCCTGTCTTGACGTAATACCGCGGCTGAAGTTGGCTCCATGCATGTGTGCAAACAAACGCAGAATGTCGTATTTCTGCACAGACGTGTCTTTTGCTTACTACTGGCCAGCAATGCTGCCCCATTGGTGTATAGTGTTGGCAGAATGTTTCCAGCCAGACTCACTGTTGCTTTCTTAAACTCACTTGCAATGGTACTAACTGCTTCAGTTGAGATTTGGTGTGTTTTAATGTATTTTGACTTATCTGTTGTTTATGATATTGTGGATGCTGATAACTTTCACTGAATGATATTGATAGGGCCCAGCTACACATGCCTTAGTGCAGTGGTAGTGTCCTTTTATAATGTACTCTCTCTCCCCTCCTGTTTTTATCCATAACATTCTACGATCAGTTTTTTATGTTTCTTACTTGAAGTACTCTTTGGCATTTCATAGCTTCTCCTTGTGGTAACTACAAAGCTACTGCACACCACATACAAATACTTTCAAAGGTTTTGGCATTGGAGCGTTTTGTCTGGATGGTGTGTCGGGGTGGAAGCGCAAGGAAGCACCTGCAATCCAAGTTGACCCTCCTTTCTCTTTCTCCTCTCTCTCTCTCTCTCCCGTTTCACCCTGGGTTTTACTTGCACTGATATGTTTGCAATTTTGTATTTTTGTTACCATGTTACAGCACAATGTGCACAGGAAACCTGTGCGTTTTCACTTGTGGAGAGAATCTTATTTCTCCGGGACATCCACGATGTTATGTCGTCCCAGCGCCCTACTGTGTGAGTGGACTGTCTCGACGCCGTACTGTCCCAGCGCCCTCTCTTCGCCTTTTTGTCTCGAGATCTCGCGCCACGACACGTCTCTGCGGGCGCCAGTCGGCTGTACAACGCGCGCACGAATAGTCGGAATACTGGACTGGGCAATGAAGTAGTAAAATACCTACTCTCTGACAGGCTTTTCGTGCGGACTCGACGGCGGATATCGCAACATCAGGATCTGGTCGCGGTCGACAAATCTCCAATCGGATGATCAGCTTTGCTCGATCGAGCGGGCACGTGAATGGTACGAAAGGTGGTTCATTTTTTCAACCCTTCTTGTGGTGGCAGAAGTTTGTGGCTGGCCCTTCCTTGTCTCTTTCACCCTTGGCATGTAGCATCCCATGGTGTTGGTTTAGTGGACAATGTACGGCTTCATCGGCCAGGAGGAGGAGGATCCGGCTGAAGTTTATGCCGCCCTCTCCCAGCCCATCGATGTCGACTGTTTGTTGCCCACCGGAGTTTTGGTGCCTTTGAGATGCAGACCCGATGGAACTCTGCAAAAGATCAAGAGTCGACTTTGGCATGAGGCCCAAAAGTACCCTTTGTTCAATCAATTGAAACCTGAATCTTGCTATGTATTTGTTGGTGTCAATACCAGTGCGGAACGAGAGGAGTTCGTGGATGAGAAAAAGAGGTTTTGTGATCTGAACCTATTTCACCCGCTGTTGAAAGTCCAAGAGCGTATTGGTGACCAAGAGGAGAAGCTTCTCAATGCCGAGATCGGCAACCTGATTGGAAAGCGTCTCCATGAGTTCGATGTTCTGGGAGCCGAAGTACAGGACTTCCGCCATGGCATCCAGTCTTACTGCGAGGGAATCGTGCAGAACAGAAATGCTGAGCAAAGTGAACTGTTATTCTGGGCCTACCCTCCTGATTTGGAAGCATCGCCGGAGCTCGGTCGTAGTTTGCAGTCGAAGCTCCAGAATGGTGGTTTCGCTGTAGAAGTTGTGTTACCTGGAGGTGGAACGTCACCCCCTCTACGTGCTGAGCCACAGTGGACTATTGAGGACCTGTTGCAAGAGATTCAGAAGCAAGTGTCAGTGTACTCACGAGAATCTTCATATGATTTATGTGTGAAGGTGTGTGGATCATCTGACTATATGCTGGACAGAACTGCACCTCTGTCACAGTACAGATATTTCCGCAAATGCATTGCAAGAGGCGTGGAAGCCAGAATAGTTCTGCACCGCAAATCTAACCTGCTCAGCACAGCACTCCAGGGACAGCAGGGCTACCAGATGCCCATTACGCTACGAGCGCGGAACCCGTCGCCGCCCAGTGACAATGCGGTCAGCTTGTGGCAGGTCACATCGAATCTGAAGGTGTTTGCTGTCAAGGCAACCAACGTCAACGCTGAGAGCATTCTGCTGCGCTCAGGCGTGTATCACGGAGGTGAGCCATTGTCGGATATTCGCAGTACCAAGCTGAAGAGTGTCAGTGGCAATGAGGCCATCATCCAGGATGTGCTAGCTTTTGATCTTCCTCACCGTGACTTGCCACGCAGCTCACGCCTCTGTTTTGTAATATATGGTACATCAAGTGGCGACACAGCTAGTGGCAAGAAGGCAAAATCATCTGGACTCTTCTCAGGTCGGAAACGGGAGCATGTACCCCTGGCCTGGGTCAACATCAACCTGTTCGACTACAATGGCAAGATGCGCACAGGTACACAGGAACTGAACTGCTGGCTCGTGGACGGAGCACTCGATGACACATTGAACTTCATTGGTACAACGGTGGAGAATCCGGACAAGGAATCAGCCTTGGTGCTACACATTGAGTTGGAGCGCCATCAGCAGCCTATTGTCTACCCATCTTTCAGTGAGATGCCACCGGAGCTGCCTATTCTACCCAAGCCTATGCCGCCCAACGTCACACAACAGCTCATGAAGATCATTGAGTTGGATCCACTGGCTGAGCTAGAGGATCAAGACCTTGAGTTGGTATGGAATCACCGCAGTCAGCTGGCAGCGTATCCGCATTCACTTCCCAAGCTACTCAAGGCAGTTAAGTGGAACAACCGAGAGCATGTGTCCCGCATGCTAGTGCTGCTCCAGTCCTGGAAGAAAATCAAGCCCGAGGCTGCACTTGAGCTTCTCGATTACCAGTACGCCGAACAGTCAGTGCGCATGTATGCTGTGAGCTCGCTCAGTGACTTCACAGATAACCAGCTCCTTCACTTCCTCCTACAGCTTACCCAAGTCCTGAAGTACGAGTCCTACCTCGACTGTCCGCTGGGCAAGTTCTTGCTGGCTAGAGCACTGCGCAACCAGAAGATTGGCCATTACCTCTTCTGGAACTTGCGTGCAGAGATGCACGACCCGGCTGTTGCTGTCAGGTTTGGCTTGCTACTGGAAGCATACTGCAGAGGAGCCATCAGTCACATGCGAACGCTTGCTGTCCAGGTGGAGGCACTCAACAGATTGCGCGCCGTGAGCGAGGTACTGCAGAGCAAGACGTTAAAGGAACGACCCAAGGGCATGAGGAAGATGCGTGAAACCCTGGAGAGCCCTGCCTATGTTGAAGCCCTGTCCAACTTGGTCGATCCACTTCATCCACAGTTCCACTTTGCCTGTGTCAAGTTAGACAAGTGCAAGTTCATGGATTCGAAGATGAAGCCACTCTGGATGGTGTATGAGAATGCTGACCCTGAAGGCGCCGATGTCTACCAGATCTACAAGAACGGTGACGATCTGCGACAGGACATGCTGACGCTGCAGATCATTGGCATCATGGACAGCATCTGGCAAGCTGATGGCCTTGACATGCGCATGATCCCGTACGGCTGTCTCTCCACTGGTAATCAAGTCGGTCTGATCGAAGTCGTCCTCCAGGCCAACACTGTCGCAAAGATCCAGAAAGAGATGGGTGGTGGCTCACGTGGTGCATTCGACAAGAGTACGCTGTACCGGTGGCTGGCCGAGAAGAACAAGGACAAGCAAGCTCTGGAAAGAGCTTTGGAAGCCTTCACCTATTCTTGCGCTGGCTACTGTGTCGCCACGTATGTCCTCGGCATTGGTGATCGTCACTCCGATAACATCATGTTGAAGGAGACTGGACAGCTGTTCCACATCGATTTCGGCCATTTCTTGGGCAACTTCAAGAGCAAGTTTGGTGTCAAGCGTGAGCGCGTGCCATTCGTTCTCACTGATGACTTCATCTATGTTGTCACTCACGGTAAAGATGACGCAGCCAAGGTCGACAAGTTCAGACGGCTGTGTGAGGAGGCCTTCCTGCTGCTACGAAAGAAGGGCTCTCTCCTGATCAACTTGTTTGCCATGATGTTGTCTACTGGTATTCCTGAGCTACGGTCACTCGACGACATCAACTATGTCCGAGATGCCTTGGTGTTGGGCGCATCCGATGAGGAAGCCCTGCAGAGCTTCCGCAAGAAGTTCAGTGAAGCGCAGAAGAATTCATGGAGTGTATCGTGGAATTGGTACATCCACAATGTTGTCAGAAGCTGAGGTGATTTAGTGTTCAGTCTGACCAGCTACAGTTTATCTCTTGCACTCGTGAGCACGGTGAGAGAATTGTAGCACTTGTGTTTTTTCTTATTCATGTAGATTTACATGATAGTGTGTGTGAGGTGACACACACTGTGTTATTGCACACCCACCTTACACTGTTGAGTATGAAGGAAGTGTGGAATCACGCGACTTTGTCTCTTGGTCTGAGTGTGGAGCATGAGAGGTGTCAGCAGTATGATCTGCCAGAAACTTGGATACTGAAGGACTGGGTAGTAGTGGGTACATGGGTGATGTTTGCGCTTTCAGCCTATACCCACCCCATTGCACATTTAGATCTTCTCAAACTTAAAGTGATGTTATGATAACTAATCTCAGATGTGTTCAAAACTTCAATCGCAACATAGTCTCAGTTCCTAGCACGCTCCGTGCACTGATATCTTGTCGCAAACCGTGTGTGCCTATGCATAGATTGAGATGATAGAGTGGCAAGCGGTGTGCTTGAATAATATGCATTGCTCAAAGGGGGGGGGGGGGGTTATCGGCGGAAATGCCAACCGGCAGTCCGGCGCGGCATGTTTTCTTTGCGGTGCATGCACCTGACCTGGGCTCTTCGAGTGTTACAATACTGCTGTGGGTATGGTTACCGTGCATACTCGCGGCACTGAGCTGCCAACGCATGTTTGGGTCCGCTTCTCTCTAATCTTCACACGGATCTAGATCCTGGACTAAAATAAGCTGGGACATTGCATACCAGTACATGTTGAATTCTAGCGAAAAGAGTTTCGCCCGGCAAGGTTACTCTAATTTCAGAAATATTCGGTGCTCAATATTTTCGGTATGAGGGCAACAGGCTAGGTTAGGTGAACAGAAATTTTCGGTACAGAGAAGCAGTTCCCTATGGGATTATGTGTGTTAGTGTTTGTTCGGCGTATTGAAATTTTAGGTGGGATCGGGAAACAGACGCACCGAAAGTACCGAAAATAAAAGTACATGTACACCGAAAACTTGTGAAATTACAGTAGAGGCCAAGGAATCGGTATTACATTTTGACCACTCCCTGATTTTTTTAGGCTAATCTGAGTCATCTCACCCGTGCCCAGGATGCCAGAAAGAAGACATTGTTATTGCACTACTGAGTACTGTTCTATCAAAAGCCCATGATCAGATTATGGTTACCGGTACATGTTCATGTATGGACTTTCGGATCTTGATCAATACAATGACTGAGAGTGTACTCCCATGATCCCAGTGCAAAATGCGTGCAGCGCTAGCGTGGTTCATTCTGTGACTGGCATGGCACTGACTGCCTGACATGATCAGTGCAGCACATGCATGCAGTCACGTCACAAAGAAAGTACCAGCGCAGCAGTACATGTACATGATGTAGTTGAAAAAAAGTACATGTAGAGGGGACGGTTTCAAATACTAGGACACCGGTTGCAAACCGGAACGGACTCAATATTCACTTTCTCTCTTGGTATTTTGATTAGAAAACATATGTCACAGTGAGACTGCGATGTGTTATACTCCGAGCCAAAATTTCATGGCTCTGCGATGACCAGAAGCGCCATATCAAGCAGGTGAGTTTTTGACGTGTTGCTTCGCACTGCGACTTGAGTTTTACGACTTTCGAAAAATCAACTTCTTGTCGCAGGTAAACAGCAGCTCGCCTCTCGCCAATAAAGCACCGCATACCAATCAAAACTAATGGAAGCACACACAAGGCTTATTGTTACTCTGTACTGGCCGTCGTGGAGCGATAGCAATTACCTAATTTCAGACCCAGAGTGAATTTGACGTGCACTCTAAAACGTGTCCGGTTTGGAGCCACCTCTGATTTGAACTTTTTTGAAGCGAAAAATTGGGCAACTTGGAGGCAATGGGTCAACACAAAGGAGTGGCTCAGTTCGATTGACTCTGGCCCCAGAGTAAAAATCAACATGCCAGTTTCCTTCCACAAACATATTTCGAGTGAAAAATCAACGCTGACGATCGGTTTGGGTCTATACAAATTTGGCTGTCAAAACGTCCCGGTATCGAGCCGTCCCCTCTACGAGGTGAATTGGTATTTCTGGACATTGTACATTTCTGGACATTTCGAGTAAAATAATTTTTTGTCGCGTGTAGAGTCAAGTCAATCAGGTTGATGAAGTTTTTTCTTTGTTGTAGTTGACAGCTGGGCTGTTGTAGTTTCTCCTCGTGTCGGTGCCTTGTTGATAGCCTTTTCTTGGGAGGCATTTCAACGAGTTTTGTGGTACTATGTCGCATGAGAATTTTGAATTTTGAGTAAAATAAGAAGTAATGGACGAATCGTTGGCTTCCCCATGTGCACTCCACTTCAGACGCTATAGTCTTGGACCTGTTGGCTGGAAGTGTGAAGAGGCCAACTTAACTGCAGTCCACCAATAGAAAAAATAACAAAAATGGTGCAGTATAGGATGCCTATTGACGCTATTTTACTTTCATGTCCAGAATTCCATACACTGAAATTTAGGCCAAAAAATTGGCCTGTCGAAAACAACCTGCTATAAAGTCTCTGGGATCACAGCATGAGCAATTGTCACATATTTGGAAAGATGAAGGATTAGGCCATACAATAGATACAAAAAGATATGAAAAATGTAAAACACACAGCCAGTGGGCCTCTATTTTATTTTCATGTCCAGAAATTGCGATTCACCTCGCAGCTCGTACATATGTATGCAGATTTTCCCTGCGCAAAATTTGATGCGAAAAATGAATGCGCGCGCGCGAAGAACTATAATAAACACTTTGTTTTACGACTTTTACGTCACGACTTGTGTCCACGTGGCACAATGAGCGGCCGCGCGGCGCGCGGCGCCGATCAGCTGATCATTCAAACAAAAGCACTTTTCAGTTTTTGAAATCAAGCAAGAAAGCATTGGCACTCTTGACAGTCTTGTGGATTCGCTGGATGCAAGGATACATCTGTGCTGTGAGATCGTTCATGTCGGATCTCTGCTATTTAGTGCTCACCCACGCGTGACAATGGCGACTCGACGACGGCAAGGCGGATCTGGGAAGTCCGGAAGTCTACCATTGCCATCTGGTGGATCGAAAAGTGATAAAAAGCATGGATCATCAATGTTTGGCATTGTTGTGGCATTGCTACTCGTGTCTGCAATTGGGGCTGGCATCTTTCTATTCCGGAACGAGATACTATTAGCTGTTAATGACCCTCAATATCAAGAGCATTCTGAGCCAGCTGCACAGTCTGAAGAAGCTTATGCTGAGAAGAATGATCTTGATGAACGTATCGAGCCAGTGGGGGCGCAGGAACAGATCCCTGAGCCTGATGTGGCGAGTAACGCTGCTGATAGGAATCAACAGGAAGAAAGGGAGGAAAGAGCAGTACTGGATCAATCTGATGCTGGTACAGTCGTTCAGGATACTGCTGCGGACACCCCAAGCCAGGAGAACAACGATCGGTTGTTCACAGTGCAAGAGCTTAAACAGTACGATGGCAGTGATAGCTCAAAACCTATATATCTGGCCCTCGTTGGTCAAGTGTTTGATGTCACCAAGGGAAAGCAGTACTATGGCAAGGACGGCGGCTATGGATTTTTCTCAGGCCGTGATGGCACACGCGCATTCGTCTCCGGTGACTTCACGGAAGTTGGTCTGACTGACAACGTCACTGGCCTGGACAATGCAAACATCATCGGCATCGAAGACTGGCTTTCTTTCTACCATAAAGACTATACTTATGCAGGCAAGCTTGTTGGAACGTACTATGATGAACACGGTCAACCTACAGCCAGATTGGAAGAGTACAATCAAATGTTGGAGGTGGCTCAAGGTGCCAGCCTGCAAGCGGAGGAGTTTCGTCGCTTGTTTCCACCGTGCAATTCTCACTGGGCGCAGGGAAAGGGAGGCACAGTCTGGTGCAGCAAGGAAAGGTAAGCGAGTGAGACGTCATTGTGCGTGTGTGTGGCGTGTGTGTGTGGTGTATGTGTGCATGCACATGTGTGTGTGCGTACGCGCGCTCGCCCGTGTGTACAAGTACGTTTGTTTATGTTTTCTCCTGCAGTAATTCTTGGATTATCTCACTTTCCGGGCCAGGGATGATTTTTCTGTAGTTTAATTGACAGCAGTTGTTGGCATTGCAACAAAAGCACATAAACCAGAGTGTGCAACACTGCTACTGGACATTTTCAGAACTCATCACGCACGTTGCACAAAGCACGCGTAAAGCATGCTCTGGGTGCCGAACCTTCATCATAAGTTGTTTTTTGCCATTTTCGAACGGATCTCTTGAAAAGTTCTCCAGCTGCTGTAGCTTTTTATCGTAATGCGAGTTTAGCAGACACGACACCTGACCAATTTCACGTGACCACGGACTCGTAGTGCACACCTCGTATGGCATGACTTGTGATCTACAGAAAGGTTGGCGTCAACAAAACATTCCCCTCATGGCCAAACCAAGTGGATTTAATTTCACTCTCTGGTTTATGTACTCTTGGTAGCAAGCATCCAGCTACATAGCAATTAGCAATGCATAGAGTTGCTGGCTATATGCATTTTCACCAGACTGTGCATGTGTTGCCCGAACACACAGGCGCCTAGGTGATGCAGCACAGTTTTATCTGAGTACAGATCTACTCTCCATATAACGTAATCTCTGGGACCATGCAAAAATTATGTTATATCGAGAGTTATGTTATGTAGAAAACCGTGTGTAAAATGCAAGATGTACCTCAAAATGAAGGGTATTACAAGGGGGGTTCAACCGTGCAAACATATACACACTGTACCACCATCGACATCAGATACCATCAATGCTGCAGAATTATGCACAATAGGACTAAACTGGCTAGCTACGACTACAGCTTGATTGTACCACGCACGTGAATCTATGTTGTATCAAGAGTGCGCACGCCGGGGACCGCGCCGTAGGGTGCGTTATGCCGAGGTTTACGTTATGTAGGACTAACTGGCCTAATCTGCCTAGCTACAGCTTGATCGTACCGTGCACGTGAATTTACGTTGTATCGAGAGTGCGCACGTTGGGGACCGCGCCGCACGTGTGTTATGTCGAGGTTTATGTTATGTAGGATTATGTTGTGTAGAACAAAATTTGTATGGGAGTGATGCTGTTTCGGCACGGGATTTGATTTTTTTACGTACTAGCGAGGTTTATGTACAAGTGAGAGTTGTTATATCGAGAGCAGACCTGTATGTTGATTTTTTGAGCAGCACTCAATTGATTTTCGTTACAGCAGATACTGTTTGTGTTACTGTGCGTCCATGCATGTGGTCGATTCACATGGCTTCACCAGTTGTGTGTGGATTAGGCAGTTATCTGGCACTAGCCTTGATCTGTTTCGTTCAGATCTTGTCCGCTGTCATTGCTATAAGAGAAGATCCGTAGGTGCACCTCCAGTGCTTTTGCAGATTTGCGTGCTTCTCTCGCGACGGGGCGTATACATGGTACATGTTTTACTCATGGTTGTGTTGTGTGCGTGCATGTGTTGTCGACAGTGGTGGTATCAAGCGTGACTGGGTCGGTGTGCCGCGCAAGTTCTACAAGGCCGGCGGGACAAACTATCAATGCGTGTGCGTCCGCACGACCGGTTCGCCGAGCTTGGGAGAGGACGATCAGCGCAACATTGGCGATCTTGGTAATCCAAACATGCGAGCCTACGATTATTGTCACCCCGACTCTGCTACCTGTGCTATCAAAGACTAAGTCAATTCAGTTTAGTTGAAACACCACACATCGGGGAGGACACCCATAGTGTTGCATTCAACCTTGCATGTGTTTTTTTGCAGACATATGAACTCAATGTGCCATAACTTCTTTGGCCCATTCATTTTTTAGTTTTACCCAGGAAAGGCTGGTCCTGCGTCCTTCTAGTCTGCATGTTATATTTGTAGGTAGATGGCCTCTTTTTTGAAGCATTTTTGTTAGGAAACTGTATTTTCTATTTCTGCTTTAACTAAAATGGGTCCTTCATCAACTTTTGGTTGCTTTCTGTTTTCGTCTAGCACCAGATGAAATGTTTCATACTTTAATATTGAGACACACGTTTGGATCGGTTGTGTACAAGACACGTGTGTGCGTGTGTGTATGTTTCTGGCTAGAGTAACTCTTGTGTAATCAACGGTGCTAGTGAAGCTTATATCAGATCCACTCTGATTTAGCCACCCACACTAGTACCAAGTATTACCTTCACTGGGGGCAGGGGTACCTGCAGTTGGATCCCGGGACGATGCCCTGATGCCGTCAATCCTTTTTCTGCACCTTGTCCTCACCCACTTAGTGAGGTGTGGTGAGCCCATAAGTGGGATCATTTCAAATCCACCCTAGTTTGAGGATTTCAGGGGGTGTCGGCCGTTGGGTGGTTCAATGGCCAATTGAGTCATCTTTCCAAGATTCCTTTTGAGTCTCTCTCTCCTCTCCCGGGGAGACCCACGTGACCAGTTTTGGCAGTGAGCCAGTACAAGTGTATGTTTGTTTGTGCATGCGTACGTACGTGAATGGTATTGTTTGAAATTAGCAACTATGTGGCACACGCTGTATTGTAAGTACATGTATTGAGTATGAGCACAATATGCGTAAACGGTTTCAAAAGGGGCGCACTAGCTTGCATGATATAGATTATGTCCTCAATACAAAAAATCTCTCAACATTACTTTTCGAGACAAATGTTCTCCGGTCAAGTTTACGTACAAAACATGCGAAAGGCATCACTTCTTCTTCTTGCCACTGCCCTTTTTCTTGCCGCTTCCTTTGCCTTTCTTTCCCTTCTTGCCACTGCGCTTGCCCTTCCTGCTCTTCTTGGAGAGGGCTCTTCTCGTGCGGAACTTCCTCCACATGTACTGGATCTTGAGGGCTGCTGACAGCTGCAGGTGCATCTCTCGTTCTTCCTGCGCCCGTTTCTCCGCCGCCAGCCTTCTCTCTTCCAAGATGACGTCACGCTTAAAGGATAGGCCCTTGAAGCGCACCGTCAACTCATCCAGCTGTGCCTTCTCAGTGTTGTGAGCCGCGTCCAGTTCATCAAAGCGAGCCTGCCACACACACACAGGACACAATGGCACTCAACGCTCAAAGCCTGCCCAGACATTCATTACGATCTTGTTTTGCTAGATAGAGCGTCTAGTTGTAACACTGGTTGTCAAGCCAACGCCATGGCAACAGTTGCACAGTGCAGGCATTATGTACTGTGCAAGAACAGCAGCTAGGGACAGATTGCAAAATAGCATGATTGTTATGCCCTAGCAACACTTACCTGCTTCTCGCCCATATCATCATCGTATTTACGTATCCAGGTGTCTACTTCATTCTCTACGCGAAAGTTTCTCTACATGGACAGGACAAAAGTCACAGAAACACATGCAAGTCATGTAGAAGTCAGTCCCACGGATTGAATTGATACAGCGTGACTGCGGCCAGGCGCACAATGAAAATTAGGGTGGTAGCGAGTACTCGACCGGAAAATAAATCGACGGCATGAAGTAGCCTCACGCCTAGCATGTGTGTGTGTGTGTGTGGGTGTGTGTGTCCCATATGGTGCAGTGGTATGTGCAGCGATTTCCAATCGATAGATTGCGGGTTCGATTCCCGACGATTATGGTCACACACGTCTTTCTTCTCTTTCTCAGACTCTTCCTGACTTTTCTTTCATTCTCCTGGGTGGTTACCAACAGCCAGTGCATGCCGGAGTATGTGGTGTGATGTGTGTGCGGGAAAAAAAAAAGAAAAAAAAGAAAAAAAAGGAAAAGACCAAAAATAGGGATTCACTGGCCAGAAAATGTCACTCCAAATAGCTGTATGGTGTAGACCAGGCTGAATAGTGACGGTCAATTCTTCAGCCTTGCAAGCTGTTGAATGGTGTAATCCCAGCACAAGTTGCTATGGCTTCTGCCGTAGCATTGCTATCATCGCCTCCGGCGATGGGCGTCAAAGGTCAAAGGTCAAGGTGTGTGTGTGTGTCTGTGTGTGTGTGTATGTACTAAGACATGCTAGTGCTCACCTACAAGTGGGTTGAGAAGTTTTACCGGTTGGAATTGGGCCTAGGTACTGCAAAGGCAAGGCGTGCAGTGACAGTGATTCAACGTGATATGCACACAATGTCACAAGATGATGCGACTGCATCCGTACCTTGCGTTGCTCACTCTGGACTCCCCTCTGCTTCTGTATCTGCTCATCCAGCCGTGCTCGACTCTCCGTCAGTTGAGTTTTCAATTGCTTGATGATGTCGGTTCTATCTCCCTCCTGTATGGTAGCATCAGCTTGCTCTTTCATCTTTCTGCCAAAGATCTTGGTTGCCTGATCAAGTTCTGCAGCCTTCATGGCAAGTTTGTTTAGCACTTCACCCCTCTCTGCCACCTGTGTCGCAACAGTCCGTGCACAACAAACGCAATAGCCAGTATGTACTTGGCATGACAGAACAACACACACGAGCTGCTTTACTCAGATAAATATGTAATGTGCAGTCGGGACTCTTGAATGTAGCAATGCTGATGTCCAGGATGGGACTCGTCGACCCCGTTTCTAGTGCTGCCCATACTCTACCCAGTACACTACTTCGAAGTACTTACCCAGGCCACTCAGGTACACATGCAATCGGGTTTTAACAGAATTGGAACATAGCATTGAGGCGTGATTATTGTGGATAACGTCACCAGCGGTATATGTAAAGGTCAAGCTAAATGTGGTCCGTGATCCATTCTGACGAAGGGGCAGCGGGTGTTAGGGACCTCTTGTCTCACTGCGCAAGGCGAGGCGGAAGACAGTGCTCCTCTCGTCTCCGTCATCGCATTCGGTGCTTACTAACTGATGTCAGTAGTGACAACGGTAAAAACAGGAAGTTTGAAAACGGTGAAGCGATGATGATTCTCAAAAAGAGGAGAAGAAAAATGAAAATACTACCGGTTGGAGTAGTGGCCGACTGGCCGGCCACATGAGCTATAGTGCGTTACAAAAGTCCAGACCTCTGGTTTCAAAAAACCGTTCGGCCAGCATCTATACCACATAAAATCTGTGATCACTTTGTGCATAAAATTTTCGAAATTGGGCATCTGTTATCCAATCGCTTAGAAATGTATATGAGAAAAATTGTGTGAGCTGCCTGAGCAATATTCCAAAGAAATTTCTCAAAAAGCTCAAACCAAATTTGAATTATTCGAAAAAGTCTAGAGGTCTATACTTTTGAAATGCACTATAGAGGTTTCGATTCCATCCTCATTTGAGATGCTTTGTATTGAAGGGCAAAGACCTAGCACCGGTTTCCGTTCCATAGAACTCCATACAAAGGACATGCAATGATCTCAACCGCAGAACCTCTATAACTTATCTTCAGTGTGTTACATGCACTCTCCATAAAGCTGCTGCACAATCCATTATAGTCCAGCATTGCTGCTATATACACACAGTAGCAGTATGGATTGACTATGCCAGACCGGTATACGCACATTGCCACACTGTGACATCCATGACCCAAGGAAACTTAGCCTGGTAATGCCAATGGCTTTTTCAGTTCTTCATAAGTTGCTTGATGCATGCCTTTGCTTTGGGCTCAGCTTGTGTCTTCACCTAACTTGTGTTTCTAATACCCACAAGGACCTTGTTTCTGATAGCAATGGGACGGGTCAAGAGGAACATTTTCTGCTGTTATGCCATGGCTTTGTATGTTGAGACTCGGTCCAATTGCTATCGATACCACCATGTACCTTAAGCTAATTCCTGGGCAATGACTATTGACTATTCACTGCTGCCCGCTAATCATCTACCATACCTTTCCAGTTAGAACCTGCTTCTGTTTGGCGATTTCCTTCTCCAACTCCCTGGTCTGCGTTTCACGCTTGGATTGGATCTCGCGCAGGCTGGCAATGCTCTGCTCCCGCACGACCTCGTCATGTCGGCTCTCGGAGATGTGCACGTGAGTCTCGCGCCGATAGTCCTGGAGTAGCTGGATGAGCAGCCTGCCGGCCTGGTTCTCCAGTGCCACCGCCGGGTCTATCATGCTGAACACGGGCGCGATCTCCGGGTTTTTGGACACGGCACGCAGGATGGTACGCACCGACGTCTGTAACGTTCCACTGGTGATACCAGCGATGTACTGCTCCTCCACGTCAGCAGCCGCACTCGTAGTCTCGACAAGGGACTTGCTCAATCCGACATGCTGCTCCATAGCTCTACACAGGTCTTCTCCCAGCTGAACAGAATATCGTCCAAGAAATGCTTCACTATCGCCGCAGATCGAAGGCAGGACTAGGCAAATCTCAGCCTGACGAACAACTTCATCGTACACTAACAACAGCCTCTGGCTCTCCACTGACGTTAGTTTCTTCCTTCTCTTTTTCGCATGCAGTAGCGTTAGCAGGATGTCATCAGAGGAACGCGGAGTTTTCTCCGCCCGACTTGCCATTCTGGCAGCCCCTTTTAGCGGCGTCAGGGTATTGTGTCTCTCGACATTTTTAATCGAGTACTGTTCCACTATGTCCAAATGCGCCGAGAGCTGCTGTTGAAAGCCTTGCGTGGTGGCCATTTTTCAGTGCAGAGCGTTTGAGACTTTGGCACTGATCAGTCGACACCACAGCGATAGGCACCCGTGGAAGTTGTCCTGCAGCAAGACTGAGCTCTCTAAGCAATTTTCGCTACGTCCCGAGGGTAGTCCGACGGCATAATTTCCTCGTGCATTCAGTCCGCTAGTTGCCACAACTCACTCTATCACACTAGCTGTTACTTGGTGACAGAGCCTCCAGTCAGAGGCGATGCAGATGTTCGCTAGAAGTGGTAAAGCGAGGACGCGGCTTTACTTGATAACTCTTTACTGTCTGCAATATTATTGTCTTTGCCACTGTCAAGCCATTTCGCATTTGCCTTCCCTTGCTTGCAATCAGCAATATTCTTTCTTTTGCCGTGGCGTTGGCCCGATCGACCTGTCGAACAGGGTCGGATGACTCGGATCTAGATTTGCCTGCGCGTCACACAGTCTCGCAGAATTGACCGATCGATCATGGACACCATAGCAACACAGGATGCTGCGCGACGTGCAGAGTGCTAGTACTATTATAGTATAGTGCAGACGCGCCTCTTACTGTTAGTGTTACCATCGTTACTGGCTACGTGAAGTCTGTACATCAGTCATGCATTACTGCCATTAGTCATCATCACTGCACGATCATCACTGACATCAGGGCAAAAATGAAAATTTAATGTTATGAGACATGATCTGGCTGAATCAGTGCATGACCGCATGCATGTCGTGTAAGTACACAAAACTGCCACCCCTCTTTTCCAACAATGTTATTTTTTGGATTCGTTTGTCTACACCCGATCCAGTCATCATGGTAATCATGAATTCATGGTCATATCGCACACAAAAGCGGATTGGACACGAATTCAGAGAGAGACAGAAAGAGAGAGAGAGAGAGAGAGAGAGAGAGAGAGAGAGAGAGAGAGAGAGAGACAGACAGACAGACAGACAGACAGACAGACAGACAGACAGACAGACAGACAGACAGACAGACAGACAGACAGACAGACAGACAGAGGGAGGAAGGGAGGGAGGAAGGGAGGGAGGGAGGAAGGGAGGGAGGGAGGGAGAGAGAGAGAGAGGGAGGGAGGGAGGGAGGGAGGGAGAGAGAGAGAGAGAGAGAGAGAGAGAGAGAGAGAGAGAGAGAGAGAGAGAGAGAGAGAGAGAGAGAGAGAGAGAGAGAGAGAGAGAGGGAGCGAGGGAGAGAGGGAGGGGGAGAGAGAGGGAGAGAGGGAGAGAGGAAGAGAGGAAGAGAGGGAGGGAGAGGGAGGGGGAGAGGGAGAGGGAGAGGGAGAGAGAGAGAGAGAGAGAGAGAGAGAGAGATAGAGAGAGAGAGAGAGAGAGAGAGAGAGAGAGAGGAGAGAGAGAGAGAGAGAGAGAGAGAGAGAGAGAGAGAGAGAGAGAGAGAGAGAGAGAGAGAGAGAGAGAGAGAGAGAGAGAGAGAGAGAGAGAGAGAGAGAGAGAGAGAGAGAGAGAGAGAGAGAGAGAGAGAGAGAGAGAGAGAGAGAGAGAGAGACGGAGAGAGATAGAGAGAGGACTAGAAATACAGCAGCTTTTAAAGGGATAGAATTTGTTAGTGTAAGTGTTATGTCCCGGTTTCGCTCAGTCAGCAGAGCACGAGGGTACAGTAATGGATAATGGTTATCATACAGAATTGCACACTTATTCAGAGAGAGAGAGAAAGAGTTCTCAGGTAATACACTGTAGTCTAGCATGAAACTAATCCCGTACTAGTCCGTAGGAAACTAGAAAGGCAGCAGCTTTTATAGGGTGAGTAAGTAAGTTAGCCTATGGTCAGGGGATACGTAGAGCAGAGAGAAGTAAGAAGAAAGGTCAAACTACAAGGTACATGATTGTGTGGGCAGAAGAATGGGAAAGGTCGGGACATGGCACCTGTGCAAGAGGAATACGTTGTAGAGGAAGAACTGAATAGAAGGGTGTACAATACATCGTATACATGTAGGCGTGCAATAATACCAGGAGGACAACTGTTGAAAGGGGCATTAGGATGTATGGACAGCTGTTAGTGTAGATAACTAAAAGTGCGGCTGAAAGTGAAATGCATCAAAAGGTCTCCAGTGTGCTATCTAAGGTCAACCTCGAAAGTGAGTGGGAACAATACATGAATACAGCGCATAGTATAGTATTAGTAGTGCATGTAAAAGAGGATAGAAGGTGAGGCTGGTGTAACAAGTCAAGTACATGTGCATGTCATAATAATGTATGTATTCCTATCTAACATAGCCCTCCCCTTTGCGGGCGCATGTCCTCATGCGAAGAAAAGTAAGAGGGGACATGTACATGTACATGCATTGCAGCAAACAGAAAAGTACAAGGCAGTACTAGCAGTATAACTATAAGACAATGGCATGAAGAAAGAAAAAGAATGAGTAGCGGGCGGGGGTGGGGTACTTCATAGGGAGTGGGTGTGATGAGGAATGATGAGTGTGTGTAGAAGAGCTGGATTGTTGTAAGGAACTGGCCGTATGATTGTATTGTACTTTGTAGCTGTGGAGTGTGGCGCGGGCGGATGTGATCATGGATTCGTGTAATGTAATTTGTAATCATGGATTGTCATGTGTGGCAGGACAGTATGGCTTGGTAGACTGAGAATAAAGTAGGGACCCTGGGTGTAAAATGTAAATGTGTGAAGGACCTGTCTCTCTGAGGAGCGGTAAAATGTATGTTCACGTCTCAATTTGGACGGTTGAAAAGGGATGTGTAAAATATCGCGTCACTGTGGACGGTAACAGTTCTTAAAATAATCTCGTCTCTCTGGGACGGTAAAACTGGGAAAGTATACTCGCTCATCATGTGGCGGTATATCATGTTACATGGATTTGTGAGCTGAGTGCGTGCGTGCAGGGTATACAGTATTTTGCGTCTGTTCAAGGGCAGGGACTGGTGACTGCTGATCCAGCAAACTGATTGCATGGTCTGTATGTGGTTGACATGGTCTGTATGGGTAATGAAGATGCTAGGAAGCTGTGTTGTCAGAAACTTGAGAAAGCTGTTGTGCTTGAGTGTGGCCATTGTAACATGTTGAGTGATCCAGAACTACAATCGTCATGTAGGTACAGTACTGTGTACTGAGTCTGTATGCATCTGTATGTAGAGAGAGTTTTGAACTTTTGATAGAATGGTGGGCTGGGAGTGGGATGGGGTGAATGATGCGACGTGAGAGTGTGAAAATAGGACTGAAACAACTACATTCTATGCCTATGATAGCGGAAAGACAGCGAATAAACGAGCGAGGGATAGCGTAGTTTGTATGATATGGTTGGCACAGTGAAACGACTTACAAGATATTTCCGTAGATGTGGTTGAAGAGTTTCTCGTAGTAGGTTCAGGAAGGAGAATCAACGTTGACAGACACTGCGTGCGATTGGTCAGACATAGCGCTATGAGGTAGGGGATTGTCCACGTACTCAGCATAAGCCTTCATATCATCTTGCGAATCTTCTTGCCTACGTGCTTGGCATGACACAGCATTGTTGACAGCCAGACATACCACTAGAGTGACGAAGAAGACTGGGACGAACTTCATCTTGACGAATAGGATTAGGAGGAGAAAGACTTGTGCAATAAAATACTCGCTACGATTGAATACGGAAATCTCAGGTCGTCGTGGGTTCGGAACCGCTGTTGGGGCCAAATGTTATGTCCCGGTTTCGCTCAGTCAGCAGAGCACGAGGGTACAGTAATGGATAATGGTTATCATACCGAATTGCACCCGGCTAGCTCAGTCGGTAGAGCATGAGACTCTTAATCTCAGGGTCGTGGGTTCGAGCCCCACGTTGGGCGCCAAATGTTATGTCCCGGTTTCGCTCAGTCAGCAGAGCACGAGGGTACAGTAATGGATAATGGTTATCATACAGAATTGCACACTTATTCAGAGAGAGAGAGAAAGAGTTCTCAGGTAATACACTGTAGTCTAGCATGAAACTAATCCCGTACTAGTCCGTAGGAAACTAGAAAGGCAGCAGCTTTTATAGGGTGAGTAAGTAAGTTAGCCTATGGTCAGGGGATACGTAGAGCAGAGAGAAGTAAGAAGAAAGGTCAAACTACAAGGTACATGATTGTGTGGGCAGAAGAATGGGAAAGGTCGGGACATGGCACCTGTGCAAGAGGAATACGTTGTAGAGGAAGAACTGAATAGAAGGGTGTACAATACATCGTATACATGTAGGCGTGCAATAATACCAGGAGGACAACTGTTGAAAGGGGCATTAGGATGTATGGACAGCTGTTAGTGTAGATAACTAAAAGTGCGGCTGAAAGTGAAATGCATCAAAAGGTCTCCAGTGTGCTATCTAAGGTCAACCTCGAAAGTGAGTGGGAACAATACATGAATACAGCGCATAGTATAGTATTAGTAGTGCATGTAAAAGAGGATAGAAGGTGAGGCTGGTGTAACAAGTCAAGTACATGTGCATGTCATAATAATGTATGTATTCCTATCTAACATAAGTATGCTAGCGACTATGGCCAGGGGATACATGTACGTAGATCAGAGAGAAGTAAGAAGAAAGGTCAAAACTAGGTACATGTGTGGGCAGAAGAATAGGAAAGGACGGGACATGGCACCTGTGCAAGAGGAATACATCAACCGACTCCCTTGTGTAATGAGGGTCAGAATCAGGGCTAGTACCCATACGGTTCAAATGGTCGCAAAACCTGGGCTCTGCCAACCGTGGATGGGTGTAGTAAGGTCACTGTTTCCGAACACAGTGGTCCTCCGCCTTGTAACATGCTGTCAACCATTGCCCGCATTGGTCAACCAACAACATAACGTTAGTACAGCCATGTACTGTGCATGTGCGTCTATCTCAATACATGGACCATGAGGCATGAATGATAGCGACCCGATCGAAATGATAATACCGGTACATGTACTTTGTACATGATTGTACAAAGACGAACGGTCAAGGGACCTTCAAAACGTGATCTCGGTAACCAGGTGGCCTCCTAAGTCCTTATCCAGGTACATTTGACTGGGCAGCATATCCCTTTGCGATGGCCTTCTTGGACAGGTGGTCGCCTTGACAGGTTTTACTGTAGATTTACATGACCATCCGAGTCGGCTGTCAAGACTGTATTAAAACCATGACATTATTGTACTAAAACTACGTAGATAGAGTGTTTGATCCGATCGTCGATCGGGTGGGGCCGGCCGCACGTGACGGTAGCACGCATCGATCTATCGGTATCCATATCCAGTGAGTTTCTACAATCCATGCCAGTTACTGTTTGTCATAGATCTACTTGAGTCATCATGGTCATCATGGTCATGGTCATACTCTACTGCACTGAAAAGTAAAAGTAAACCCATACCACTACAATGACTTGTACATATTAGGCGCTAGTGGCGTAGTGCACTACCAGCTCGATCGTCTGTACTGTAGATCTAGTCAAATCGGACATTTGTACGAGTCATTGCCATGTATTCGATCAAGTCATGTCATGTAACTAAACTTACTTATTTTGCGAAGAAGAAGGACGACTTCCAGCAATCTAGGCCAGGGTAGACTGTGTAGTGTAAAGACATCAGTACCAGTGAGACAGAGTTACCGTAGACTTGGAGCTGAAAGTAATAATTATTCGAACGTGATCAAACCGGATCGTCAGGACGCGGGAAGGGACAAGTAAGCCCTGTTTGGACGCAGCTGTGCAGTGACACTGGCGGAGTTTGCAAATCGGAACATCAACGACTACGTACCTCCTTGTCATCAGCAAGCAAAAGAAGGGCAGAAAGTGCAGCTGCCACGTGCGCCAGTGCAGTGTTCATTATTTTTGTGTTACAGTCTCGACGCGGGAGTTTACCACGTGTTGTGTTGTAACGGTGGCCTAAGCTAAGTCGTTCTAGGGGCAGGGTTTGTTACAAGCAAGCGCTTCCCAGAGCGACATCAGGCCGAGACCGATGCCAAGCTTATCGCTTGACTTGGACTTCATTGCTGTGCAGCGATGAGATTGCTGAGAGCCGAATGAAAACGCTGCAATCGTGAATGACAGGGACTAGTCTAAAGACTTGGCTGTGTGACAGTCACTGACAGTATCCATTCGCAACGACCCCTCTCTCACGTCTCAGCTCAGCAGGGTCTCTCTGGCACGGCGCGGAGCGAGATCCTGTGCGTTCACTTCAGGCCAACATACATATTATGCGCACCCACTGGTAGTCGACGAGCATAGGACGCTAACTGCCTAGACCAAGAATGCTGCACTGTATCGCCTGACATAGGCACCATGCCACACTGATGCTGAAACAAGACACAGCTCCGGTGCATGACAGCTGGAGAGAACGTGGCAGATCAGTCTGCCCAATGGGCGCAATGTGATGCGTTTGAGAGAATTATTTGAGCAGAGTGTGGATGATGCTCCATGCACTGAAGCCAGTTGTACCCACCACAGCTCCAGCATGTAATGCCTTGCTGCTACTGGTGTCACTGAGTCACACTATCCTCTGCTGGTCATTACTAGTGGTTGGTACAGTGTCACTGGGAGCAGCAGCAGCAACAGATGCTGGCTACACTGTGAAGAGCAATGCGTTTGTTGGTCTGGACGTTCAGCAGGCAAGCGTGACGACAACGCTGCCCTGGTATCGTGGATTCACGTCGGACTGGTGGCGGTCCAACGAGCGCACGCAGCGATGCGACAACGGTGCCAAGTGGGGCCACTCCGGGCTGTTGACGGCAGACCTGCAGAATGCTCGCTTGCGCTACCTAGCTACACGCTTGTCGCCAGCGGTGTGGCGAATAGGAGGTACACCGCAAGACGAGATAGTCTACGTTATTGGCAACCCACCAGAGTGTGCTAGCAGTAAATCAGTACAGGAATCTCTTGCAGCCCCTGGCCCCCTTTGCTTGACAATGGGCAGGTGGAAAGAGATCGTTGAATTCGCCGACAGCTGCGGGCTAAAGCTCGTCATGGGTCTGAACGGGATGTACGCGCGCACGCGGCAAGACGAGCCGTTTAACATCACCAACACCCGCGAGTTTCTGCGCTTCACCGCCGAATCTGGTCTGAGTGTGTTTGCCTTTGAGCTGAGCAACGAGCGGCTGAGGAGGGCCGGCGGTGCCACACCCAAGGTACTTGCTCAGGACTTTACACGCGTCAGGCAGTTGATCGTGCAATTCTGGCCAGACAAGACTACCAGACCAATGCTACTAGGGCCTGATTCGTCGGAGAAACAGCTAAAGCATGTCCGGTGGTTTGCTAAGCAGATTGACGGCGGTGTGCTGGATGGCCTGAGCTATCACAGTTATTGTTCAGGAGTATGTCGCTGTGGTGCACCCATGACTCAGCCTGCGGCTTTACACACCTGCCTCAACTCTGCCAAGTACTTTCTTCAGCTGGCACGGACAACTAACCCAGCAACGCTGCGTGTCTGGGCTAGTGAAGTCGGACCGCATCATTGCGGTGGGCTCACCAATTGCTCGGACAGATTTATGACCAGCTTCTGGTACCTGCATCATCTAGGCAGTCTAGCACGCATGGGCATTGAGGTGTTTGCACGCTCCACGCTAATGGGCGCTGATTATGGACTGCTGGATAAGGCGTCCTTTCACCCGCGTCCCGACTACTTTGCTGCCCTGCTGTGGGGCAGGCTTATGTGCAGACACCACTATCACGATGTCACTGTTGGAAGCATGGACGGCAATAGCGTTGAGTCGCAGGACGCATTGAAGCTGCTGGCTTTTGCATGTCGATCTGCTGCGGAAACACAAGCTTCGAACCACATCACGCTTTTGTTGATCAACTTGAGCCCAGAAGAAGTTCTCACTGTCTATGTCAAGCTGCTTGGTTGGAAGCCAAGTGGCAAAAGGCTTGAATACCATGTCTCTGCAAGCAGTCAACTTGCTCCTGAAGCCAGGATGAAAACTCAGAATGGCGACTGGATACCATTGCGATTGTCTGCGGATGATAAGCTGCCCGACATGGCACCAATCGTCAGTAAATACTCAGACCCGGTCATAATGTCGCGTTCGTCCTATGCGTTCATACGCATCGATGGACACTACGAAGACGCACGATACACACTCTACTTCACGTATCACATTGTGATTGCAGCACTGTTGGCGCTGCTACTGTTGTATGTCAGACCACGGCGCAGGTGGCTATTACGTTGATTCGCCACTGCGGTCACCTGATGGCTTACACTCAATGGTTCTGAGCGTGTGCTATTGCAACTTATGTGCTCTGCAGGATTTTGCTATCGGACAACATACTCACACACACCTTGTTCTTGTGAACTTTCTGAGGTACCCGCTCCGGGATCGTACGTGCAACACGCCCAAGCCAGCATAGATGGTGCACACATACACACACACGGCACACACACACACACACACACACACTATTTATGACCGTGCTTAGTGGCAACGAAAATAACAATGTGTGACGTCCTGATGCCTTATAGAGAGTTCCAATATTAAGTTTGAGTTTCCGTTATAGCCGGATATGACCGTGACTGTGTTCGGATGCCTTATAGAGAGTTCCAATATTAAGTTTGAGTTTCCGTTATAGCCGGATATGATCGTGACTGTGTTCGCAGATAGCTATTTCTACCCCCACCATGCAGTGAGAACCTTGAAATATTGAAATATCCTAGTGTCAAACTTGAAATTGTGGTTCTACTGATTCTGCTGGATTAATGTGTTGAGTCGAAACATGATGTTTGAGGAAATTGAATTTTCCATTTAACTTGTGACTCATACGCATTTTGTGTGTGTGTGTGTGTGTGTGTGTGTGAGAGAGAGTGTGTGTGTCTGTGTGCATCTGTGTGTAGCGGCCAAACATCCTAGTGAAGAAGCAACGCAATACAATAATGAAGATAGTGCATCTACCATTAACTATCTTGATAGCAACGGCAGCAATGCAATAAGTACTCTCCAAATCATTCGCTTTTGGTGCACATCTCCCTATGCTCCAAGAGTGAATGAACACTTGATTTACATGGTTTCTTGCATAATATTGAACCTCACAGAACAGCACACGTTAGGGTGCACGAAATAACTAAATATTGTACCAAACTAAAGTTTTTTTTCTGAACGTTCGGGGTGACAGACCTCGACCAAAAACGAAATTTAGTACGTAACGAACCTGCTGGTGGAGTGATCTAATGAAAGATTTCGTGAACGAAAATTTGTACTTATAAAGTAGATTGTAGCTGGCAATAAGTTATGATGATAGCATCTGTACTGTAGCGAGTCACAACCGGACCCAAACAGAGAATATTTCAGAATTACAAGAATCAGAATTCATCCCTGGGAAGTATTGCACTTCCTGGCATGTGCAGAGATAGAGCAAGATAGCCAGGTAAGGCAAAGTGCAGGTGACCCAAAGTGTGTATGAGCGCAGACATCTGTGCATTAGTGAATCAAGCATCCGTCTCGGTTACAGGTTGCAGCCACGCCATAGCTTTGGTAAGCCAGTGAGATGATGCAGGCACACTTCTGCTAGGGCTGTCAAACACATCTTTTTCTCCACTGGACTGCTGCTGCTCTTCATCATGTGAATGTGCCGCTGGCAGAGCAGTGATGGGTAAAGCCATGCTGACCGATGTCAGGCTTGATGAGCGTCTCAGGGCGTGCTTTTCAGGCTGAGTGTGCAGGGTGCACGTCAGTGATTCCAAACTGTCATGTATATTGGGCATGCTAGAGCTGGTCACTGAGTCATATCCAATGGGAAGTTTACCCCCGGCTTGTGGAGAAGAGGTCAACAACTGAGCAGCCCTGCCACAACTGCATGAGTCCTTGATCGATGGCTGCCGAAGTCTACGAACTTCTGCTTCTTGTTTCTAATAACATAAAGAGGAAGGGAGAGACAACACAAGATGGACTCTCTCTCTCTCTCTCTCTCTCTCTCTCTCTCTCTCTCTCTCTCTCTCTCTTCCATGGCTCAATAGATTGGTTTCACATATTTGTCATATGACTAAAGTTGTGTGGAAAGTGCAAAAGGCATGATGTCAGTCACAGTGGAACCAGCATGACTGACATCATGTGACCCGTAGATGCCAGTGCTTGGACTGGAGTTGGAACCAGCATGGCACGGTCCTGTGCGGTCATGTGATAGATGTGAAACCCACTCTGTAGTACCGCCATGTCACCGCGGCTGTTCTCCATCACATAAAGTGTGCAGAACAGCTTAACACAACCCACCACAGTTATCAGACACAACCCACCACAGTTATCAGACACAACCCACCACAGTTATCAGACACAACCCACCACAGTTATCAGACACAACCCACCACAGTTATCAGACACAACCCACCAGTTATCAGACACAACCCACCACAGTTATCAGACACAACCTACAGCGCTGACCAAAGAAACCCAACCTCATGAATAAAATAGCGTTGCCCGGGACGCTACACAGCTCTAGCACTACACATACAGGTCTGTGCACTCGACACCGACGCTACTTTATTCATGCGGTTGTAGTTCCCCGGCCAGCACTGTGCTTTACCGGTTTTTTTTTATAGTGTTGTAGAGTGCCACCAGAGCAACCCGGCCGTCATGATTTACAGCCTGCCGGGCCGGAAAGGAGGTCCGCATGGCCGAGTGAAACCAAGGCTGTACAGTTTACGGACCTGCTCGCACTAGGATTGCACATGGCTCTACTGCATGCACCCGTGACTACACTGCATGCTCTTGCACAACAGCTTCTGCTACTCGTATGTGAAAGAGTACAGAGTGAATGTACACTGCACAGTGTTTGTGCAACGTCGATGTTAGTGTCATCTAACTCACACTAACAAGACATACATACCCCCTCCCCCTTCTCCTCCAAAATACGACCATTAAAGGATCCAGGTGGCGGGGCCCCTCACGGCACTTTATAGCACATATATACGACAATACATTGACCTTGTTAACATCAGTTACTACGAACATACGAACATGGGGTTTACCTCGATAACTCTCAGCAGCTGCACAATCTGCCGTGACATGTTGTTCTCCATACGTTCAAATTCGGTCGCATGTTCCTGTAGATAAAGAAGATGAATACCGGGATCAGATAGAGTGTCATGATGTGCTGTACAGGACATCCATCAAGATGCACCGCTGACCAGCACTGGGGACTTTAACATTGCGTACATACGTGGGGCTTACTGGGGATCCAAGAACATACGATCAAAGTGAAACCTCTGTCAGGCTCTCCATGAAATCTGTGTCCGTAAAATTGTTCTATTAGACTTTCTTCACCTGCTACCAGCCCCGTGCGATCTCCACACTCAGACATTCATGATGATTGGACGACGAGATAACTACTAGCACATTTGAATGACTATGCTTTGTGACAAGACGACGGAAGCACAACTAGACATGACGAACTCAAAACGGAGACCGCTTTTCACGCCACAGCAACACGCGCATGCACCAACACCACGTACGAGCACAAACTACGTACACAAAATAACGTACTACAACATAATGATTGTGTACCTGTTGAATCTCTCGGACGTGTCTCTTGTTAGTCTCGTGCTCCTCGCACAGGATACGCATCATTTCGATGACAACAGAGAATAAACTGGCCGTGTAGCGACGCTCATCGTTGATAATGGGCATCAAGCGAGACATCACGTCCAGCACAATTCTCTCGCTCTTATCAGTGGTGTGTCTTGCCGGTTGACAGGATGCATCTAAAAGATTGTCAAGTGACAGGTCAGGCGGATTATGATACAAGCGGCGGTGACAATGGTCCAGTACCTCTTCGAGATCAGCTGACGTCAAGTTAGCAGGCTCTGCCGCCACACAAGAGCAGTCTTGAAGAGATTCTACAGACGTGCAAACGGAACACACAGTACAATTGTGAGTATGTGCCTGCGACCGCTTTACAGATTGCTCACACCCCTTGCCTTGGGGTGCAGGGGCATCTCCAGAGTAATAGGATGAGTAGAATGTTCAGATATGGGAGCCTGTGCACATCCATCCCAAAAACATGCATTCCTTCGTTAACACAATCTCTTGCTATTTTTAGACAGAGCACCACAGGAATAACACACTCCATCCCCTCGCAATTTCTCATTGGGATATAATTTTAACGACATGTACACTGCTGTCATGTATGTTGCAAACCAGGCCTATGCAGTGTTGCAAACCAGGCCTATGCAGTGTTGCAAACCAGGCCTATGCAGTGTTGCAAACCAGGCCTATGCAGTGTTGCAAACCAGGCCTATGCAGTGTTGCAAACCAGGCCTATGCAGTGTTGCAAACCAGGCCTATGCAGTGTTGCAAACCAGGCCTATGCAGTGTTGCAAACCAGGCCTATGCAGTGTTGCAAACCAGGCCTATGCAGTGTTGCAAACCAGGCCTATGCAGTGTTGCAAACCAGGCCTATGCAGTGTTGCAAACCAGGCCTATGCAGTGTTGCACGTGGCAAACACAGCAAATACTCATTTTCTTCTAACATTCAGTGAAGCCAGGCGCTTCAGATCGTCAACCATTCAGATGATCAACGGCCGGATAATCGCATTCTACTGTAAAGGCCGATTCACAATACAACTTTCTGCGACGCGACACGCGATTTGCGACAGTTGCGACAAGAAACTCCCTTTCGCGAGCTGTCGCAAGCCGTCGCAAGCTGTCGCAAGGCACCTGTCGCAGAAGTTGAAGAAAGTTCAACTTTTGCGACATGCGACACGCGACATGCGCAAATGGAGTCGAGTACAGTTTCGACCCTGGGTGCATGTGCATAGTACCAAGAGTACATAACCTGGTTAACTGGTTATGTACTCTTGATAGTACTACCATGCTAGTGCATAATGACGTCGCAAACATGAAAAAGATTGTGAACCGTGTGTCGCTGTCGCAGCTCGTCGCAGGTGTCACATGTCGCGTCGCAAGAAGTTGTATTGCGAATCGGCCTTAACAGGTCAAATGCTAGTTCTATCGAAATCGATATGATTTCAAAACAGATCCATCCACATAGCATGCGTGTTAGCGCGGTTTGGAGGTAGGTGCACCAGTACAATAATGTGAAGCCTCCGTAGCCTAATGGATATGGCATCGGCCTCCTAAGCCGGGGGTTGCGGGTTCGAATCCCGTCGGAGGTGCATTTTTTTCTTCAACAGATGACTGGAATAGGAACATGGTTTTTTTAAACATGTATCCACCAGACGGCAATGTCATGCGCTAAACACGCATTGATGCACAGAGCAGCAACAACTGATGCCAATACATGTATTCGTTTTGCTCATTTTGCCACTAATTTGTACAGTGCTGCTCAATGAAATGCGATCACGTGGGTGAGCTTTACGACCCGCGCCAGTTCACCATCCCATTGTTTGCAGGTCTAGGGCTGCACAGCGATCGCCGAGCGGCGTGGCACCGACTCCCTTGATCCGGGATTTCACTGAACAGCTCTGCAGGTAGAGCTGCTCCTGCATGTAACCAGCATTTCACCAATGCACTAGTGCAGTTAGTATCAAGCTTTCTTTTCCCGTATTTTCTTTTCATCTGTCTCCTTGCCGAGTTTTCCCATTCCTGGGTTACTTGGACCTCATTCGCTTCCTTGTCATTGGACATGTTCAGTCCGTTTGGTTTGCGAATTCAAATAAACACAACCAACCAACCAAAGCAGATATCGACAAGCAAACCCAATAGGGGACCCGAGTGGAAAGTCTACAGCAGCCAAGAGCTTCAAGTGCGTAAAAGAACAGTGGGCGCTGAAGAACACGTCACTGCATCATCCAGGTTGGAAATGGCTCGACTATTATAAATAAATTCACAGTTTGCGTGGGACTCGCCGAGTTTTCTGCATCCGTAGGAACACCACCACCCTCTATCGTAAGAATGCGCCAAAAATTTGTATTTTGAGAATAACGATGTTGCCTCATTGTAAATCAGTGCGGGCACACTAAGTGAATGTAAAGGCACAAAACAAGAACAATGGAGGGGGACTTGAAAAATCAGAGAGTATTGTTAGCCTGGAAAGGAGCCGGACTACACATTCTCTGGCATTCGGTGCTACTGTACCTTGGTGTGGAGCAGTGTAACATTGACAGGCAGTGTATGCCTAATGCTTTGGAGTAAATGGTTGCAGGTTCAAACCCGGTGCCATGATAAGGGTTTTCACTGCATTGGTCCATGTAAGAAGGAAGCTAGAGCCTGTGCAGTACCCAGCACTAACAAGTAAATCAACCTGCCTTCGCGTCATTTATTGATACATACCAATATCGAGGATGAAAGGTGGAAGTTCTACGGGCTCATCATCATCATCAACATCAGAACACACACTCCCTGGAGTACATGTACGTGGGGTGATAGTACCAGGCATTAGGGATAGTCCGTCAGCCTCATCCACCACAGCGTGTCGTGCTACTGGCAGCCTGCACAGCTGTTGGTGGTACTTTGTGACCATCTGCAACATGCAAGAAAAACAAGAGAGGACAACAATATAATTATACGGTGACATCCTAAACTGATGAGCAAAAACAAGAGACTTGAAGAGAGCTTGTGCTCATGGCGTCCAGCTTTGCCGGCCATGTCCACGCACATACTCGTCTAATCTCAACACTGGGGACACTTGTTAATCTCAACCGGATGTGCACGATGTATGGGATACAGAAGTCAGCCATCGTCTGCCACAATGTAATCAAGTAGTGACTACTGTTAGGTTCGGTAGACAAGAGACAAGTAGTTTATTGGTTAGAATATACGAAGTAGAAAAACTGACAAGATTCAATCTGTAAACGACAGAGAAGACCTTCAAAGATATGCGTGCGTGCATACACAGTAGAGCTAAAGTTGTACGGCATTACGTCATAACATAACACGCCCCTTCGAAGATAAAATTCCATGGGTGTCAACCGGACACAAAATAACAAACACAGTAACATAATTATTATACTCTCACGCCCCTTCTGAGATAAAACCTGGTTTTGTCTCAACAAAAATAAATAAATAAAGTCATAACAGACGAGATGAAATGACATAGGCATGATGTCAAGATGAGACCAAATGCTACAGACAAACATTGTCACACATATGACTGTCCAGACGTAGATGTAATGGTGAGACGATCAGGTGTCTTGCGAATACGAGTGCTACGACGAACAGGCTGGGTAGCGGCGTCAGTAGGTACACGTACTGATGAAGTTGGGGAAGGGGTATGACTAGCGGAGTCAACACACGGGGGAACATACGGACGGAGAAAGCGGCGATTACGCCAGAGGACACGGCCACTGGGCATCTTGACGAAGTAGTCGCGCCGACTGCCAATTGCTACAATGACGCCACGCATGGACCACAGCTTGGTCTGGTGGTGCTGAACATCAACATGGGTGCCAATCCGTAGAGAATGGAGAGAGCGTGCCGATTTGTCATAATGTGTTTTCGGATCTACAGAGTCCACAGCTTCAGCAGACGCAATCCAGTGTCGATCAAAGCTGGCACGGTGGGCGAACACAAACGACTGGAGGGACTGACCGAACAACACTTGGGCGGGGCTGCTGCCATTAGGGCGGGGAGTATTGCGCCACTCCAACAGGCCGCGTTGGAAGGAGTCTACATCCAGATCTCCATTCCGGGTCGTCTTCTCAATGAGCAGTTTCACTGCTTTCACTGCTGATTCCGCGTGGCCATTGGATTGAGGGTAGTGTGGGGTGGAAAAGCACTGTTCCACACCCCAACGCTCACAGAACTCACGTACACGGGAAGCGGCAAACTGCGGGCCTCCATCAGTGAATATCTTGCGCGGTACGCCAACATCTGCGAACCAACGGCGGAAGTGACAAATGATGTCATGGGAGGTAGCGGTACGGCCAATTCGAGCTACACACGGCCAGCCGGACAGACGGTCAGAATATACCAGGAACTGCCAGCCTTGACAGGAGAAGAGATCTGCGCTGGCATACTCGAATGGAAATGTCGGCTGTGGCTCGCGCATCAATGGCTCCTTCTGCTGCGAACGTTGGAGCTCACGACAGACAGGGCAGGCACGGATCAGGGCTGTGATGTCATCACTCATCCTCGGCCAGTAAACCACTTGACGCGCACGACGCTTGGTACGTTCCAGGCCCTGGTGAGACGAATGCAGGTCAGTCAGTACACGGCGTTGTAGAGACTGGGGCACAACAAGACGAGAGCCACGGAGGACAATGCCGTTATCCAGGGTGAGGTGCTCACGGCCATTCCAATACGGAGCGAGAGCAGGTGGCATGTGACGTCTGGCAGAAGGGAAGCCGTCACGAATATATGAGACTAACTGCACGTAATCAACGTCAGACTGAGCGGCATCGCGGAGCTCGTGGAACGGAAGACCAAATAGTGCTGATCCGGAGTCATCCTGCTGAAGGCATGCACGGATGGCTTGTCCAGATAGCGAGTCGGCTTCTCCCAGGAGATCATCGGCAACCGGGTTCTGCACTGGAGCACGCGACAAGGCGTCAGCAAAGGCATGCTCAGAGCCCTTGCGCCACGAGACGTCGAATTGATAGAGTTGTACCTTGGTCATCAGACGTTGGAGCCGAGGATTCTCAACCTGGTCCAGTGTGTAGGTGTTCAATATTGGAACAAGGGGCTGATGGTCAACAACTACATGAAACGACATGCCAGCAAGATAGGTGTGGCATTTTCGGATGGCCCAGGCGACACCCAACATCTCCAGTTCGATCATTGCGTACCGGGATTCGGTGTCGGTGATGAATCTGCTGCCGCACTGAATGAGGCGCCACGAATTATTCTGGTACTGCCAGAGGCCAAATCCGAGACCCTTGGTCCTAGCGGCGTCACACTCGAGACGTGTCTGTGCTGACGGGTCGAAGAATGCCAATAACGGTGGGTCAACAAGTGCTTGCTTCACAGCGTCCATAGCGACTGTGTGCTCGGGTAGCCAGAGAAACTCATTCTTGGCTTTCAGCAGACCGCGGAGAGGCGCTGCGTGTTCGGCGATGGTTGAGCTGAAATCACTGCACTGGTTGACGAGACCCATGAATGATCGCAAGTCAGTGCGATTGGCAGGGATCTCGAAGTCGGTGATAGCGCGGGTCTTTTCCTGGTCTGTCTTCCAGCCGGACTTGTTTATCACGTAGCCGCAGAAATTGATCTCGGTCTCGGCGAAAGCAAACTTCTTGGCTGACAGGGTGATACCATACCGACGAGCGCGTTGAAGAACTTCCCGAGTTCGTTCCAGGTGCTGCTCAAAGGAATCAGTGAAGACCAGGCAGTCATCAACGACCTTGGAGAATTGCTCAATACCAGCGAATGCTGCATCGGTCCGCTGGTTGAATTCGTCGCCAGCAGAAATCAGACCTTGTGGGTTCCGCAGGTACTGATATCTGCCCCACTGTGTGATAAATGTGGTCAAGCTTCTGGACTCCTCGTCCAAGGGGACCTGCCAGTAGCCGTGGCGAGCATCCAGCTTGGTAAAATACTGGGCATTACCAAGGTTAGAAACAACATCGCGAGGTGCGCGCATGGGATGCGCGGGCCGGGCGACTTGCTTGTTAAGCTTAGTGAAATCCACCGTCATCCGGACTTCTGCAGTGCCTTTCTTTTCGGCTATGACGATGGGGTGACACCACTCCGTTGGCTCTGAGACCGGTGCGATGATGCCATCTGCGACCATCTTGTCCAGCTGGAGTTTCACCTGGTCACGATAGGCGTAAGGTAACCAACGGGCATTGTTCAACTTGAACGGCTGGGCGTCAGGCGCGAGTTGGATGTGCATCGGCTGACCGTCCATGGGTCGGAGCGTGTCCTCTGCAAATACGTCAGCGAACTCGTCGAGGAGGTCCTGGCGGATACGTACACGCTGGTCTGGTGTAGGGTTGCTGTGCTCTGCAGAACGGGATGTCCCTTGTGTCACTGAAGCGATCTGTGGCCAGTTAGGCGGCAAGAAACCTAACGCCTTGAGCGAGGAGCGCGACAGCAATGCGCTACTGAGTTCGTCATACACATGTAGACGAGTGGTGTGCGTGACATCACGAGCGACAACCCTGGCGGGAACAGTTCCCAAGCTGGTCAATGGCTGACCGTTCACGGCGACAACCTGGTCGGGGTCAGGTTCCAGATCAGCTACACTGCCACCAAGTCTGCGGAGATGACTAGCACCAATAGCATCAACATCCGAGCCAGTATCTGGCAACCACTCTAACGTGCACGACCGGTCGTTGTCGTCAAGACGTGTTGACAGCATCACTTTGTCACCAGCCTGCACTGCGTGAATGGTGAGGCATGCGATGGTCTTGCGGCACATTGCCGCGAAGTGATCCCTGCCCTTACACTTACGGCACTCTTTGCCCTTGGCAGGACACATTGACTTCGTGTGCTGGGATCGTCCGCACTGCGAGCACTTCGCCGGCTTGTCAGCTGCAGCAGATTTCGGCTTACTAACCAAAGCGGATTTGCTGCGTTGATACGATGACCTTGTTGCGGCATTCACGGATGCCGGTACCATGCCGTCACCGGTCTGCTGTGCGGCTTCTTCAGCCCTGCAGATCTTGGCCGCGGTTTCCAAGGTGAGGGACGGAGCTGCCAGGAGCTTATGGCGCGTGTCGTCGTTGGCTATGCCAACTACGATGCGGTCTCGCATCATGTCGTCCGTCACCTTGCGGAGGCTCTGGGGACAAGTACTGCATAGCTGAGGTGTACACGTACTGCACAGCTCCATATCAGGGAAATCGCACTGTGCAAACAGCTCCCTCATTGCAGTAAAGAAGGAGTCAAATGACTCATTGCGCTGCTGCTTTCTATCGTAAAACGCAATTCGATCTAGGAGGGGGTTCCGTTGGCGTCGGATGTACGCTTTTACTGCTATGATGATCTCCGGAGCATCGGCACTGTGGGAGATGACAATCACATCTTCGCGCATGAAACGACGAATGTCGGCATCGAACGCCTGGCGAAGAGCGGACACCCGAGTCTCACGACTTTGGCTGGCGAGGTGCTGGCACACAGCATAATCTCTCCAAGCCTCCTCCCATGCCGTGAAATCGGCCATGGTTGCAGTGCTGAGCAACACCGGTCGCTCGACAGAAATCGGCTTCTGACTGCAGGATGTCGAAGTGCTGGGTGGTGCCTGGTTGTCGCGCGTTGCGTTTTCGACCAGTGTGGTGAGGCGAGTCTCGCGTGCCTCAGCCGCTTTCATCTGCTGCTGCATCAAGGCGAGCAGGGATACGATTTCAGCACTGATTGGGGAAATTCCAGGTTCCGCCATCACGACAATTCTACAAATTCTACAACTACAAGACACTTCTGCTACACGATCGATCGTTTGAAGATAAAAGGCTACAGAATTCACGGACAACTACAGGCTGTCAAGTATTCCGTACTCAGGTTACTAGTAGTTCACTGCGCCATGTTAGGTTCGGTAGACAAGAGACAAGTAGTTTATTGGTTAGAATATACGAAGTAGAAAAACTGACAAGATTCAATCTGTAAACGACAGAGAAGACCTTCAAAGATATGCGTGCGTGCATACACAGTAGAGCTAAAGTTGTACGGCATTACGTCATAACATAACAACTACGTGTGCGTGTAATGCAAGCCTACAGTGTAGCACTCTATGCGTGCAGTAAATGCATTGCAGAATAAGCATCTTGATAGAGGCATTACTAGTCATGTATGCGCCAGCCGCTCTCCTTTCATTATCTGGTCGCATTATGTGAACATATCCCTCCTCCTGCCCGTCCGTACATACGCATTAATATAGGCTGCAGGACCTTGGCTTCTCTAGACCTACTTCATCACTCGGTAAGGCCATGGCTCTAAGCTTGAAATTAATATTTTGAAAATAGAGGGCAATACGCCCGTAACACTTTTTGCAAGTCACTGGCACCCGGTAAGTGATATAATTTGCAAATCGATTTTTTTTTCAGGCTACTAGACGCACTGGTACACGACACGTGACAGCAGAGCCCAGTAATATACCTGTACTGCAGCACCAGCAATCAGTGTACTTCAGAGAAAGGCTTGGTAAGCAAAACGTAGCTTGGTCGCCGTGATAATTGCGCAAACTCGTGATTGTGAAGCAGTGCACTCATATACACCAGGGGACGGTAGCGTCTAGGTACACGACGCGGCCATAGTACCCAAAACAGTGCGAATTTTGTCCCCAGATTCGGAAGTCCAACATGATCCATGATCTCAGGGAACTCACGATTGCGATTGCGACCCTCACTTGCTGGCCCCAAACATGGCCCAGGCATGATACACAAGTGTGCTTGAATCGGCTCAGTCCCAACAAGGGCGACTGGAATGAGCATGCATATACATGTACCCAGGGGCATCGGAAGGCAATTTAGGGTGACACGGTCAGCCATATGAGGTATAATTTACTTGTTGAGCAGTGGCTCCGCTGAAATGTTTTGAAATTTAGAGCCCAAATCAGTCCTTTTGATTCACGGAGGGGGTGCCTGGGGTAAAGAGTGACGGTACAGCTAATGCTGTGGTGACCGTAGTGTGTCCGACGCTCCTGATGCCATCAGCATTAAGTTCATGTCACGGGGCATAGCTGAGAGGAGCTTACCTTGGATGCCAGTTGAGAGTTCCTAGGCAATGCCACAGACACAGGGTGAGGTAGCATGGATTGAGACATTTCCTGCCAATGATGAGGAAATACACATGATACATTGTACAGAACTAGAGTTTAGTCCACAAGATCGTGCTGCTCTAGACTGTCAGGTACAAACCCTAGACCAGATAGGCTCAGTTTTGAATACAGCCTTGATATCTTTAACTTCTGCATTCATCATGGAAGTTGGTTTCTTCCCACACTGGAGCTCGCACTTTTCCACCGACTTGGCTAACTCGTTACTACCATCCAGAGCACACGGGAAGTTCCGGCACTGTCTGCTTGCCCCAGGCAGCCATTCTGGAGTTACAGCAGCTGGACGTTCTTGAAAAATTTAGTCAATGTACTGACATCATGATGATGTCATACCTTGCCAAGAATAGGTCACGGATATGTGACATCACAGAGATAAACTTTGTATGGGAGGAGGTAGAGGCATTCAGTTCTCCACTGTCACAAGGAAGTTGGATGTCTGTGCAGCAAAACGTCTAGAACGTACTTCCAAGGGCACTACAAATAGGCGGGGGGGGGGGGGGGGTGAGGGACTACTACACAGAAGATACTGACATCACCAGTGCAGTGATTCAATCCATGTACTTTCTAGTGAGGGCTAGTCTGAGTCAGGATTCTTGTGGGCATTATGATTGGTGACTCGGACTGCATAATCCAACAACTGAGTCCTTACCACCTTCTTTGCAGCAATCTTTCCCTGCAAATCCATCACATCCTCCAGCAATGAAGTCATCATGTTTAGCTGCCCACGGCTGCAGAGGCAGAACGGATAATGAAGTACAGTTGTCGCCACAAAATCCGGCCAAGTGCTATGCTAGCTGTAGGAGTCGTACGGTACATCATGGGCTGCATGCACTACCACTACTAGCCACTACGACCGGTAGTACACGCTACATGCAATCACTATGCCCTCAGTACTGCAGGGCCTGCCTGCATGAAAACTCAGTACAGTGCTCGACTGCAGACTGTTTAGTGCTGTGCTGGTACTGTCAGTCAGTGAACACATGCATGCCACCATGGCACCATGAAGCATGCCGTGCTGGTCAGTGAATGCAGGCATGCTACCATGAAGCATGCTAGCACCGCCGGTGAACACGCTTACCACATCGCTGTATCCATGGTATCGGCATTGGCCGGATTTTTTTTGGCGACGACAGTAGGTTAGCCTGGGTTAGCTCTAAACACTAATCTCTGTTCAAAACCATTGAACGGGGGTGAAGTGCTGCACGCTTCATCAAGGATATGTTCTACAAGAATACAGTACTGTTGGACGCTGAAGGACAGAGTGCCCAAGAGCGGCCAGGCTAGAATTTCGCCAATTTTTAAGAATGGTCTAGGTTGGATTTTTTTGCAGATAAGAACGGAAACTCTAATTTATACACAGGAGTATAACTCTGCACAATTCGGATGATACATTTTCCGTAGTACGGCTAATTCATGGTGAGTCACAACATGTGAACTGGCCGGTGTGCATACGAGCATGTATGCGTCACCATGCAACAGTCATGTACAAGGATGCATGTATGGACGGTCCACGCGTAAACGTTCGTGCGTACAATGACATGTACATGACTGTAAGACTGCACCATCAAATTAGAACGAAACGGCTGTGTTCACAAAATATAAGTACGGGCTAGGCTAGAACCCTGCCCCCTCCCCTCCCCCCCCCCCCCCCCCCCCTGTTCTTTGGCGCCCAACAGTACTGTAAGGATAACTTGACTGAAACGGTTGCTGCTACTTCAAGTTTCATGCAAAAACAATTGTCAGGCAGTGTTTGATTTAAGAAAAACATTGACACAGTGGCCAGCATACCTGTGTGTACGCGGAGGGGGCAAAGGGGTATGAGGAGAAATTACAAAATAAGGTTTAGAAAACATTGGTTCTCATTGAGGGTCCCTTGTTGCAAAATGGCTGATCCGGCAGCAGCCGAATTGATCTGAGCAAACGCAAGGCAATCCCACTTACTTCTCTGAAAGATTTGCCTTGCGCTCAACAAGCAGATCATTAACATGTTGATGAAAAGATTTCAAAGCTTGCTCCAAGCCAACCACAGGAAGCTGTTCAGTCACACACAAAAGATAGTGGTAATTACTATACATTTATACATTTATATACATTTATAGTAAGCTCTGGGCACTTTGCCAATAACACATGTGACCAATTACAAAGTAGAGGTAGCGACTTTGGCGACAATAGATGAATTGTGTGTTGCTCCTCACGTGGGAGTTACTGCTTTTCCTGCAAACGTGACTTGACACTTGACTGACTCGCGGACACTGTGCATTGAGCATGGAGTGGTGCTTTCTTGCACGAGTTGGCCGAGTCGAAGGTTTGATGGACTTCTCCTGTGCCCTGGATGGCAGACGCGAGTCAGTCAAATGCCAAGTCAAGTCGGCAGGAAAATCGCGAGCTCCCACGTACGGACACACAACTCCACTACAGTGAAAGTAGTTGACTACGATCCCGTCATAAGTGAAATACAATCGGCCAAGAGAATGGATCACCAATCAGCACTGCAGCAGGGCATTTATCTCATGAGCAGTGACCATGGTAACCGTGTACGGTGCAGGAATCCAGCACTACACACATACACATGTGCAATGGTGGAGATTACGCACATGTGACTATTACGCTCCATCGCCTCGGCTTGGTCGAGCAAGTAGAGGGATTTGAAGACTCCAGTGAAGCTTCATAAAATTTAACCATAATGATGGTTAAAGCACACCTGCTTGGTTCGGCACCCTTTCTTGTTAGCGTCAATGTTACTCCCCCCCCGGGCAAAGCTCGCTGTGTTTCTCACACAGAGCACTCTCACATTGATGCGTTGAGCCAGTTTAAAAGGCTTTGTTGCTCATTACTTCATTGCGAACAGTTCGGCAGGTCACTCTGACCGCCGCTGAGGAGACTTTAACAGCTAGCTATCCTGAGATTGAGTGCACATAGATTACAATTCGTACACAATTCTTTCCCTGAAATAGACCTCTCCACTTGTTGTCAAATGGTCCCTGCCCGGTTGACTATTTGAGCACAGTCCTCTTTTTGTTTTTCTTCGACCTAGACAGTTTCGAAAATGAACATACTCTGTGTAGAGCTTAATGTTCGACAAGTATGATATGCAGGTATTGGTACTACAACGCTATGCCGCTAGTCTGCAACTAACTTGGCCAAAGCACTTCAACTGATGATGTAATCGCATAACCTCTACACAAAAGTCAAAACATTTATTTTTTTCCAGAGACCACTGGAGACAGTTCATATTGTGAATCTACAGACAAGCCAGTGATTACAATAAACGAATATTGACTACGTAACGCTGTGCAGGCTACAAGACTTTAGAAGTTTAGTGTAGTGCACGTACCGGTAAAGATGCAGCCTCAACATAGCCAGAATCCAGCATGGAATCGGCCACAGCAGGATACCCGACCACGTCCTTCATACCCACTCCACGACGATTCATGGGCGCTGCCCCAGCGGCAACACCATCATCATCATCGGCACTACTCAGCATGATCGGCACAGCAGCTGCACGATGGCGACGACTGCTAGGGCTAGTACTAGTACTAGTAGTAGTAGTTCTCCGCTCCACACCTGTCATTGGCTCACAACTATCGCCTGTCTCGGACGCCGGCGATTCCAAAGACTCCGCAGCTATCGGAGTGGGCAACAGATCTCTCAGAAGTTGTGAAGTCAGCGGCAAGGAGGTGTCCACAGCGCCAGAATTAGGAGGATGTTGTCTGCCAAATGTAAAACCACGCGGCTCCTGTCGATCACCTCCGCCGCTATGCCGGAAACCTGCAGGTGCTGCAGCAGCAGCACTAGTAGACGGAATAGTCACCGGTACATCATGGCACTTTGGCGATGCTTGATTCCGGAGTTGACGAACGCCTGCCGTCGTCGCCTTCAGAAGAGTTTCGTGGGGCGAGTCAGGCCAACTGGCCTTATCAACAACATGTTTTACTTGGTTCCTTGGCTGCGCCACCGCTGCTACTGCTGCCGCTTCATCGGCTTGGAGAAACTGTGGGATGGCGCTTCCTAGCGAAGCGCCTCCAGCTCCGATTGTAAAATTTAATGACGAGGATGATGAGGTCTTCGGTCTGTGAACATGGTGAAGGGCTTGAAGGCCAGCAGGGTGGTCTGTTGTATCTGTACAAGCTGCTGAATGCGCTTCTTCCGACCGCGACATTACGGCAAAAGCTTGTCACACGAAATAATAATACCCTTATCGTAGGCCAACACAACTCAGGACTCGGGAGTCAGGATCAATGGAAAGATGACCACTTCTACTACACTAGTACCAGTTTCTACATCCGTCTTGTTGTCAACAGTTCGAAAAGAGATGGAAGAGCTCGAACAACGGCTGAAGTAAATGTTTGGGTTTCTGGTGCACTCGATTCTTGCAGAACGGACTCATGACCTGTGTCTGTGAAGTATGAGGCTAACTGTTATGTACAGACACAGGTTACTCATATCACGACACAAGCGTTGCTAGCTACCGCGCTAGCTACCGCTAGCTACCGCGCGCGCACTACCACTCTCGTCTCCAGCTTGCACGATAGCAAAAGGCATGACTGTAGATCTACTGATCGTCAGTGTGGATCTACAAAATACCTACTCTGTCATGTCATGACAAATCCTTGGCGCGGGGACCTTTCTGAAGACTACTACTACTAGTAGTATTACACGTAGGCCAGGTAACTACGTTAGTTAGGGGCCGTTCTTCATCAACTATTCGAGCAAATAATAATTTAGTTGAAGTGTACATGTGATCGTGACGTCTGTCCCGAACGGTTTCTACCATTTTAGAGTTTTTCAGTGGAATTGACATGGCGATAATGACGTCCGATCAGATCGACCATCTCGACGTACACATGACGTACCTGTACCTGTACCTGACCATCTCTCCCATCGGATGAGGTAGTGGAGCTTCGAGGAGTTTCGTTTTTCTGAAGAGGCCAATAAGTCCACCTCTTCAGAAAAACGAAACTCCTCGAAAAGTCAAAGAGTGACAATTCGAACGCGCCCTTACTCAGGCCTTAGCATCGTAAATCGTAGTATCAGCTCAACTCGCGATCGATCGCGGCCACTGGTGAGAACCTTTTTTATTTTTTATTTCACCGTCCAATGGCAGAAGCCAAATGCAAAGGAGGGGGCGTTAGCCAGCCATGGCAAGAGAAGAAAAAAATGAAGGAAAGAAGATTGCTTTTGAGTTGCACACCTTTCGACCTTTGTCGGGTCACTCCGCGACCCGCCAAGTCTCATCTGAGACAATCTGCTACCGGCACGTGTCTACATGTACATGACAGTGTATGACAGTGTACATGTACGTGCGGTACCGGTACCGGTAGCATGCTTGCTAGCAGCTAGCAGACCATCTCAGACTCCTGGCGCTGGTTCGCGGAGTGACCGGGAAAAGGTCGAAAGGTCAAAGCACAGCTCTGACTGTCTGTGAAGTCCATTCAAGGTTCTCACCAGTGGCCGCGGGTTGAGCTGACATTGCATTCCATGGCTGTAAGCTCATTGGTTGCTATGGTGTTACCAAGACACGTGGCAGAGAGCTGATTGGCTAAAGAGCTTAGAGTTCCTGGAAGCAGTATGCAGCTGAACTGCATTAGGAGGGAGGTCGTTCTTGGTATCGAATCCACCAATGCATGCTGGTGTCTCTTTGGCTTCTCCTTCCTCGTGGGAGAGTTGTGTTTCTTCTTTCTCGTCGCATTCTTGTCGGTGTTTGTCCTCAATGGCGACCACCTCATTGCGTATTCGCCTTCTAGAGGTCGACCCCTTTACGGTTACATGTAGCGCACTCGGTCGTTTATGTCCAATAAAGATGCGGAGTAAAGGAAGAAGGCAGTAACCTCCACGGTAACCTCCACAGTATTCCTTTCTAAAAATGGCCGACTATAATTTGTAGGCAGTCATGGTGAGGTGAGCAACTGGAAAATTGCCCCTTTGGTGTGTTGTTCGTTTGTGCCTGGTTTGTTTGTTCTCTTACATATTTTCTCTTCCAGTCCTCGGTAGTCATGGTAGTGGAGCGGTGGTTAGCTGTGCTACCGACGTTTCTGCTAGCTCGAAGGATGCTGAGGTTGCGGGAGCTGAGGACAGGAACGAAAGGTGAGGTTGTTAATTGTTAGGTAGCGTTTGTTCTTCGTTTTCTTTCGGGATTCCCTGGACGGAACGAGATAGAGGTAGCAACACTTCGGTGATGATTTTATAGGAAAAGCGCGAGCTCCGGCGTGGGGAGAAAATACATTGGACGGACGCCTTTCTTAGCAACTACATTAAACATGGATGTTTTTATTTGTTATAAGTTAACTGCTCTGACCTCTCAAAAAGTTCTTCAAGTAGATATAACCTCCATATAAGGACGTGTTTGCTGCTACTCCTGTCACCATTGTAACGAATTTGAAGAGCAATGGTACGAAAGGTCTCGTCGAAACTTCCAGTGGCTTCTCCCTCTGTGCTTCGCCGATGTGCAATTGTTATACACCCTGGCGCTACTTGAGGCACGTGGGCTGGATTTCTTTGGTCACAACTGTAACATTCCACGTTAGACTGTGACTCTTGCTTGGTTAGCATTGACCGCCTTCTATACTTTATTCTTTTCTTTCTGTTTCTACATGTACACAAACAAACCTTGATTGTCCTTGTTGTTCTGTTCTGTACACAAACATACCGGCAGGCATACTTACTAGTAGTTACCGTATACCTTGTGGCAAAAGGGCACTTGCTTTGCTAGGACACCCATAGCGGCTTTCCTGTGACCAGCGCTAGTGGACCCCGCCTGAAGTTGATGGTTTCCTTCTTGCAAAGTTTAGGCATTCTTCGCGGTTTCATCGTCGCAGAATAAGTCAGAATAAGTAAGTTAGTCGTCGAGAAACCCAGATATTTACATGTACCCTGTGACTGCCAATAAGAGGACGGAAAAAGTGTTTTAACTCTGAGTTTCACGCACTAAGCGATCATCAGAAAACAGCCTCTCGGCATTGAGCACTCTCTTGGACAGCCTGGAACCTCTCTGTTTTACACTGCGACTGTGTGAATACAATGAACCTGTGCGCTACTCCTCCTCGCCGGAAGGCAATAGACCTGTGTGTGTTGTAGGTCGGGTCGGCTCACAATTTCGGTTTGGAGGACTCTCACAGATTGTGTAACGTTATTGCATGGTTACTAGCAACTTACTAGACATGTACTTCGAAGTAGTGGCAAATTCCAGTTGACTTTCCTTGTCGAAATTGCGGCTGTTTTTTTCTTCAACCACTCTGCCTATGCTCTATTTCCATGGTTCCCCCTATTGACTGGCTGACATTCCGTAGTCTGCTTTACTACCGGTACACATATCCCCGATGTTCTTAGGGGCCGTCCGTAAATATATGTATTTACTAAGTGTTACTAAGAAAAGCTCACTAAAGGGAACGCACACTCACACAGAGACACATTCTACATTCGTGCACAACGGAAAGCGATTCGAAGAAACAATAACCTTGAACTTTCCACATGAACTCCGAAAAGCAACTGTTCACACCAACTAGTCTAAACACTACTAAAAGTCCAACAACCAGGAACTAAACAAAAGCAGCGCGGCGCAAGCTCCGGTGCATGCATCCGGGAACTCGCGAGACAGAAGCATGCACGTGACCGCTCAGGTCTACAGTCAATGCTACCATGAATGCAAGCATACTAGAAGCAGATGCGTAGCAGTACAGCACAACCATGCATGTGACATATAGTCGTTGGTTCAGACCTCGGGATCTTCTGAACACTAAGAGACGTCTAACGGGCGTTTCTTTCTTGACCCACCCACCCCAGAAAGCCCCCCCCCCCCAAATGCAGATAATAACACCATACTATTCACACATACTGTAGCGGACATGGAGATCCAGTCGATTGACCGGGGCCGGCGCCCTCAGTGCGTACAGAATGCGTTAACGCTATGCGTGCAGTACACATGTTGATCCGATGTTACCAGCATACGTCAGCGCATAAATGCATGCGTGTTCCGCTTATCCAAGGCTGCATGGCCAGCGCCCTGGGGCCGCTAGACGTGCGACCGGATTTCCATGTCCACGACAGTACATGACACAGCGCGTCGCAGATTTCGATGTCGTGAATCGCGGGAAATTCAAATGCGAGAACCCCACCCAGCGCTGCACCCACCACTCTGGCTCGCCTCACTGCCATCCAATGCCGTGGCCTTCACCTAATCGGTGATGGAGCCTACCTCCCTAGCTTGGACATCCATAGAATGGTCGGAGCACTCTGCTTTCTGTACAAGCTCCACTTTTCAACTGGCTCAGACATGCTTCTCACCCTTCTTCCACCCCGAGCGACCAACACATCACGCCATAGCCGACGCACACAAAAGCATCACTCACACCAGTTTCAGCTCTCTTCCGCTCAGAGCACGGAATGATGTCCTTCGGTTCTTCCCTGACGCTGTTGTGGAGGTCTGGAACCAGCTCCGGCAGTGCGTTCTGCTGAACCAGCCAACAAGGAAAGGACTGCAGAAGTTCAAAGAGAAGGTCAACGCCCACTTGCGCCTTACCCGCTGGGAGTGGGCAATGGACAGGTTATGAATCAAAGAAAAAAGACGAAAAACAGCTCTAACTCTGTTCCCTCCTCCATTCACTTCGTTGACTCTCTGATAACTTTATTGTGCGTACTTTTCCCCGTAATCCCCAGTTATCTACCCCCCCCCCCCCTGCGTATAATCTGTATTCTTTTGTTTTTCGTGGAGCGCTTGGGTTGCAATGAAGCCAAGACCCTATGGTCGGTCAAGCTGCCGCAGCCTCTCCCCCACTCGTGCCATTCCATAATTATGTCTCATCGCTGCCTTGCTGCTTTGTGCCGTCAAATGGTATGTTTTTTTTTGTAAAAAATAAATAAATAAATCTTGACTAGTTTGAGGGAAAGACACAAACGGGAAAAATGCCTGTATACAGTATATCAGGACAAGCACAAACATGGCACACATGCACACATGTACACATTATGGTGACGTAGTTTTGCCACAATGTACTGTACATACATGACCTAACAACAAGAGAAAATGGTAAGTCTGACCACTAACCACCGCTTGAAGCATTTCACCGTCTTAGTGAATCATACTCATACTAGAGTCATAGACAATTAGACATGCATTGCTTGTCATCGTTGTGTGAGTGTCAGTGTAGTGCGTCTCAAGGCCTACCTGTACTAGCTGTAGCAGTGTTACATCATGTACAATGTACACGCGCGGTATGGTATGCATGCACACCAAAATGTATTTTTTTAGAGCCGCCTTGCAGGCAAACCCACCCGCCCACAAACGCCCAATAGACGTCTCTTAGGTAGATACATGTATTTACGGACGGCCCCTTAGTGTACATGTAACGAGGAGCAAAGAAGGCCCACCAGAACCGGTTCGGTTGGTCGGGTCATCACTGGACTAAGTGTGTTGGTCACCAACGAATGTTTACTGCTGAGGATTTTATGTGTACCAGCTATGTCATACACACAGAATGAAAGGCTATGGTATGGCCGGACCAACCAAAACCTACTTCCGCCGGTCAGGACTATTTATTTTTAATGTTCTATACTCGGGGTAGTACTGTGATGACGTGCATTGGATGGCTGCCCTTGCCCGTATTGGGTACGAGCAATGTGGTGTTCTATTGATTGACAACACTCACGGCGATGTAAGTGCAAGTGTTTCACCATACAACGAATGTTGAAGTTGCGAGCGGATACGTTGAAAGGAGGAATTCAGATTACACAAGGAAAGTGCTGCGCTAGAACGCAGTTCCAGGGGAGGTCTCCACTGAAAACCACCCAAACTAACTGGTACTCCAGAGTAGCAGATATACTTCAAGTATAAATTTTTGGTTTCTTACATACAGTGAACCTGTCATGGCGACCACTCGGATAAGGCAACCACCTGTCCTGGAAGACCACTAAAACCAGCACCAAGGGATGCTATTTCCAGTCAAGTGACCCTGGATAAGGTGACCACCTGGTTACAGGGACCACGTTTTGAAGGACCCTTGAGCGGTCTTCTTAGACAGGTTTCACGGTAACTCCAGGTTTGTCGATTATGTAGCTTTTCGTTCGATTCTGGTCTATATTTTTGGAAATTTCCGAAAGGGTGATACTGCAGAACTGGCTTGGTTGTTGCTTGTGTTGGAATCCTGGTGCGGGAGCTAATACACCTCATTCTAAACGGTTGATATTATAATCCCTAATGCCTTGCTACTACTACCAGCCATATTTCCTGCTAAGTGAAATCCAGCTGTCACCTGATATGCCTAACCCTAAATGCTAACATTGTCGGAAATATTTCACTGCAAACTAAATTTAATCTCCTTCACATTGAACTCTAACTGCTAAAAAAACCCTTCATGTTGAACTTTAACTACTAAACAAATCTCCTTAACCCTAACTCTTAGAAAATCTCCCCAGCACCTCCGTCTCTCTTCCTGCCCGGCTATTCCAACCCAAACCAGGATTGCAATACATTTGATAACTGCAGCCTCAGAAGCATACAGTGAAACCTGTCAGAGACGACCGCTCAAGGGACCTATAAAGTGTGGTCTCTGCAACCAGGTGGTCTCCATATCCAGTGCCAATTCATTGGAAATAGCATCCCCTGGTCCTGGATGCAGTGGTCTTCTGGGACAGGTGGTCGCCTTGACAGGCTTTACCGTACACTGAACCCTGTGTGTTTCTAAAGAGTTTTGACAGACGTTCCGCGCAGCAGGTACATGTGCAGTGAGGCCTGTCTAAGAAGACCGCTCAAGGGCCCTTCAAAACGTGGTCCCTGTAACCAGGTGGTCACCTTATCCAGGGTCACTTGACTGGAAATAGCACCCCTTGGTGCTGGTTTTAGTGGTCTTCTGGGACAGGTGGTTGCCTTATCCGAGTGGCCACCTTGGGAGGTTTACTTTACTTCGGAAGTACGCATATGGGTATCAAGGTGACAAGCGTATACGCATTAAGAAGAGATTTTCCATAGATACCACGAGAAGCTTGCACTTGCATCCTGTGATCATCCTGTCCTTGAGCATTGTCTGTTGCACCCTACACAATAACACATGCACTGTTGGAATGTGTCAATTGTAAATAATAGCCTTGTATGTTGGGAAGAATCAGCATCCAGCAGGCCTTAGGTTCGTTATGGGTGATACCAAGAGTAGATAAACAAGAGTGTGCAACTCGCGGATGGGTAGACCCACGGCGGAATTTTTGTTGACGTAATCGTTTTGACGACGCACGAGCTGCGAGTCTTTCGGAAAGTTTTCCCTCGTGCTCTTGGCGCGGCTTTACACTACAAGGTCGGTGCCCAGCACGTGCTCTCACACTGCTCTGCGGCGAAATGCGCGTTCTTCTGAAAAAAGGTGACGTCAACAAAAAATTCCGCCGTGGGCGGGGGTATCTGCAGATTATGCGGGAGAGATCCGGAGTTGCACACTCTTGTTTATCTACTCTTGGTGATACATAGCCCTTGGCGAATACTGCTGGCGGAAAATCGGCAGAGATTTGGTACTTTTTCGGGTATGTTTTGTGTATGTTTGGCGTTTGTGTGTATGAGGGGGGGGGGGGGATGACCTTGTCTGTTTCCTGTATGTGAGAGTGTGTCCTGCATTCAGATCAGCACATCATATCAGTGCAAGGTAAAGAAGATCCAGGCCATTGGTGATTTGTGATTGGCGATGCAGGCAAGCAACAAGGAATTGCCATCTGGATGCTTTGCTAAGTATACACTTGTACCGTTATGTGTTGAACTGTGTTAACACAAGAAAGTGGCACTCTGTCACACAAGAAAGGGAGATCCAGTTTTGCAAGGATCCTCTAAAACATTATGGGAGAAGAATACTTATCTCGGTGTGTATTGCTCTCCAATGCAGAAACATTTCGGTCCCTTTTTTGTGCTTGGCTTGGAGAGTGTAGCAACCTCTTAAATCTCTGCCAAGTTGGTTCACCAAATTCGTGGTCATCTGAGTTGTGCAGTGCAAAAATTAACAGATATCCAGTACTGCAAACCTTTCGCCATCTCATTGCAGCAGGTACATGTGCCGAGCGGGTGTATTACTTTCAGAAGTGGCGAAAAAAGTGTTTAAATCTCTTTGCCGATGATCATTGCCAAAAAAACAGCTGCTTTGTATGGAATTCACAGTGTATGCCCTACAACTATCATACTTTGAAACCATCGACTCGAGTCTGCCAGTCAGTGAGATGCAAATTTCTCTCTTCTGCTGCTTTCGCTTTTGTGTGTGTTTTCTTGCCATACCTCTCCAGGCGACCTACAGCATCATCGTGGCATCCGTGAAGCTACAGGAAGGGGGAAGGGGTTTTGCTACTTTGCGGCAGTCCAGTGCTGCAACAAAGTAGCTGAAAAAATGGTGACAGATCTTCCGTTCCAGGGTCCAGTGGGCGGGGAGGGGTGGCAGGCAGTTGTGCTGGTGACTCCACACGTCTTGTATGATCTCAAAGAGACCATGCAAGAGAACCGAATTTAACTCGAAGTTCCTGAGCAGGTTGCAGAGCAGAAGAGTCTGAAAAATAGCAAACTCACGGAAATAGATGCGCCCAGAGTTCGCAAAACTTTGTGGTTTTTTAGCCACTTTACAATGAGATCAATTCGAGAAAAACCTCAGGCTCACTCAAAAATGTTCCGACCGCTTGCCTTCAACTTGAAGAAGGTGGAAAACTCGCCACATTTTTCATCACTCTGAAGCTTGCCTTCAACTTGAAGAAGGTGGAAAACTCGCCACATTTTTCATCACTCTGAAATCACAAAACTATAGCATGCCATCATGACAGCCCGTAAGTACCCCCCCCCCCCCCCCCCCCCCCACTGTGACGTATGTGTCTACTTCTATTGATATATGTAGCTTACAAACACACTTACAACATTTCCTTCCTGAATGCCTTCTTGCCACCTCTAACTCAGATGACAATGTGCTGCGGACGTTCAGCATCAAATTCCCAGCCTGGACAGCGAGAGGAAGCGGCCGGATGGTGTGCGAACAAGACAGCTGCATGACAACCACCAAACTCTGAACCCATCTCCACATATTCATATTTTCGTAGTCTTTTTTCACACTTCCATTTGATATCCTTGTCATTCATTTTATATACATGTGGCTAGGCGTAGATAAGGGCAAGGTAAGAAACACGCCCTGCAGGATCGCATGCATTGTTGTCATAACTTAGCTAGGCATCCCCGTGTGGCAGTGCCCTCACCAGGCTGCTGTTGCATGGGTGTATGTTGCTGATCTACTGTGCCGCGAGCTCTTCTAAACCCATCACAGCTAGGTTCAAGACGCCACGGACAGAGGCAACCAGTGCAGTCGTGTGCTACAGGACATTCGCCGCCACTGTCCAGTGTTGTATGGTATGTCATTTTGGTTTGGAATTCTGTACCTTGCTGTCATAGCTAAATGTTCCCGTGTGGCAGAAGCCTCGCACGGCTTCTGTTACATCGGGATGTGCTACTAATCTATTGTGTCCTAATGAGTTAGTTTCCTTTCCTTCACAGCTAGCTTCAAGAAGCCCTGGGACATCACAGCCATCCAGCTGGTCGTCAACTGGTTCTTCAAGGGTAGTATGCATGGTATGTACCATTGGTTTGGAATTCCGTGCATTGTTGTTGTAGTTAGGCAGTATCCCTGTGTGACAGCGGCCTCACCAGGCTGCTGTTGCATGGGTGTATGCTGCTAATCCATTGTGCCATGAGCTTTTTCAAACCCATCACCTCTAGGTTTAAAAGAAGTCTCGGCACCCCACAGCCAACATCACCGGACATCAAGAGTCGGCCATGGTAGTATCAATCGGTATGTTAGGTTGGCTGGATTTCTGTGCATTGTTGTCATGGCTCGGTTTCCCCGTGTAACAGTGGTTCACTGCTGTTACATGGGTACATGTTACTAACTAATTGTGTCATGAGCTAATACCCTTTGCAGAATTCAGGACCACATCCTGTCAACAAGCGCTAGCAGCGATGACGCATCAGGCAGCGCTAGCAGGGATGACGGGTTAGGCAGTGCTAGCAGCGATGACGGGTCAGGCAGCGCTAGCAGCGATGACGGGTCAGGCAGCGCTAGCAGGGATGACGGGTCAGGCAGCGCTAGCAGCAGTGACGGGTCAGGCAGCGCTAGCAGGGATGACGGATTAGGCAGCGCTAGCAGGGATGACGGATTAGGCAGCGCTAGCAGCGATGACGGGTCAGGCAGCGCTAGCAGCGATGACGGGTCAGGCAGCGCTAGCAGCGATGACGGGTCAGGCAGCGCTAGCAGGGATGACGGGTCAGGCAGCGCTAGCAGGGATGACGGGTCAGGCAGCGCTAGCAGTGGTGACGGGTCAGGCAGCGCTAGCAGGGATGACGGACTAGGCAGCGCTGGCAGGGATGACGGATTAGGCAGCGCTAGCAGCGATGACGGGTCAGGCAGCGCTAGCAGCGATGACGGGTCAGGCAGCGCTAGCAGCGATGATGGGTCAGGCAGCGCTAGCAACGGTGCCGGGTCAGGCAGAGCTAGCAGCGATGACGGGTCAGGTAGCGCTAGCAGCGATGACGGGTCAGGCAGCGCTAGCAGAGGTGACGGGTCAGGCAGCGCTAGCAGCGATGACCGGTCAGCCAGTGCTAGCAGCGACAACAACGGGTCAACCAGTGCTAGCCGTGATGACGGTGGGACCACCAGAGACGAGTCAGCCAACGGCGACGGGTTGGTCAGCAATATCAGCAATACGTTGGTCAGCTCTAGCCGTGATGATGCTGGTGGGTCAGCCAGTGCTAGCAGCAATGATCATGGATCGGCCAGAGCCAGCAGCAATGATCATGGATCGGCCAGAGCTAGCAGCGACAATGGTGGGCTGGCCAGCATTAGCAGTAATGACGACTGGTTGACCAGCGCTATCAGCGACAACACACTGCTGGCTGCAACACCAGGACAGTTCCAAATGTAGGGGTGGGGGCATCCAGTGAAGCACCTCCACCCCCAATCTTCACAAGGTGAATATGTGTGGCTGTAATTTTCCATTGTGTTGCTCATACTGTGTGAAATGCACCTACACTACTGCTCAATGACATCCAATGGAGTTAGCCAGCGTTGTGTCCTGCACCACTGAACATCGCAGTGTCCGCAGGTCTATTACTGAACAATGTCCGGCGCAAACTTAACTTGCGCTATCGGATCTCATTGAGCAGCACTGAATTTTTGGTGGGTTCTAATTTTCAGTCCATTCCGTAGTACATGCAACCATCAAGAAGGGTCTCGCTTGCATTTTCCTGAATGAACATTATCGCCCAAGAAATCTGAAGCAATTATTAAAATCATATACTATTATGTGTTAACGGAAAGTACTCGTAGGTGCAGACACTGAACGGTCTTGAGTTGCCTTTCCCAATTGCATGCGCCGGCTCCAGCAAATGTTTTCAAACAGCTTCTGTTGCATGTCCTTTCACTGTGACTGTGGGTGTCTAGAACAAGTCTCTGTGTTTGGTCCTTTGCATGATGTCAATTAGTCTTACAAGTATCGGTAGCAATACTCTTTGTATTGGTTACATTCAGCATCACAGGGTTTGCATTTTATGTGTTTCCGCCGCACCCAGTACTTGCTCTGCTCAGTCCATTCTGCACAGGTGTGGCCACTGATGGTCGGCGGATACTGTGCGTCATCCAGCATTACGGCCGTCACGGAGTCACCAGTGCAACACCTGCCAATACAGGGGTCCCCGGTGATGGGAAAGATCGGATACTGGCCATTGCTACAGCAGTAGCAATCCCTGGCAATAATAGCATGCCTTGTCAATTGGCTGGTGTCTGCCTTTTCCACTGCCGGGAAATGGGGAACGGAAGATCTGTCACGTGGGCTGGGATCGGAATTTCCAAAAGGAATCCTCGTCCTGTCAAAACTGATAATCAAAAAATCCCAGAGTTGAAACAAAACAAAAAAGAAAATCGCTGGGGGACAGGGAGAATCATCACAAGCCATGACAAAACCTAAAAGCTTTCTAAATGTCCATGGAGGGGAAACCTATCGCCAATTTTTTTTAAGGTCGCCGACAAATTCCCCATTTGAATGTATGCAGCCCATTTTGAATGCATGTGGCCCATTTGAATGTGTGCAGTCCATTTGAATGTATGCAGTCCATTGGAATGTATGCAGTCCATTGGAATGTATGCAATCCATTTGAATGTATGCAGTCCATTTGAATGTGTACAGTCCATTTGAATGTGTGCAGTCCACTTGAATGCATGTGTTCCATTTGAATGTATGCAGCCCATATGAATGTATGCAGGCCATTTGAATGTATGCAGCCCTTTTTGAATGTACATGTATGCAGTCCATTTGATAATGCCCTTCATCTGCCTCGGAATGTATGCAGCCCATTTGAATGCATGTGTCCCATTTGAATGTGTGCAGGCCATTTGAATGTGTGCAGTCCATTGGAATGTACATGTATGCAGTCCATTTGAATGTATGCAGTCCATTTGAATGCATGTGTCCCATTTGAATGCATGCAGCCTATATGAATGCATGCAGGCCATTTGAATGTATGCAGCCCTTTTCAATGTACATGTATGCAGTCCATTTGGTAATGCCCTTCATCTGCCTCGGAATGTATGCAGCCCATTTGAATGCATGTGTCCTATTTGAATGTGTGCAGTCCATTTGAATGTGTGCAGTCCATTTGAATGTATGCAGTCCATTGGAATGTATGCAGTCCATTTGAATGTGTGCAGTCCATTTGAATGTATGCAGTCCATTTGAATGCATGTGTCCCATTTGAATGCATGCAGGCCATTTGAATGTATGCAGCCCTTTTCAATGTACATGTATGCAATCCATTTGATAATGCCCTTCATCTGCCTCGGAATGTATGCAGTCCATTTGAATGTGTGCAGCCCTTTTCAATGTACATGTATGCAGCCCATTTGAATGTGCAGTAAGTCTACAAATTGTTGGCCCATTCAAATTTCGCCCTCCAAGGGGTAAAATACATTCCGGCCGGTATTGCTGCTGACTGTATACACTGTCACACTGAACTTTGCCAAACAAAATTTTCGGTTGCAACACGTTCTCGGCCAAATATGTGGTTGGCTAACACCCTCTCTCTTCATATTGGCCGGTGTTCTCACTGTGCTATGAGATGCTGTAATAAATAATATGACCAGGCCGAAAATAAAATATGCAATTTAAAACTCTGATGTTGAGCTAACAATAAATGTAGAAAGGAAGAGGACATACATGTATGATATGGATACGAGTTGCACAAGTGTGAAACAGCTTGTTTTGGAGTCAACTAGTCCATCACAATGTCATGCATGAGGAGTACTGTAGGAGCTTGGCTTTCGGCTTGTACAATTCGTTTTCGCAAAGCGTCCCCCTTCTTTACTTATCTTTGATATTTATGACCCACCCAAGTTGGGTGGTGTGCTGCTTTACTGCTTCGAATTGTAGTTAGACCGCTTTGTCAAATATCCTACTGGTCTCGTCATCGTCCAGTAACAATCGACATTCTTTGTTCCGTTGGGACTGTGACTCCTTTTCCTTTCTACTGAAATACATGTGGTTCATTTAAAGTGCACACTATACTCCGGCAAATACCGAGTACATGTGTGCAGCCCAATGGAAATGTACAGTACCAAGATTGCAGTTATGTACTCCTGACAGTACGTGTATGCTTCTCACCTGAATGTATGCCACCATTTAAAAAATAAATTATGCCACTCATTTGACTGCATGTGACCTACATGTACATGTACATGTCTGTACTTGATATTTCTTTTGGTTCATGTACACGGTCATTTGAATGCATGTGCTTCGGTTTGTCGACAATCAAATTGAGGTGGGGTATGAGTGCAAAATTTCACCAAGCAGACTAGATTAAGGATGGGGGGGGGGGGGGGGTATGCCACATTTGACCGCATGCCATGAAGCCAATCCAGTGATATCCGACCTGCCTACATGAACATGCGTCCATATCTACAATACTGCAGGGGGGGGGGGGGCGCGGGGTGGCGGACACGCTACGCTCACTACAATACTGCAGGGGGGGGGGGGGGGGGGCGGATGCGCTACGCTCACTACAATACTGCAGGGGGGGGGGGGGGGCGGATGCGCTACGCTCACTACAATACTGCGGGGGGGGGGGGGGGTGGCGGATGCGCTACGCTCACTACAATACTGCGGGGGGGGGGGGTGGTGGACACGCTACGCTCACTACAGTACTGATCGTACCACTCTTTGCTTCAGGCACTCTGTCAATCAATAACAGGCACTGATTTGGGCTCTGAATTTTCTAAAATTTGGAGAGGAGCGACACCAACCCCACGAGTTCTCCCTGGAAGGGTCTACCAGGTGCATGAAGTACACACTATCCACCCGTATACATGTACATTCGTGCCTAGCATGATGCCTCAGTGGGCACCTCTCAACTGGGCAAGGATGGGGGGGGGGGGGGGCACTCACTGCAGTCTGTTGCTAAACGGTTACAACTTTTGCATGGCCGGGTATCCTCTCTAATGCAATGATCGGATAACCGTCCATAACCAGACATTGGTCTTCAGGATGGATCTTTACCAGCACATAACATAACAAGATCATGATTCATGAACCATCGCATTACACACCAGTATACAAAACACAATTGAGACCTCCACCACATTGTAGGCCTCAGTGAATATTGCTCAAAACTTCAGCCGAAGTATTCTGCTCAAAACTGAGCATTGAAATTGGCAGAATCAGTATAGAGTTAATGGCTGGCACTTACGAGTTCTGCTCGTCTTGGTTATAATAATTCATTATACAAAACATGTATGACTTTGAGTACCAGAAAATCACCAAAATAAGTCTGCCAGTGTTATGATGACTCACTTATCGGCCAAGGCCCCCACACAGTGGACCATGCCCATAATCTGTACATGCATAATAATACGAAGTAGTGGTTGCGACTTCGGCGATGACTTTTATGAAAGGGTTTGCTCCCCACACCGGAGCTCGCGCTATTCCGCCGACTTTACTTGACACTTGACTGACTCACGACTGCCATCCAGAGTCGAAGGTTCGATGGACTTCTCGTGTGCTCTGGATGGCAGTCGTGAGTCAGTCAAGTGTCAAGTAAAGTCGGCGTAATAGCGCGAGCTCCGGTGTGGGGAGCAAACCCTTTCATAAAAGTCATCGCCGAAGTCGCAACCACTACTTCGTACTGTTGTGCCCAGCGCGGGCTTGCGACTAGTTGGTTTGGAGGTGACAGCGTTGCGAATGACCGAGGGTCCTCGACGTCTGTCTCACCGTCCAGGAGCGACACTGACTCCCGCTGCTATCTGGTGTTCACGAGGTGTTTGTCGCGCTGGAAACGGAGCGTCTCTGTAAGTTTGTATCCCTGGTGATGTTTGGGCCTGGAGAGCACTATATAAGTGGTGCTCTTCAGGCACAATCTTCCTCAGCCTACTCAAGCTCAACTGATGAGGGGTGAATTCCCCGAAACACTGTGTATTGAGCAGGGAGTGGTGCTTTCTTGCAGGTTTGCCGAGTCGAAGGTTCGATGGACTTCTCGTGTGCTCTGGATGGCAGTCGTGAGTCAGTCAAGTGTCAAGTAAAGTCGGCGGAATAGCGCGAGCTCCGGTGTGGGGAACAAACCCTTTCATGCATAATAATAATAATATAATAATGATAATTTTAATTATAGCTATGAATAGGATGAAGGCCGCAGACATCACGCAACTACGTTACTTGTTTGACATGTATTACCGTGTATTTTATAACAAAAATATTATTGAAAACCCAGAATCGATTTTCTTGTTCCTATCATCAGTGGGAAAAAATACGGAACTAAGGATACAACCAAAGAAATTGAGGTTAAGTACTGAAAATAGAAAGGTGTTAGAAATAACAACAAGATACAAGTGCAATAAAACCACTAGAGGAAACGCAAAAAGGTAACAAGACTACGTAACCAA